ATTTCTTCGGTGTTCATTTTTAGCAGATTCCAAAGGGGTACCATCACATATTTCAGGCGATTTTTCCGAAATGCGATTTTTTTGCGATTTTGGAGGCTACAGTACACTTATTCACCCCGAGGCTATTCTCCACTGGTAATGAAGTCTATTGATCCTATTCTCCACCGATGATTAAGTCCATTAAGCACTGAATTTGGCCAATTAATTTTGGGATGTCATTATCGTAATTTTGTGGGCGATTTTTTAAGAAAGGTCATTTTCTTTGAATTTTGAAGGATACAAATCACGGATTCGGCCTGAGGCTATTATTCAATGACGATTAAGTCCATTAAGCACCGATTTGGGCGGATTTCTTCAAGGTCCATTTTTAGCAGATTACAAAGGGGTACCATCACAGATTTCGAGCGATTTTTCCGAAATGGGATTTTCTTCCGATTTTGGAGGCTACAGAACACGGATTCACCCCGAGGCTATTCTCCACTAATAATGAAGTCAATTGATACTATTCTCCACCGATGACTAAGTCCATTAAGCACAGAAATTGGCCAATTAATTTTGGGATGTCATTATCGTAATTTTGTGTGCGCTTTTTTTAGAAAGGCCAATTTCTTTGAATTTTGAAAGATACAAATCACGGATTCGGCATGAGGCTATTATTCAATGATGGTTAGGTCCACTAAGCACCGATTTGGGCGGATTTCTTCCGGGTCCATTTTTAGCAGATTCCAAAGGGGTAACATCACAGATTTCGGGCTATTATTCTAAAATGCGATTTTCTTTCGATTTTTAAGGCTACAGAACACGGAGTCACCCCGAGGCTATTCTCCTGTGATAATGAAGTCTATTGATCCTATTCTCCACCGATGATTAAGTCCATTAAGCACAGAATTTGGCCAATTAATTTTGGGATTTCATTATCGTAATTTTGTGGGCGATTTTTTTAGAAAGGCCATTTTCTTTGAATTTTGAAGGATACAAATCACGGATTAGGCATGAGGATATTATTCAAAGATGATTAAGTCCATTAAGCACCGATTTGAGCGGATTTCTTTCGGGTCCATTTTTAGCAGATTCCAAAGGGGTACCATCACTGATTTCGGGCGATTTTTGTAAAATGCGATTTTCTTCCGATTTTTAAGGCTACAGAACACGGAGTCACCCCGAGGCTATTCTCCTGTGATAATGAAATCTATTGATCCTATTCTCCACCGATGATTAAGTCCTTTAAGCACAGAATTTGGCCAATTAATTTTGGGAAGGCATTATCGTAATATATTGTGCGATTTTTTTAGAAATGCCATTTTCTTTGAATTTTGAAGGATACAAATTACGGATTCGGCATGAGGCTATTATTGAATGATGATTAAGTCCATTAAGCACCGATTTGGGCGGATTTCTTCTGGGTCCATTTTAAGCAGATTACAAAGGGGTACCATCATAGATTTCGGGCGATTTTTCCGAAATGCGATTTTCTTCAGATTTTGGAGGCTACAGAACACGGATTCTGCCCGAGGCTATTCTCGAGTGATAATGAAGTCTATTGATCCTGTTCTCCACCGATGATTAAGTCCATTAAGCACATAATTTGGACAATTAATTTTGGGATGGCATTATCGTAATTTTTTGTGCGAATTTTTTAGGAAGACCATTTTCTTTGAATTTTGAAGGATACAAATAACGGATTCGGCCTGAGGCTATTATTCAATGATTATTAAGTCTATTAAACACCGATTTGGGAGGATTTCTTCCGGGTCCATTTTTAGCAGATTCCAAAGGGGGTACCATCACATATTTCAGGCGATTTTTCCGAAATGCGATTTTCTTCGATTTTGGAGGCTACAGAACACGGATTCACCCCGAGGCTATTCTCCACTGATAATGAAGTATATTGATCCTATTCTCCACCGATGATTAAGTCCATTAAGCACAGAATTTGGCCAATTAATTTTGGGATGTGATTATCGTAATTTTGTTTGCGATTTTTTTAGAAAGGCCATTTTCTTTGAATTTTGAATGATACAATTCTCGGATTCGTCCAGAGGCTATTATTCAATGATGATTTAGTCCATTAAGCACCGATTTGGGTGGATTTCTTCCGGGTCCATTTTTAGCAGATTCCAAAGGGGTACCATCACAGATTTCGAGCGATTTTTCTAAAATGCGATTTTCTTCTGATTTTTAAGGCTACAGAACACGGAGTCACCCCGAGGTTATTCTCTTGTGATAATGAAGTCTATAGATCCTATTCTCCACCGATGATTAACTCCATTAAGCACAGAATTTGGCCAATTAATTTTGGGATGTCATTATCGTAATTTTGTTGGAGATTTCTTTAGAAAGGCCATTTTCTTTGAATTTTGAAGGATACAAATCACGGATTCGGCATGAGGCTATTATTCAATGATGATTAAGTCCATTAAGCACCGATTTTGGCGGATTTCTTCCGGGTCCATTTTTAGTAGATTCCAAAGGGGTACCATCACTGATTTCGGGCGATTTTTCGAAAATGCGATTTTCTTCCGATTTTTAAGGCTACAGAACACGGAGTCACCCCGACGCTATTCTCCTGTGATAATGAAATCTATTGATCCTATTTTCCACCGATGATTAAGTCCATTAAGCACAGAATTTGGCCAATTAATTTTGGGATGGCATTATCGTAATATTTTGTGTGATTTTTTTAGGAAGGCCATCTTCTTTGAATTTTAAAGGATACAAATCACGAATTCGGCCTGAGGCTATTATTGAATGATGATTAAGTCCATTATGCACCGATTTCGGCGGATTTCTTCCCGGTCCATATTAAGCAGATTCCAAAGGGGTACCATCACAGATTTCGGGAGATTTTTCCGAAATGCGATTTTCTTCCGATTTTGGAGGCTACAGAACACGGACTCACCCCGAGGCTATTCTCCTGTGAAATTGAAGTCTATTGATCCTATTCTCCACCGATGATTAAGTCCATTAAGCGCAGAATTTGGCCAATTAATTTTGGGAAGGCATTATCGTAATATTTTGTGCGATTATTTTAGGAAGGCCATTTTCTTTGAATTTTGAAGGATACAAATTACGGATTCGGCATGAGGCTATTATTGAATGATGATTAAGTCCATTAAGCATCGATTTGGGCGGATTTCTTCCGGGTGCATTTTAAGCAGATTCCAAAGGGGTACCATCACAGATTTCGGGCAATTTTTCCGAAATGCGATTTTCTTCCGATTTTGGAGGCTACAGAACACGGATTCTGCCCGAGGCTATTCTCGAGTGATAATGAAGTCTATTGATCCTGTTCCCCACCAATGATTAAGTCCATTAAGCACATAATTTGGACAATAAATTTTCGGATGGAATTATCGAAATTTTTTGTGAGATTTTTTTAGGAAGACCATTTTCCTTGAATTTTGAAGGATACAAATCACAGATTCGGCCTGAAGCTATTATTCAATGATTATTAAGTCTATTAAACACCGATTTGGGCGGATTTCTACCGGGTCCATTTTTAGCAGATTCCAAAGGGGTACCATCACAGATTTTGAGCGATTTATCCGAAATGCGATTTTCTTTCGATTTTGGAGGCTACAAAAAACTGATTCACCCCGAGGCTATTCTCCACTGATAATGTAGTCTATTGATCCTATTCTCCACCGATGATTAAGTCCATTAAGCACAGAATTTGGCCAATTAATTTTGGGATGTCATTATCGTAATTTTGTGAGCGTTTTTTTTAGAAAGGCCATTTTCTTTGAATTTTTAAGGATCTAAATCACGGATTCGACATGAGGCTATTATTCAATGATGATTAAGTCCATTAAGCACCGATTTGGGCGGATTTCTTCCGGTTCCATTTTTAGCAGATTCCAAAGGGGTACCATCACAGATTTCAGGCGATTTTTCTAAAATGCGATTTTCTTCCGATTTTTAAGGCTACAGAACACAGAGTTACCCAGAGGCTATTCTCCTGTGATAATGAAGTCTATTTATCCTATTCTCCACCGATGATTAAGTCCATTAAGCACAGAATTTGGCCAATTACGTTTGGGATGTCATTATCGTAATTTTGTGGGCGATTTTTTAGAAAGGCCATTTTCTTTGAATTTTGAAGGATACAAATCACGGATTCGGCCTGAGGCTATTATTCAATGATGATTAAGTCCATTAAGCACCGATTTGGGCGGATTTCTTCCGGGTCCATTTTTAGCAGATTCCAAAGGGGTACCATCACAGATTTCGGGCGATTTTTCTAAAATGCGATTTTCTTCCGATTTTTAAGGCTACAGAACACGGATTCACCCCGAGTCTATTCTTCTGTGATAATGAAGTCTATTGATCCTATCCTCCACCGATGATTAAGTCCATTAAGCACAGAATTTGGCCAATCAATTTTGGGAAGGCATTATCGTAATATTTTGTGCGATTTTTTTAGAAGGGTCATTTTCTTTGAATTTTGAAGGCTACAGATCACGGATTCGGTCTGGTCTATTCTTCAACGATGATTAAGTCCATTAAGCACCGATTTGGGCGGATTTCTTCCGGGTCCATTTTTAGCAATTTCCAAAAGGGTACCATCACAGATTTCGGACGATTTTTTCGAAATGGGATTTTCATCCGATTTTGGAGGCTACAGAACACCGATTCAGCCCGAGGCTATTCTCCAGTGATAATGAAGTCTATTGATCCTATTCTCCACCGATGATTAAGTCCATTAAGCACATAATTTGGCCAATTAATTTTGGGATGTCATTATCGTAATTTTGTGGGTGATTTTTTTAGAAAGGCCATTTTCTTTGAATTTTGAAGGATACAAATCACGGATTCGGCATGAGGCTATTATCCAATGATGATTAAGTCCATTAAGCACCGATTTGGGCGGATTTCTTCCGGGTCCATTTTTAGCATATTCCAAAGGGGTACCATCACAGATTTCGGGCGATTTTTCTAAAATGCGATTTTCTTCCGATTTTTAAGGCTATAGAACACGGAGTCACCCCGAGTCTATTCTCCTGTGATAATGAAGTCTATTGATCCTATTATCCAACGATGATTAAGTCCATTAAGCACAGAATTTGGCCAATCTATTTTGGGATGGCATTATCCTAATATTTTGTGCGATTTATTTAGAAGGGTCATTTTCTTTGAATTTTGAAAGCTACAGATCACGGATTCGGTATGGTGCTATTCTTCAACGATGATTAAGTCCATTAAGCACCGATTTGGGCGGATTTCTTCCGGGTCCATTTTTAGCAGATTCCAAAAGGGTACCATCACAGATTTCAGACGATTTTTCCGAAATGGAATTTTCATCCGATTTTGGAGGCTACAGAACACCGATTCAGCCCGAGGCTATTCTCCAGTGATAATGAAGTCTATTGATCCTATTCTTTACCGATGATTAAGTCCATTAAGCACAGAATTTGGCCAATTAATTTTGGGATGGCATTATCGTAATATTTTGTGCGAATTTTTTAGAAATGCCATTTTCTTTGAATTTGAAGGATACAAATCACGGATTCGGCCTGAGGCTATTATTCAATGATGATTAAGTCCATTTAGCACCGATTTGGTCGGATTTCTTCCGGGTCCATTTTTAGCAGATTCCAAAGGGGTACCATAACAGATTTCAGACGATTTTTCCGAAATGCGATTTTCTTCCGATTTTGGAGGCTACAGAACACGGATTCACCCTAAGGCTATTCTCCACTGATAATGAATTCTATTGATCCTATTCTCCACCGATTATTAAGTCCATTAAGCACAGAATTTGGCCAATTAATTTTGGGATGTCATTATCGTAATTTGTGGGCGATTTTTTTAGAAAGACCATTTTCTTTGAATTTTGAAGGATACAAATCACGGATTCGGCTTGAGGCTATTATTCAATGATGATTAAGTCCATTAAGCACCGATTTGGGCGGATTTCTTCTGGGTTCATTTTTAGCATATTGCAAAGGGGTACCACCACAGAATTCGGGCGATTTTTCAGAAATGCGATTTTCTTCCGATTTTTAAGGCTACAGAACACGGAGTCACCCCGAGGCTATTCTCCTGTGATAATGAAGTCTATTGATCTTATTCTCCACCGATGATTAAGTCCATTAAGCACAGAATTTGGCCAATTAATTTTGGGATGGCATTATCGTAATATTTTGTGCGAATTTTTTAGAAAGGCTATTTTCTTTGAATTTTGAAGGATACAAATCACGGATTCGGCCTGATGCTATTATTCAATGATGATTAAGTCCATTAAGCACCGATTTGGGCGGATTTCTTCCGTATCCATTTTTAGCAGATTCCAAAGGGGTACCATCACAGATTTCGGGAGATTTTTCCGAAATGCGATTTTCTTCCGATTTTGGAGGCTACAGAACACGGATTCACCCCGAGGCTATTCTCCACTGATAATGAAGTCTATTGATCCTATTCTCCACCGATGATTAAATCCATTAAGCACAGAATTTGGCCAATTAATTTTGGGATGGTATTATCGTAATTATTTTTGCGATTTTTTTAGAAAGACCATTTTCTTTGAATTTTGAAGGATACAAATCACGGATTCGGCCTGAGGCTATTATTCAATGATGATTAAGTCCATTAAGCACCGATTTGGGCGGATTTCTTCCGTGTCCATTTTTAGCAGATTCCAAAGGGGTACCATCACAGATTTTGGGCGATTTTTCCGAAATGCGATTTTCTTCCGATTTTGGAGGCTACAGAACACGGATTTACCCCGAGGCTATTCTCCACTGATAATGAAGTCTATTGATCCTATTCTCCACCGATGATTAAGTCCATTAAGCACAGAATTTGGCCAATTAATTTTGGGATGTCATTATCGTAATTTTGTGGGCAATTTTTTTAGAAAGTCCATTTTCTTTGAATTTTGAAGGATACAAATCACGGATTCGGCCTGAGGCTATTATTCAATGATGATTAAGTCCATTTAGCACCGATTTGGTCGGATTTCTTCCGGGTCCGTTTTTTGCAGAATCCAAAGGGGTACCATCACAGATTTCGGGAGATTTTTCCGAAATGCGATTTTCTTCCGATTTTGGAGGCTACAGAACTCGGATTCATCCTGAGGCTATTCTCCACTGATAATGAAGTATATTGATCATATTCACCACCGATGATTAAGTCCATTAAGCATAGAATTTGGCCAATTAATTTTAGGATGACATTATCGTAATTTTTTGGGCGATTTTTTTAGAAAGGCCATTTTCTTTGAATTTTGAAGGGTACAGATCACGGATTCGGCCTGAGGCTATTCTTCAACGATGATTAAGTCCATTAAGTACCGATTTGGGCGGATTTCTTCCGGGTCCATTTTTAGCAGATTCAAAAGGGGTACCATCACATATTTCGGGCTATTTTTTAGAAATACGATTTTCTTCCAATTTTGAAGGTTACAGAACACGGATTGAGCGCGAGGCTATTCTCCACTAATAATGAAGTCTATTGATCCTATTCTCTACCGAGGACTAAGTCCATTAAGCACAGAATTTGGCCAATTAATTTTGGGATGACATTATCGTAATTTTTTGGGCGATTTTTTTAGAAAGGCCATTTTCTTGGAATATTGAAGGATACAGATCACGGATTCGGCCTGAGGCTATTCTTCAACGATGATTAAGTCCATTAAGCACCGATTTGGGTGGATTTCTTCCAGGCCCATTTTTAGCATATTCCAAAGGGGTACCATCATAGATTTCGGGCAATTTTTCCGAAATGCGATTTTCTTCCGATTTTGGAGGCTACAGAACACGGATTCAGCCCGAGGCTATTCTCCACTGATAATGTATTATATTGATCCTATTCTCCACCGATGATTAAGTCCATTAAGCTCAAAATTTGACCAATTAATTTTGGGATGACATTATCGTAATTTTTTGGGCGATTTTTTTAGAAAGACCATTTTTTTGAATTTTGAAGGATACAGATCACGGATTCGGCCTGAGGCTATTCTTCAACGATGATTAAGTTCATTAAGCACCGATTTGGGCGGATTTCTTCCAGGTCCATTTTTGGCAGATTCCAAAGGGGTACCATCACAGATTTCGGGCAATTTTTCCGAAATGGGATTTTCTTTCAATTTTGGAGGCTACAGAACACAGATTCATCTCGAGGCTATTCTCCACTGATAATGAAATCTATTGATCCTATTCGCCACCGATGATTAAGTCCATTAAGCACAAAATTTGCCAATTAATTTTGGGATGACATTATCGTAATTTTTTGGGCGATTTTTTTAGAAAGGCCATTTTCTTTGAATTTTTGAGGATACAGATCACGGATTCGGCATGATGCTATTCTTCAACAATGATTAAGTTCATTTAGCACCGATTTGGTCGGATTTCTTCCGAGTCCATTTTTAGCAGATTTCAAAGGGGTACCATAACAGATTTCGGGCGTTTTATCCAAAATGCGATTTTCTTCCGATTTTGGAGGCAACAGAACACGGATTCAGCCCGAGGCTATTATCCACTGATAATGAAGTCTATTGATCCTATTCGCCACTGATGATTAAGTCCATTAAGCACAGAATTTGGCCAATTAATTTTGGGATGTGATTATCGTAATTTTTTGGGCGATATTTTAAAAAGGCCATTTTCTTTGAATTTTGAAGGATACAGATCACGTATTCGCCCTGAGGCTATTCTTCAACGACAATTAAGTCCATTACGCCACTGATTTGGGCGGATTTCTTCCGGGTCCATTTTTAGTAGATTGCAAAGAGGTACCATCACAGATTTCGGGAGATTTTTCCGAAATGCGATTTTCTTCCGATTTTGGCGGCTACAGAACACGGATTCATCGTGAGGCTATTCTCCACTGATAATGAAGTATATTGATCTTATTCTCCACCGATGATTAAGTCCATTAAGCACAGAATTTGGGCAATTAATTTTGGGATGACATTATCGTAATTTTTTGGGCGATATTTTAAAAAGGCCATTTTCTTTGAATTTTGAAGGATACATATCACGTATTCGCCCTGAGGCTATTCTTCAACGACAATTAAGTCCATTACGCCACTGATTTGGGCGGATTTCTTCCGGGTCCATTTTTAGTAGATTGCAAAGAGGTACCATCACAGATTTCGGGAGATTTTTCCGAAATGCGATTTTCTTCCGATTTTGGAGGCTACAGAGCAAGGATTCTGCCCGAGGCTATTCTCCACTGATAATGAAGTCTATTGATCCTATTATCCACCGATGATTAAGTCCATTAAGCACAGAATTTGACCAATTAATTTTGGGATGACATTATCGTAATTTTTTGTGCGATTTCTTTAGAAAAGGCCATTTTCTTTTAATTTTGAAGGCTACAGATCACGGATTCGGCCTGAGGCTATTTTTCAACGATGATTAAGTCCATTAAGCACCGATTTGGGCGGATTTCTTCCGGGTCCATTTTTGGCAGATTCCAAAGGGGTACCATCACAGATTGAGCGATTTTTCGGTAATGCGACTTTCTTCCTATTTTGGAGGCTATAGAACACGGATTCAGCCCGAGGCTATTCTCCACTAATAATGAAGTCTATTGATCTTATTCTCCACCGATGATTAAGTCCATTAAGCATCGAATTTGGCTAGTCTATTTTGGGATGGCATTGTCATAATTTTTTGGGCAATTTTTTTTCAAAAGGTCATTTTCTTTGGATTTGATGGCTACACATCACAGATTCGGCCTGAGGATATTATTCAACGATGATTAAGTGATATGATCCCAAATGGTCAACTATACAAGCTTAAATTACTCGACAAAGAAGCTATCAAAGTTGGGAAGAAGAAGGCCAGAATTTGGTTAAGTCAGAATCCGTGTTCAGCGTACATACTTTGGAGGCATGGTTCTCTCAATTGGCTTGGTGTAAATTCAAGTTTAAGGGGGGGGTTTTTTTTCAGATCAAGTTTCCATCTTTCCAATGGTATGCTTTTTGGATCCAGAAGATGTCATTAAGGTTTTTTTCCAAGGTCTCAAAGTTGCTACCTCAAAACTGGAAAACTGCCAGGAAATGGTTCTGGAAACTGTTTTGTGAAGCCTACTTTGGAGCTCAATTCAAGGATCGTGGATGGGATTCAAGTCAAAAGGCTTCTACAACATAAAATTAGAAATTTTTATCTACCAAGGGAAGGAATTGGATGAAAGATTGGAGTTCTGGAAGGCCTCGAACGAAAGCGCAAAGTTAGTACGAAAGCTGCTTTTGGACTGTTTGCTGGCAGCTTACTCGGGCTTCAAGAAAGGGAGTTTAAACCCGAATTTGTGTCATTTTTAGTGTATACTTTTACCTTAATTGTTGCCTAGTTCTATTAGGATTGTATTAGGTTTTATTTGCCTTTAAATACCGTTCTATTTGCGTTGTAAAAACATAAGACTTTGATTAATCGAAAAACAAACCCTTTGGTTTTGTGCAAGTTGCGACTTGTTTGAGTTTGGTGGATTCCAAGCTTGTGAGCTTTGTATCGATTGAATATTCTCTTCAATCATGGTCGAGCAGCTACCCTTTAATTCAATCGAGCGTTCCCCAGGTGTGGAATTACACTTTTGGTTCCGTTTTATCCAAATTCGTATTAAGGACGCTTCGTTCTTGATTCGAGCTCAATCAATCCTTCGATTGAGTCATTAGCTGCGTGACTTTGATAACATACACCCCCAGGGGCGTATTATTAAGTCCATTAAGCACTGATTTGGGCGGATTTCTTCCGGGTCCATTTTTGACATATTCCAAAGGGGTACCATCACAGATTTTGGGCGATTTTTCCGAAATATCATTTTCTTTCGATTTTGGAGGCTACAGAACATAGATTTAGCTTGAGGCTATTCTCAACTGATAATGAAGTCTATTAATACTATTTTCTACAGATGATTAAGTCCATTAAGCACCAACCTTTGTGGATTTATTTTCGGATGACATTTACATAAGTTTTTGGCTGACTTTTTTGGAAAGCTGTTTCCCTTGGATTTTGTAGGCTACACATTACGGATTTGGCCCAAGGTTATTTTTCGCCGATGATTAAGTCCATTAAACACTGATTTGGGCGAATTTCTTCTCGGTTTATTTTTGGCAGATTCCAAAAGAGTACAATCACAGAGTTCATTGGATTTTTTTGAAATGCCATGTTCTTTCAATTTTGAAGGCTACAGATCACAGATTGGGCCTGAGGCTATTCTTCATCGATGATGAAGTCTATTGATCCTATTCTCCACCGATGATTAAGGCCATTAAACACTGATTTAGGCTGATTTATTTTATTTATGGTGGTTACGATCGTGCTTATGATGATTAGTATGAGTTGGTGTTTAGGGATAAACCCCGACCATTGAGTTTCCAAAGTTCAATGATCAGGAGGATGCAGGCCTGTGGTTATATGTAGCTGACAGGTGGTTCAATAACCATCTCACGCGAGAGGAACGGAAGGCGCAACCGGCGTCCTTCTACCTAGAAGGGGGTACTCTGCAGTGGTGGGAATGGCTGGAGAGGTCCTACGCGGCAACTGAAACACTGATTACCTGGCTGATGTTCCAGGAAGAGCTATGTTACCAGTTTGTCAAATCGGAAGGATGGGCCCCAAAACAGGTAGCGGCCAAGCTCAAGCAGACGGGGACTGTAGCTGAGTACCGGGTAGAATTTCTCAAACTGGGAAATCAGTACAAGGGGGTCCCGGAGGAGACGTTGGTGGGGTTGTGCATGGCGGGACTTAAGCCGCAGATCACAACTACAGTTAAGATCTTTGAGCACGACTTCTTGAGAACTGCTTTTCGTCTTGCAAGACATAAGGAGGAGGAGCTAGCTACATGGAGGAATGTCATAGGCCTATTTGCGAAGGCTAGCGGCGGAGGCTGCCAGGGAGGCAGCGGCGGAGGCTGCCAGGGAGGCAGCGGCGGAGGCTGCCAGGGAGGCAGCAGCGGAGGCGCATCTGCCGGCGGAAGCAGTGGGACAGGCGCGACGATAACTGTGGCGCCATTCATGGAACGACCGGGACCGGGACCGCGAGCACCTCCCAAGAGGTTTGTCCGGTTAAGTCCCGCGGAGATCGAGTAGAAGAGACAGGAAGACAAGTGCTTCAAATGTGATGAGACGATTGGACACAAATGGCGAAGCCAGACTTGATGATATTGGTAGGGCGATGGGAAGACGGGGTGGAGGATGAGGGTGCGGAGTATGGGGACGAGGAGCAGAAAGTCGACCGCCACCCTTGAGGACAGGGTGGTTTGGAAGGAGGCAGGGAAGGGATGATATAAACCTGCATTTATATCTTGCGAATTGGACTATTTTGTCAGTTTACCCTTGAGGACAGGGTGGTCCTAATGAATTGAGTTGTTGTTGGTAGATGTTGAATAATAATGAATATTATACCACAACCTAACACTTATATATGCAATGCACATTGCTCATTAACTGCCATTCTAATGCTCCTCGATCTCTCTACATAACACCATGAAACCATCATTAGATTCTTAGGTTGCCGAGACTATTGCTCAGCGAAGCAGCAGCAGCTTCTTGGCCTCGAATTGCAGCCCTCAATTTGGACAAGTGATCCCCCGAGTTCTCATTAGCTTGGTCTTCAGCTTTACCGAGCATGACCTTTAACTCATCCAAGGCAATCGTCAAATCATCGAACCGCTGTACGAGCTGATCGCGCTGTCTGCTTAGCTGATTAACCATATCCAGAGCCCTAGCCAGGTCTCGAGGATGAACATTCTTAGGGTCGCCACCAAGTCCTCTGCTGAATCGACTCACGAGGGAGCTGCACTCCATTTCGATCCCTTCAAATTTTGCTTGAACCTCTCGGTACTTGGCTAGAAGCCGTTGCTTCAGGATATCATCGCCGCCGCCGGTCGTTTCTTTCGAGATCTTCTGGCCATTGTAAGGATCCGATGATGGGGAATCTAGTTCTGGGGTATCCATCTGCATGCATGCATGCAACAAACAAACAAACAAAAACGTTGAAATGAAACCCTAATTGCACTTACGGGGAGGGAGCAAGCTAATTAAACCGGAAGTAGTAGAAACCTAAATTAGGAGAGAGCGAGAGAGGACCATAATGTTTTTTTTTTTTTTTGGCTAATACCACTGGAAATACCATCCTTTAGAGAAAGTGCCATTTATATTACGTAACTTACAATATGACAATTATATACTAACCGTTAAGTTTTCTGTTAGTGGTTAACAGAAAATACAGTCAGCAATGATGTGGCATATTTTAATAAAAATAAATGTAAAAAAATAAAGTCAAAAGTGGAAAAAGGAAAAAGGAATTTCGCATCTCACTATCTCTCCATCTCTCCCCTTCGGCACCTCTGCTTCCGTCTCTCTCAAAAACCCAATACTACATCGCCTTCTCCGTCCGTCGCGGCCTCCGCCAGTCCTTCTTCCCGCTCGCCGCACTCCCTTCCGCACCTTCCCCTTCTTCTCTGCCTCAACCTTCGCCCTCAACCAAGCTCTATTTTTCAACGCCAGAACCCCAACCACCACCAATCCCGACTCCCTAATCTTCCCGTCCGCCACTCCCCTACCCACGATTTTGATTCCATTGAAGCAACCTTCAGCCACATCCGCAATTTCAATCCCATCGATGCCTCACAATACCTAATTGCTTGTGAGGTCGACATGCAGTTGATGAACGGTGAAGAAGATGACAGAAGGAGGGCACAATCTCCCTTCTTCGACTCTCCTTTGCCGTCGCAAGCATCTTGCCGCAGCCGGTGTTCCCTCTCGGGCAATCCGTGACGGTGGTTGCGGTTATCGCATCGTCGTCGCTGTTGCTCTGTTTCACTGTGCGATGAAGAGGCGGGTGTTCGACAATGGCTAGGGATCTGGAGCTAGATGATTTCAGATCTGTGACTCACAGGATTACGACTTTGAGATGAGATTGAGAGGAAGTTTTGCTATGGGAAAAAAAATTGCTCAACGTTGAGGTTTTCTAGGCTTTAGTCCTTCTCGACATTGGGGTATGCGAATCGACTGCCATCGATTCCTCGAACTTCTTGGTCTTCTTCTTCTACGCGAAGCATGGTCAAGCGGATGGACTGATTGCCGGCCGAAGCTCCCTTCTCTCACGATAGAGAGGGATGTCTGATTTGAGTCTGGTGGCCGGACTCCGTCGATGAGGCATGATGTCGGCGGCAGCGACAGAAAGAGTATTTTTTTTGTCAAAGAGAGAAAGAGTATTTAGAAAAAAGTATTAAAAAATAAATTAATAATATTTATTTATTTATTTTCGAAATAAAATTAATATTTTTTATTTAGTAATTTCTTACGTGGCACATATTTTGTCGACACCTAAGCGCCACATAAGCAATAGTCAAATATAAGTTGACCACCGTCAGGTCAACCGTCAATTCTAACGGTCAATAGAAATTCGCGTAACACAAATGACACATACCCCTAATACGTTGGAATATTTTTGTGTTTATTGAAAGTACGTCATATAAATGGCACTTTCTCTAAAGGATGGTATTTTCAGTGGTATTAGCCCTTTTTTTTCCCCAGGCTGAAGGAGAAACCCTAATGAGTAGTCGATCCTTGTCTAGAGTTTTCTGTTCTCCGGCCGTTGGAGATGTCTATTTATAGACGGAGTGAGGCCGGATCCAGTGGTGTGCAACGATCCGGTTTGACACAGATTGGATCAAACTCATGAGAATCCCGGTTCAATAGTGAAATGCATATCAAGATTAAGAATTGGATCAACATTTCATTTCATTCGATTTGGTCCGATCCACATGTCAATTCGATCCATTTTTCTTTCGTATTTGTCAACTTTACGAGACCAAAAGATGAGATCGCATTATATACAATTTGGTATGGAGCGTTCCAAACATTGACTTTTATCCTGTATGGACCGAAATGTTGCCCACTCATAGCCGGATATGGCATGGATGAATCGAGAGGTCGCAAATTCAGCCGTGGGGTTAGGGCAGGGAGTTATAAGTAGCTATGCTAGTAGTTAGAGATTAGGATGTTATACAAAAATCTTCCAATGCTAGAATCCAAAAATATCATTTACAATTTCATCGTAAATGTACACATCTAATTTCGTGATCCGTCCAGAAACAAATTATCATTTCCGGGATTACAAATTAAATATCAAGTTTTTAACCACTCATATTTTCTCACTCTCGTTTAATCTAAAATGTTGAACTCTCCTGCTCACAAAAGCAAAGAACAAAAGTAGAAGAAAATTTAAAAATTAAAACGAAGCGTATGCATATGAAAAGAGGAGGAAGATAAAGAATTAGAATGAATTAGAATTAAGGAAGAGAGGTAAACTAATTAATTAAACCCATCCTCCTAAATTAATTTTATGTCTAATTTCTACAACCAAACACTCCCTAACTCTTTTTTTTTTCTTTTTCTTTTTTGGTAACATCTACCAGATTTTGGCGCTGGAATCACATTTCTCTGCAACGATCTTCGCTTTCGCCGTTAGCTTATCCACCGTCAACTCACAGTCAACTTTCACGGTAACCGTCCACGACTTCACAGCCCCCAATCTAAACTTCACCGGCGCCGTCGCGGTCACCCGAAACGGCACCGCGCCTCTGTTCTCCCCGTCGCTCAACGACCTCCGGACGGCGCCCGTGAGCACGATCCCCTCCCCCTTCAACACCGTCTTGAAATTCGTCGACTTTTCCGTCCCCTGCTCGAAAGCCGGGATCGAGCCGGCCGCCAGCTCGATCCCGTTGTAATACACGGCGGCGGAGCTATCAGGCTGGTAGATCATGTCCATCTTCTTGTTCCTGTTTTGAGCCGCGACGGCGAGTTTAAATCTCGGCGAGATCGGCCCCGACGCCGAGTTGAACCCGTTTATCGACGCCGATTGGATCACGAAGCGGGGGGATTCTGGCCGGACGACGAGGCAGAAGACTCCGACGGCGGTGGCGATGAGGAATAGGAAGGCGGCAAAGAAGGAAATTGAGGCACAGAGCCAGAGGCGGGCTCCGCCGCCACAGCAACGGCGGCTGCGTCCTCCTCCGGGGTTCTTGTTTGTCAGCTGCTCGAATCGCTTGGCGTTCTCCGGCGGCGGGACCTTGTAGATCGTGTCCTTCGGAATCTGGATGACGTAGGTTCCCGGCGGCGCCGGGAGGACGGCTTTGAGGAGCTTGGTGGTCGGAGAGCCCGGATCCATCGTGCCGGTGGTGGTGGTGGTCTGGGTGGAGCAGCTGGTGGTGCGGGAGGTGGTGCGAGTCTGGTCCGTCGAAGTCGAGTATCGCGGCGGTGGGGCTCCGTCGGCGTCCGCCATTGCTGCCGACGGTGGGAGGAGAGACAGGGTAGAAGGAAGAAAGGAGTGAACTCTGCAGAGAAAATGAGATTAAGAATTAGAAATGAGGCTTCGAAAAGGATTAAAAATAATAAAAAACAACTAATTAGGAGTTTTTTTCCACCTTTTTGGCGTGTAATAGTGAGGGTTTTTGGTATATTTGCCAGCTGTAAATCATAACAAAGATTGGAATATATTATAAAACTAATTAGGATGCTTAATATGAGAGCAATAATAACGTTGGAGGTGAGTATTATTAGGAATATTTAGCTTTCATGAAAGAAATAAAATAATGAATCTATCCGTTAATTTTTTTTATTAACAGTTTTTTCATGATTACACTTTTAGTAGTATAGTGAACGATTTCAGACTTTATATCATTCTCGAATAAGATGAATCGAAGATTTTTAATCAATTCGATTATATACTTATTAACAAAACATATTAGATGATTGAAAATCATACGAGTTTATAGTAGATGTTACTGCCTCGACGTTGTCACGTGTTCTTCTAATTTTATTGTTAGATTATGTAAATAAATAAAAATTAGCATGATTGTTTCTCAATTCCCTATAATAAATCAATTAAGAAAAAAAAAATCCTCTGATTTGCTCAATTTGTGATGGAAATCACGTCTCAAATAAGTAGCTAGTTGACAAATTCTCTTTTTTATGGAATAAAAACTTCAAAATGTACTCATTGGACACAATTGTTATTATTTATTTTATTATCATATGAAAATCTGTACGCTAAACAAGAATATCAAGCTCCGAATTAAATAAATAACACATGGAAATCGAAGACCGTTGTGGTATGGAGAAACGGTCATTTCTTTCTTTCTCAGGAAATAGTGAAGATATAGTAAAATTTTATTTTATGCTGTAAGCAAGGTGGCTCTGCACTACTAACAAAACTCAGAAGCCTAAGCCCTAAAAACAAACTACAAAATATGGAATCGTTGATTACTGTATAACTGAAATTTCTTTCGACGCGAATCAAGTGATTTTGTTTCCAGAAAATTAAAAATCGTTTGATAATCATTAAGTACGAGTTTCAGCTTCTCTCGTTGCATGATTGTGATCGTGTAAACTAATGAATTAGCTGCTAATCAAAACGTTTTTAGTGACGAAATTACACCAGTACTTAGATATTGCAACGATCTGGACCTTTAGCCACCGCCCATTTGCAACAGTCCTGGCTAAAATTGTTTTCCGTGAACTGAAACCCCCTGTTTTTTCTATTCTACAGAAACAGAGACTAGCCCGCTAGTTTCGAATAAACCACTGGATTAACATTTCTAAAAGATTGATTAGCTCAAACCCACATAGGGAGAGCAAGAAAACTGTAGGCATACCTGATCAGAAGTTCGCCGCCGGCCGGTGGAGGATTGGTTTCTGTACGTCAGTAGAACTGGTGTGGCGCCTCCATAACTCTCTGCTTCTGTTTGCTCTGTGGTTTAGTAATGTGGTTTAGTAATGTGGATTGATCTTTGGCAAGATGAACAAGAAGAGAAAATGGAAGGATGATGAACAGAGGAAGAGAAAGAAAGACAGAGTTGGGATGAGCGGGAGAATCAGAGAATGGGAAGAGAAAGAGAGAGAGGGACAAGGAGAAGGGAATGGAACAGAAACTTTGGATTTTCCGGATTCATATAAAAAACGGATCCGATTTGGTGGTTGGGTGACGGAAGAAATTAACTTGGTGGAGTCCAGTTCATTATTTTAATGCCGAAGCACTTGATCCTATGCAGACCTTTAACAACTGTGGATTTGCGGAGCGCCGGAGTTGAAACAGAAGAAAACGAATATATTGTAGAAAACAGGGGACAGACAGACTGGGTTGTTTCTTGGATATGTAGCTTATTGATTAGCCCACTTAAAATTTTTTTCTTTCTCTTTCACATTTGACTACTTCTTTTTCACAACAATGACGAAGTTTCTCAAGTGACATGGAATCGTTACTATACACAAAATGTTTAGGAATTATGTTGGAAGTCGTATAGGGACTCGAACTCGTGTTATTGTGAGAGTTGCACCGATGGTTGAATCGGTTTTTGTACTAGGGGTATCGATGGATAGTTATTTTTCTAATTTGTTTTGGGTTTTCAAGTAAATTGAACCAGAAAACCAACTCATGTATTAGCTATAGTGTGATGAGAATTAAATTGCAAAAGGTAAAAAGATAAAATACCCACAAATCATGTTCATTATTCCAACCATACCCAAACTCAACTGCCAATTAAAAGCACGTTCTACCGTAAAAAAAAAATGCCAGATGAGCATAAGATGCATGAAATTATGTTAGTTTTCGAACATCCTTATGAGCATAAGATGCATGAAATTATGTTAGTTTTCGAACATCCTTCTACAGTTCTACTCTACAGTAAGATTTGAATTCGTCACACCGAACTTAGATCCTCTTCTAGCTAGCAAAAATTTAATAATGCGACTATCAAGGTCCAATGTAGTAGTTAATTTTACTTACCATCCACATGTTGAGAGATGAAACAGGTCGAAACTTGGGATTGCGTGGCATTTTTATTTTCAGAAGTTGGTGGCAGAGAAGAAACAGTCAGATCCAAGGAGGAGGAAATCTGTTGGTGGAGTCGCAGATTTTTGGGGAAATATCGAAGAAATCTTTCTTGGAGAGTTGGCATTTGGCATCACACGGTTCCTTAAACAACATTTAGTATGACATCATACCCACTACCTAGTTATCACAGATCCCTTCTTTTTAAAAAAAAATTAATAGGCCAAATTACACGAATGGTCTCCGAGTTTGGGTCGGGTAACAAATTGGTCTCTTCTTTCGACCGAAAACTTTCAAAAGGGGGGAAAAGTTGCACATTTTCGTAATTGTTATTTAACGTACTGTGATTGAAGATCGCAATAGTCGACTTGTTCAGAGTCCAAAAGGGTTTTTGGTTTGCATGGTATCGGAGTTTTCTGTGACCAAGAGGTCTTCTATTTGAATCCCGATGATTCTCATCTGTTATGTTAAGCACACGGTGTCTGGACCTGCGCAAACTTCAAGTCTATATGAGTGACTTTTCATTTGAGATAGTATGTTGGTAAATAATAAATGATCCATAATTGAACCAATACGAGCTAGGTTAGAGCGAGTAATGCATGTTGGGCTTGATTATGTTCCCTAACCATGATCGGTGAGACAGAGAATTATTAGGTTCAACGAGTTTGGTTCTATAATTTGGATAATTCTAGATGAGAATTTTCATTCGGTAGGAGTTTAAAAGTTTAGTGACCGATTTGTCAATTATCCTAAATATTAGTGACCATTTACTTAATATGTTTAGTTGTGATTTGTTTATTTATCCTCGTTGCGAAACACCCATTCAAACAGCTGTTGAATACAATTTGTTTGAGGGAAAACAATATCAAATTTGAAATATGGTCATTGGTTAAGAAGTTAAGCGTTAGATTTTACAGAGTAAATCATGCATAGATATATCTCAATGGTTGTTAAAAGAATAAAAGTCCTATAGCTTAGGTTTCTCATGTTATGCCCTTGACGGTTTTGATCAACTAGCTAGCGGATTGTCTGTAGTGAATTATAACGATGAGAAAGCTCGAATTAAAGATCCTTTTCGAAGTGATCTCGACCATCTCACCTATCTTATCTTTTACGAAAAATTTATCTATTCATATTGTTTGAATAAGATCCACATTTGTCAAAAGGAAAAGGGTCTCTTAGATCCATCTACTCATGAATCTTAAGTTGCTACATAATTTACTAGATATGGACATGTTTCCAACTTGTAAGCATTTCATATTTCTAAAGTTGCTAATTTAAATTTGTCGGTCACTTGCCCCCTATTAAGACCATAGTTTTCGTAAAGCAGCCGTTCATTTGTTAACTTACAATAGTACATTCAACTAATTCAAACACTTATTTCGAATTAGCCGGGCCGCGTCCGATCGTGACCGGAAGAAAACCCGATGGAGCACGCCAGCCTTCAGTGGATTTTAGTTTTCGCTTTCCGTCTCTGCCAAACGCGTCCCCAGGCGAGCTGAAGGCTACTCGGCAAAAGCCGTTACAGCTAGCTAACAGCTAAGACCGCCACGTTACGGAGGAAAAACAACGTACCCATATTAAGCATTGTTTGGCAGTTGTCATTTGATCGCCGCATGGAAAACAGCATATCCTTTTCCCCGTTTCTGGTAATATGAAAATCTCAATAGAACTTGTCCACGACGAAGGGACTCAAAGTGTCATGCTTGCACAGAAGGAACAGAACTTCCATCAGAGGCGCTAACAAATCACTAAAATGAGATTGTAGGAACCACAAACATCCTGCAATTAGTGGTAGTAATGAACAAACCCACTATTCACAAAACCAAACATCCTGCAATTAGTGGCTAGGAGTAGTAGTGGTAGTCCAAGGAATAATGATAGCACAAAACCAGAACCCAGAAAGGAAGAAATGATCAAAACCCACTATTCACAAACCAACAAACAAAACAAGCAGCTGTACTGCTATTTCACAAACAAAAATCATATGCCTGCCTCTAAAGCAAAATCAAAAGAAGCTAAGGAGGAAAGAACATGCTGGAGAAAACCAATAAATTTGGGGGGTTAGCAACAATGGAAAGGGGAGGAAAAAGGGGGGGTCAGAGTGATCATGATTACTTCTGAATCGAGATGGGTGTTTTTTCATGAAGATATGGCTGACAGATCTTCAAAAACTGTCTTCATGTCAGGCCTTTCTGCAGCAGATGCCACGCACCTAAGTCCGACGCTTAGCATTCGGTTGGCAACTCTGAGAGACTCCTCTCTATTAGGCGTGTTGATTAGCTGCTTATCGAAGCACTCGTTGCCACGGCTCTCTTCAGCTAATACCCGGACCCAATCTGTCAAATCAACTACTCCATGTTCCCATGGGACAATATCTGCAGAGCTTTTACCGACTAGGAGCTCCAACAGAATGACCCCAAACGCATACACATCGCTGTTCAGCGAAGGGCAGGGCTTGCTCGAACTGGCAAACTCAGGAGGTCTGTATCCAAGAGCACCGGCATTCAGAACTTGCTCTGCTGTTCCTGCTGATGTCATTATCCGGTGGAGGCCGTAGTCGGTCAGCATGGGTTCCAACTGTGGAGGTTGTAATAAAATGTTTGTTGATTTGAGGTTGCCATGAGGCATTGCTTTCTGGTTGTGGATAAAGCTCAGGCATCGACTGATACTAATCGCCACCCTCAGCCTTTCGGGTAGTGATAAAAATGGCAGCTTTCTTTGCTCTGCATCAGAAGCTACACAATGGGGAAATATTTGACATCTCGTTCAGAAAAAAGCCACCAAAACTAGAACAAAGAAAAAATGCAGAACTTTCTGTCAGTAAATGAGGAATTGGAACTTACCCTGAAGATAAAGGCCTAAACTTTGTGCATCAAAGTAGCTATATATAATCATCCTCTCATGATCTTTCGGACCCCAATAGTAACCCACTAGAGGGACGAAATTCGGGTGCCTGATGCTCCCGAGTTTCTTAACTTCCCTCCCAAATTCCTTTCTTCCTTTGGATATCCCTTCCTTTAACCACTTCACAGCTAGGACAGCACCAGAATCGAGTGTTGCTTTATATAGAGTTCCGTGGCAACTCCTGCCAATAACTTCTGCTGGGGCCCGTGAAAGTTCCTCCGCAGTGAATGCTAATGAGCTATCGAACAGATGAAGATCCCCTGCCAATTTGTCAGGGGAGTACACCTTTAGCATACCGGGACTCTCAGGAGAAAGATGGCCTTTAGAAGGGGATGGCTGTGAAGAACAAACGGAAATGGGAGAAGATAATCCTTCCTCCTGTCTGAAATGTTGAGGACTGTCTCTGGGCTTCTCAAGGGTTGATGATGGTTCACCATTGTCATATGCAGTAGATTGCAGCTTGGATGTAGTAGGCAGCAATGAGGACCGACTTTGTACACCACGTTCATTTCTGACAATACCTTTTGAAGTTCCCATCCTAAGATTCTGAAACTGGGTCTTCGAATGGAAAGCTATGCACAAGATGAATAAAATTCCACATGTAACTACAATCCCCAAAATAATTGCAGCTTTAATAGCCGGTCTTAGTCGTGATCGGTGAACTGGAAGAGTCACACCTTGAGAATCACCCTTTGGTGACATTGGAGAGATGGAAATTGTCAACAAGGAGTTCCCTGGGAGAAAAGACGATTCAGGGAAGCGCTTCAAGTTGTCAGGAATAACACCAGACAGGTTGTTGGAAGATACATCGAGCCCTTTTAATCCATCTGGAATTTCTGATGGGATGTCGCCATTCAGACCATTATGAGAGAGGTTCAGATACAGCAACTTATGAAATTGACCAATTTCTGGAGGTATACCACCATTTAATGAGTTATGAGAAAGATCAAGAGATGTCAAGCTGACATTGTGGCTTCCTTGAACCTGTATGGGACCGGTCAGATTGTTGGTCGACAGGTTGAGATCAGTTAACACTGTTGAAGTCAACAAATCAGGGAGGATGGACCCAGTGAGAGAATTGAGACTGAGGTCGATTTCTTTGAGTCCCGGGTATGTCCCCAGGACTGATGGGAGTTCACCATGTATTGAGTTGTTTGATATCTTGAGTGAAGTCAGGTTCGAGAAAGGAGAGGTTTGATTCGGCAGAGTTCCTGTTAGTGAGTTTGAGCTCAGATGAATGATCTCCACGTTGTTTCCCCAGTTCTGGATTCTCGACACGTTCCCTGAAAACATGTTGTTGCTCAGATCTATGATAGAACAATGTGCAACAACAGCAGGCAATACACCTGAGAGGGAATTTGAAGACAGGTTAAGGTTCCTCAGAGTAGTAGAGCTAATGCCTCCTATTGTACCTGTCATGAGAAACATAACATGTTGAGTTAGAGGAAGGGAAGTGAATCACAGTTGATAAGATATGATTAGGTGTGATATGGAGAACCAAGTGGCATATGGAGCTGATTATGCAACATATAGAAGAAAAATTGAAATAAGGAAATGGTAAATTTAGACTCTAAATCACCATTACATGAATTTAAATGGATAATACCACAAGTCGAGATATCTCTTAGCCTCAGCACCTAGATTGTTACCAATTCTATGGACATGTTCATAGGCTTGCAGTTTCTGCAGAAGCTTGTGATAAAGGAGATAGTACTCACTTCCAGAGGGTAAATCAAACAATGACTAGCTTTTATCAACTGATATACATTTGCAATTCTGGAAACCTAAGTACATCAAGGAAGTTCTAAGCTACTTGGTCTACTAAGTATAGCTGTAAGCGTGCACATTGTAGTTATGACTTATGACTTCAGAGGACAGGGATTCAGCTAAAATGTACCTTCTAGCTTATTATTGCTGAGATCCAGCTCAGACAGTAACATCGAACTTTGTTTCAGAAGACCTCCTGGTACAGTTCCTGAGAACTTATTTCCTCCAAGCTTAAGCCTTTGAAGAGAGATAATAAGTTTGAATGGAGGTATTGTACCAACCAACCCATTGTTGGTGGCATCAAAAACCTCCAGACTACCAAAAGATGGTATTCCATGAGCAAACAATTCACCGTTCAACGCGTTATAGCTTATATTTAGATATTGAACCGACGACACAAAGCTAGGACTCCCGAGTTCCAAATCCAATGAACCCAAAAACTGATTGTTGCTCAGATCAACATGAACCAAGCTACCTAGTTCATAGAACAGATTCATGACGTCCCCAGAGAGGCTATTACCATGCAGATCCAAGTACTTCAAAGACTCAAGATTGCGAAAACCCGAAGGAACCATTCCTTGAAAGTTGTTGGCAGAAAGATTCAACGTGACCAAACTCTTCAAATTCACAATGTCAAACGGTACAACACCCTCAAACAAGTTGTTGGATAGATCCAAGAATTGAAGGGACTGGAATGAACCGACATCCGAGATAGTACCACTGAAATGATTGCTCGAAATGGACAGGTTGCTCAACATTTTCAAACCAGAGATCACTGGGAAACTGAAATTCCCACCTAAGCCCATCCCATTCAGATTTATTGAGGCCACACTGCCATCATTGCACACAATCCCATACCAATCCTTGGGACAACCATTGGAAGCCACAGATGTAGAATCCCACGACTCGAGCACTCTCCCCGATAAGTCCTCAACAATACCCTTCCGGAGCTCCAAGAGGGCATCGAAATCAGATTGCCCGAGTGCAGTCACCACCAATAACAGCAATACCACCAAACGTACATTCTGCATTTTGCTTCAGCACCAATATGAAGTATAAACCCTCACCAACAGTCCCTCAATTGTTGTAGCAGGAATGCTACTTGTGAGGAAACCTTAAATAACCATATAACATCTGGGTGGACTACCTTGTAAGGAAATGAGAGACAGCCACCAATCGTCTAAATCTTTTAGGGAAGAAATGGCAAGATTCAAGGTGTACATTTGGGGAGCTAAAGATGGCAAAAGTAGCAAACTTGGTAAATGTCTACATGCTACAGCTCAAAAGATTTCCAAAATCAGACCTTTTTACCTCCAACTGGTAAGCACAGCGAAATCAATCCTAAACCAAACCCAAATAAACCAATGCAGGGAAAGTGCAAACTGCCATACACAAACACGACTTCTCCCCAAGAGACAGAGTATCCTTCACCAATCTAAAACAGCAAAAGAAGATGAATCGAACCCAAGTACGCAACAGTGGTGAGAAGACCAAAAAGCAGGTCAAACCCGAATCTTTCTCTATCTTTCAGCAATGCCCCCATAAAGAAATTGAAGAACCTGAGAGGAGCTGGGGGAACCAAAACGGCAATGGAGATGATGGTTTTGCTCGGCCTGGAACTGGGAGTAGCAGTGGGAAGGGGCGGTAAGGAGGTGAAGCAGAGAGCAAGAGAATCGAAGGAAATTTTGGGGGCGAGAGGAGGAAGGGAGTGAACGGGAGACTAGGGGAAGTAGTACAGATCAGAGAGAGATGGAGAGAGACGAACGAGAGAGTAAAGTAGGTGGACTCTGGACTGGTGGAGTGGTGGTGGGGTTCTACAAATTTTAATTGATTTTGGCTGATTGTGAGAGAGAACTGTGGGGAAAAGGAAAATACAGTAACAGTGCAGTGCAATTACTCGGTTGGAAAATGACAACTGGGGACTGCGGCTGGGTTTTCTTTTTCGTTCTGGTAAATCTGAGTGAGAAAGATTTCACTTTTCTGATCAGTAACGACTTGGTAGTTACTTACTATGAAATACAGTTCTGATTGAGCACAAATAACAAAATTGTGGGTAATGGGAAATCTTTCCTTCTAGAATATGGATCTAATTCATGGAAAGCATCTTTATGTACAACCGATTTAACCCAAGTAAATCGCCAAGCAATAGTGGGTTAATAGCTCTCCCTCGTGTTACTTTCCAGTGCTTTCTTGGATTACATACCGAATTGAAGCAGTCAATCTATCAGCACCGTTAGTGAATATTATGGCGAAAGATTTGATAAAAAAAACTCCACACGAATCAAACTAGTATTTGTAAACTCGAAGTAGCAAAGTTTAATTTAATAAGAAGGGTAACCCCGATAAAAAATTTCATTCATCACGATGAACTCTCCCGTCTATAGATATGCTCACCGACGAACGGACTAAGCGATTTAAACTACTCGCTGATTAATCAATCAACCCAAAATCAATATATTTTTTCCCCAAAGTACCACGCCTTCCTCCATAAACTTGTGCACCGTAGCTTTCCACTTCACTAAATCGTCATCATCATCGTCATCATAGCTTAACTTCTCTACAAGTTTCTTGCTTCTTCATTTCCCCTGGCTTCATTTGTTGCTGGCTACGCCGACAGCGAAGGGTTTTGTTTTAAGGAATTAAAGACGATTCAGACAAATACATGCAATTAATTTAACGTGATGATGGGAGGGGGAGGGGTTTTGTTTTACTCTGTGTTTTGTTCTGTGACCATAGATATTATATACATTACGACGGTCGTCGCCGGAGGAGAAGATAAAAGAAAAGAAGAACCGACGGTGCCACGGTGGTTAGATCAGAAAGAGTTGGACGGCAGAAGACGGCACGTGTACAGCCGATCGGCAAAAGGTTTGGCCAGATAGGATGTTCCAGGCCAGCTCATAGGGATGGCCGCCAGCCAGACAATCAATCATCGGGAGGGTTTTGGTTTGTCTGCCTGACCTTATAAAATGGAAAGAAAAATTGTAACGGAATTGAATTTGGATCGAATTGAATCGCGAATCAATTGAACATGATATAATTATGGTTCTCAATTTTTGTTTTGTTTTTTGTCTAGTCATATCTCTATTCGATCTGGACTAGACCGAATCGTCTGATGCCCACCCTTAATTATGGTAAATAATGAGTTAAAATCTAATCGATTACTTTATTTTTATATTTGTTACGAAATTTACATGAAATTTTGTCTACTTTTGATTTTTGAAGGTTGAGATGAAACTATTGCCCTACTACCAATGTGGCTCCGACTAGGGGTGTGCAACGGTTCGGTTCGGACCAAACTCATGAGAACCGCGGTCCATTAGTGAAAGACATCTTAGGACCAAGAACCATACAACATTGTGTTCGGTTCATTTGGTCCGGTTCGCTCAGATCCAAATGTCAGTTCGGTCCAGCATTTCTTCAGTCATTGTAAAATTCATGTGAACTAAGAACCGGACAGCATTATACTCAATCTGATCCAAACTTCGATTTGGTCCGATCCCGAACCGGCCAATTGCACACCCCTAACTCCAACACGGGGGTGATGGTGCTTTGAAGTTTGAACGAACTCTATCTTTGGATCATATCTAATGGGCCGACGTAAGTAAGACCCATCCATTATATGAATCAGAGTTCGGTAAAGACTAGTCCAGACATTTCACGTATGGATCCGTGATGGGTCGGGACTTGCTGGTTTGCCAACTTATCTTCAACTTCATGAAGGCCCGGCCCAACTCGCACATACTGGGCTAGACATCAATCTGAGTTACAAATCTGCTGCTTCTTTGGGAATGGTCCAAATTCCAGACTCCCATGGGCCATGGCTTGGCTTGGAAGCACAAGAGTAGTATACAAAGGACTCAGTAAACTCTAAATCAATTTGCTTGATCTCAGCTCCCGGTAAATTTGAGTTATTGAGACCAATTGGTTTATAATTGAGGATGACTGTCATTTTAGTCCATCTGTTTCACTTTAGATGTTTCATACCCCATCAAGATTACTCTTTAATGTTCGGGTATTGCTCGTAAGTAACCATGTCGTTCAATCTCTCTATATTATTCTTCAATGACTTGATTACTTACCGAACTTCAACTCGAGAGTACCTTTCTTTCACGTAATCTATTTTAAAGTCAGGTAGGCGCCCACCAAACGCCTAGCTCAGTCACTTATTCTTTCAAGTTCACATTCTTCATAAAATAGAGTGAATCAATCCTCGAAAGTGATCCTTCTACCTAACACACTTCTTACCCTCGTTCTCAAACATAACTATACGATAAAAAATATTTTAAAAAAAATCATTGATTCTGATTCGAACAGTGTCATCCTACAACAAAGACAAAAACTTTTCCATCAAACATCCCCACAATAAGAAGTGATCACATGCATATTACTAAACTTTGATTAACTAATTCCAAAAGGGTCGTCCCTATCAATTCATAATTATAACCACTAATTCAAGTCTAACTTCATGGACCACAAACACTTTGAACTTAAAGTATGCTTTGCCATTTTCAGATCTTGATGAACTCCAAACCTCTTCCTAACTCAATGACACGTACAGGTCTGAGCAAAAGTACTGTAGCATCAGAAGCAACCCAAAAACATGACAACTAATAATAATAATAATATAATTATTATGTTTGATCAATAGTTTAATAATTATTATTATTGCTGTTTACATATCAGTGGGTGAAGTCAATTGCAAAAGAGTGGGAAGAAAAGGTCGGCTGTAGCTGCTACGTGGCTGCAACCCATGTAGTGATTTGCCACAATTTTGGGAAGCATTGCTTAGCTCTGTTGATCTGTCATATAATTTATTTATATATGTGCCAATATTCATTATAAAAAAAATAAATTTTGTTTTGATAACAACTGTTGTGTTCATGAATGTCAAACAGTTCCTTGTATTCGCTATATAGAAACAGTTTCTTGCAAGCTCGTGCAAAGTACATATATATAATATAGGGTTAATATATTTCTCTGGCCCGAACTTTCCACAAATTTAACATCCTGGCCAATCCTTTGAGTAATTAATATCGTGGCCTGAACTTATCATATACTTTACTAATTTAGCCAATTCCGACCTTTGACCGTTAGTTCTGACGGTCAAGCCCGTTGACTAACGGTCAACCCGCCACGTCATCGCCAACTAAGCATCTTTTAACCTAAAATAATCTGATTTTTCACATAATCCCATTTAACTTTTCGTTTTAAACAAAATTTAAAAAAAAAAAACCCTCTCTCTTAAATCGCAGAACAATTGCCCCACCCCCAAATTCGAATACCCTAATTCCCTTTCCCTCTACTCTCCATTTCATCCCCGACATCTAGCATCGCCGTGGAAATAGCAGCGGCGGCCGGTTCCTATGCGTCGTCGCCGACCCGTCTCTTTCGCCGCCGTGCCATCTCTGTTGCCGCCGTACCATCTCTGAACCCCAAGACGTTGAAGCATGTCGAGGAAAAGCGGTAAAATCGCCGGCGAGGTTTCCACATCTTCCGGATCGACTAACACAACCACGATCTGGTTGCTGTGGTCCCTTGCTTGTGTGGCCCCGTCGTCGTCGCTTTCTCCCACCCGCTCTCAATCGACAGAAACAAGAACTGGGGGCGACAGCGACAACTCGAAATCTTCAAATGGGTTCGGGGAGTGGAAGGGAATTGAATCGGAGTTTGAGGAGGGAACGGAATCGACTGCGGCGGCGACTTTACAGGACCGGCCGCCGCTGCGACTTCATCGAAGGATGGAGGGAGAATGGGTTCGTCGGAGGGGAAGGTTTTCGAAAATAAGTGGCTGGGGTGAAATGGTAGGGAATACAAAGCGTCCTGATAAGCTTTTTTTTTAATTTTGGTTAAATGAAAAGTTAAATGGGATTATGTGGAAAATCAGATTATTTTAGGTTAAAAGATGCTTAGTTGGCGATGACGTGGCGGGTTGACCGTTAGTCAACGGGCTTGACCGTCAGAACTAACGGTCAACGGTCGGAATTGGCTAAATTAGTAAAGTATATGATAAGTTCAGGCCACGATATTAATTACTAAAAGGATTGGCCAGGATGTTAAATTTGTGGAAAGTTCGGGCCAGAGAAATATATTAACCCTATAATATATGTAAACTGAATTATTAAACAGGAAACTGAAGCAAGAAAAAAAAAGCTATATTAATAATGTTTAGTTAATCCTTCTCTTGCTTGTGTTTGTTGCTCCTAATGCAGTTATGAGGGTGTTTAGGGTTTGGAGTAGCATAATCATGATCGTGATTTTGTTCTATTTGAAGAAGGTGGAAAGAAGAATGGAGGATTTATAAACGTATTTATCGATAATTTGAAAGGTGGTGTGATCATTAGAACATGATTGTGGATCTTGTACCACGGTCTTAAACTTTCTATCATCGAACATCGATTTCAGAGAGGTTATACTATATATTCGCACAAAATCCTCCGTGATCATATAAATACACCTTATCAACACATATATATTGCTCAGAACCCATCCAAAAAACATCTTTCACAATCACACGCCATATCAATGCAAACGGATGACAACCTACATTCCTGCCTATTTATTGTCAGTCAGTGGCGGACCTAAGGCAAGGGAGGGTGTGTAGTCCGACACACTCTCGCTCGAGAATTTTGTGAAGGACCTACATATTTTTGGTACAAAATTTTTTATTTCGAGATAACCGACACACCTTCAATAATTATAGCCGACACACTTTCATTATACTCGAAGAATTTATTATCCGAATGAATCGGTCTTAATCATGGTATTTTTTTTACATAATCTTCACATAATATAAGGTGTGTTTTGTTGCACTTGCACCTTCCCAACAAAGGAGCATAGAGAGGGCAAGTCAGCGGCATCTGTATGTTAGAATAAAGTTTTCAACTTTTAATGATTGCAAAGAGCCAATTACAAAACAGAAGTGTCAAACTCGAGCTAGCTGTTAGATTCCTTAATACCCTTTGCCCTTTAAACTGTAAATAAATCTGTTATGAAGATACGCAGCAATACTTTTTATAATTTTTATTATTGAGGATGTGATTCAAAACTTGGACAGTAGCTGTTAAAAAGAATAGGACATGTAGTCTTGATCTGATCCTTGCTTGGCGGATGTAAGGGGGAGTGAATTCCCTTGTCCAAGATCTCGATTTTTTTCGAAACGCCTTTTCGATCTCTTTCTCGGTATCGATATACCTTTCGAATAAATGAGATTAATGACAATTTGATCAACGCTTCTCGACAAAGATCCCTGATCAAGTAAAGAAACAAAATTATTGTTTCTTTCATCCCTTCAAATTTTAGAATTATCGAAATCGTAAATTTTTTTTTATGTGACAAATTTTATCATCCTCCCATTATAACTAACCACCCATTTGATTTCTCTTTATTTGTTTGAGCATATCTATACTGTAGATTCTGGTATCTGTCGATTCCTGTCCAACATTTCCTCAAAGGATTCATGCATGGGAACACAAATTCAGCTTAGCACCTCTGACACAGATGCTACATCCCCCAACATATACCCTTCTTCCATGGCTGTCCTCCCCCCCAAAAAACCCTAGTTTTATATAAAGATGGAACACCAAAAATAATAATTGTCTTTGAGAGTTTATGCATGTTCTTAATAATATACTAACTTTATCTTCAATATTTACACATATAAATGGCAATAATGAATGGCGTACTCCTGGATTATATCGTACTCCAAATGATTTGACCGTTGAATCTACTCCATTATACTTCGGCATGTCGGAATCGTCTATTGAGTTTTGAGAATTGGTTATGGTGTTTTTTCATTAGAGATTATGCTAGATGATCATATCTCAAAAATTGATCTAATTCATGAGTTTATGTTGAGATATATCACTAGAAATATACGGTACATAAGGAATAAATCCATCCCGTATAGAGAGAGAAAAATAATTGGCGTGTGCCCTTTAGAATTGAGCAGAAGGTAATGGCCAATTGGCTGGGCTGGCTAGCTTTGCCAAATTCCGAACCAACATTAATTAGCTCCCAAATCCAGATCAGTAAAACTCAAGTAAACCCTAGCCTAGCTATGTGGAAGCAATAGTGTCCACACAAATCTCTATTACTTTATCAATTATGGAGTGGAACTTATATATATGTATCGTGCAATTCCTGTTTATGGGGAACTGACCATGATTTAGATTCATGTATGTTAACTAAGTTTATGGTGGATTAGGGTTCAGGTTCATGTATATATATATTCAAAGAGAAGATCTACAAATGCTTTGGATATGTTTTGTTTTTTGACAACATGTTTGTTTATATTAGTAGCAACATGCTTTATAAAATTTGAAAGCAAGCCAATTATTTGTTGCATTGGTTTCTACTAATTTGTACATAAAAGTAAGGGAGAGGGGGGATTTCATGGCATTCAAAATGTAGTAAAAAGATATTTATTTTGTTAATGGGTAAGTAATATTATGTTTTTTCTTCAAAAGGCCTAGTACATAGATAAGTATTATCACTTTTAGTAAAATAAATTATCAAATTTCATTATCGTTATTGTGATAAATATTGTCTATAACGGGTATGTGTTGGATTGTGTATTTTGATTAACTTACCACCCTAATAAATAAACTATTATAAGGGTGTGGTCATGAATTTTGTCGGTGATGGGCTTCGTTCCTCCCTCAGTGAAATTTTCAATTCGGACTCCAAATACCTTCTCTGAAAGGAAGATGACATTTATTAGATAGTTGGATCTGTGATCAAATGAAATAAATAAGAGAGAAGCAAACCTAAAACCCCGCTTTTGAATACACACGTTTTAGGTGTCGAAGATGGGTAGAATGCATTGATATTTGTTGCTTCTATTCAATGCATAATAACCGAAACTAACTCTGGTTAGATTTTACCTCAGCTTCAACCACTCCGATATTAATTCGTAAGAAAATTCATGATCAAGATCAAGAAGAGTCTGGATTGATGGTGATGAACAAATTCAACATAGGTGAATAATTGAGAACTTTGGAAGTGAAGAAAGATCCAAAAATGGACTAAAGAAACACACAAATACATAGTAAGTTGAGGGAAAGGGGAAAATGGGAAAGGTAAAAGAGGAATCATGTGATATGTTGAAAGTTGAAACTTGAAAACAAGAAGGCAAAGGGTGACTGTGGAAAGGAAGAAAGTGAAAGTGATGGAGTAATGAATAAACTATGGTAATCCCTCACATGTTCTATATAACCATTCCAAAAGCCCACAAAAGAAAGTCAATAAACTACTTAGTAAGCACAATGGCTCGAGTGTCGTCCCTATGGTTTTGTTAAATCACATTTCAACTCCAATACTAAATCAATCGGGTAGTGATGAGGTCTAAAGAACATGAATCAGATAAAAATCCTAAATGCATTAACACGAAAATTGGTATGTAAGTGATACACATCTCGGCTATCAACAAGGTAATGACTCGAAAAAAAAATATGACCCCAATGGTAAGGCTATGCGGTATAGCTATACCATATTGGCGGTACATAATCCTCTAATAAGATGCATACAGTGGTACTATCGTATGTGTTGTATTGTTGTCATGCATACGCATCTTTAGAGTATGATGTGAATAACCATTGGTATGGACAAGTCGAGTCACGATTAAGAATAGACGAATCAATCTATATATTTACCTCCCCTCAAACCCAACCGTTAGTAGTCAGCGAAGATGCAAAACCCTCCCTGAGAGTGCTTGGGATTTAATGATGCACAAACTCGTCGCATCTTGTGTTCGAGTCAAGTGCTAGTATATGGGATCGACCAAGATTCAAAACACACAACCTGTCAGTGAAAGCCTGGTACTGTATTTAGAGTACTACTAGCTGGTTCATCGATCTTAATTTAGCAAATTGGTATAACAAATATAAAAATTGAATCTTATATCAATTTTATATTTATCCGTTTTTGTAATAATGCTTGAATGAAACATCCGAATGGTCGAATTGTCATATGTACATGCATTGCATGGCACATACACAACAATTAGAAGGAAGAAAAGACGATCGACTACCTATTGAGGACTAACCCACTCACTATACCAAACTATAGACACCTTAGATGAACTTCTCCAAACAAATTGAGTGCCCAAAAAAAAAAAGAATCGTGAAGTTCGGAAGTCTCCATCCAACTCCAAAAATCCACCCACCATCATTATATAGCTTTAACTCAATTATTAAATTATGATATTAATATGTTATTGTGGACAAGAATTATCTCTTCTTTCACTTTGGGCAACTTTTTCTCATTTATTCCTGGAATAAACCAAAAAAAAAAAAAGCACCAAAATTTAACCCAAATAAAAAGGAAAATATCAAAATGTGGTAGGATAAGAGACATATAAGTTACAGATATTTGTACCCAACTCCATCTTCTTTTTTTGAGATGGAGCATGGTGCCAAACACTTCCTTTGACAAGTCGAGCGAGAGAAGTGACATCTAGCCAACCTAATGTACAGATTGATCCCAAAGTAATGCATCAACACCACCAAATAACAAGTAGAGGGTAACACCCTGTTTGGGAAAGGGGTGAAAGTTGGCAAAAGGAAGATAATAAAAGGGAGTGGAGAACAGGAAGCTGAAAGGGAAATCAGCCACATCTCATTAAGGCAACAAGCCAAGCATAAGAAAGCAATTAAGGTTGAGAAGATTGCTTAATTGAGTCTGAGTTTTCCTAGAATCTTTTAATTCAATATAAACAATCGAACCACTCTATGTCGTGATGGACACGTTAACTCATCTCGATCTGATAACCGCAACTTAAATATGTATGGTGTCGACATGCCGACCAAAGTTCACCAGCCAACCTGACAAAATTATATCCGTCCAATAAAGTGTCGAAATCAATACTTATTGTCAAACTTATCTTTCCTCAACGGAATGGAAACTACAAGTATTTTTCTTTTTAAAAATAAAATTGATGATATTAACCCTACACCTTCTTTATCTTTTGTTAACCATCTCGACCTGACAATAACCCCAACTTAATTAACATGCATGTTGACTATGACAAAAAAAAAAAATTAACATGCATGTTGTAAGCACATCCACCTGACTCCACCAACTAACCTTATCAAATCATATTCGTCCATTTAAGTGTCAAAGAACTTATCTTTCCTGTGAAATGAAAAACCAAATATATTTTCTTAACTCAATCATATTAACCTACCTCTCCTTATATTTTTACTATTTCATTTTATCAAACATGCCCCTCTACTATTTTTTACACCAAACATGTCCCTGTACTTTGGAAAAATTATCAAACATACCATTTTGTTTAAAATTTCCATTGAAAAAATCAACAATCATGGTTGAACCGAGATTTAGACTACCCGACAACGACAAATGGGAGGAAAAATGTTAGTTTTGTCCCCTGTTTTATTTCTCTATGTCTCGTCAAAGTGAAATTATTAGAATTATTTGGCTATACACAAGAACCAAAAAGATTCTAAAGTGAAATTATTAGGGTTAGTTTAGACATGTCTATCGCTCAAACCAAAGTTCGGCCGTGATTAACGATTTTTGGATGAAAATTTTAACAGAAGGGCATGTTTGGTAATTTTACCAAAGTACATGGGCATGTTTGATATAAAAAATAGTAGAGAGGCATATTTGATAAAACGACATAGTAAAAGGCCATATTATACCTATAATTTTTTTTTTAATCATTGCTCGTGTACAAAATAGAATGACTTGAAGGGAGACAAGAGATGATCTAGAAAAAAAGTACCACAAGAGATTCCATTCTAGGGCTCTCTCTCTAGTCTCTAGCAGCCCAGTTTGACTCTTTCTTCACTTCTCAGGCTCCCCAATTATTAATGTAAGTTGTGAGCAGAACACTGAAAACGAAGTTAAGAGAAGAAATAAAGGTGTGATTTGGTCAACTTCACATCTCCTATACTCGTGCAAAATTATGATGTAATTTGTGGCCGAAGAAACTGGAAAGTGGAAATTGCAGCACAAGGAAACTCATAGCTCATCAATCAAACCCTTCCTTCAAATCTCAACTCTGAGATACAACTCACAATGAAACGCGTTCGCTCAACATCTTCCCCCACCTCCTCCCCCCTACTCGAGCGATAAGATAGTCCTCGGTCACAATCCTAACTCACTTTTGAACTAGTGAGTTTGTCGAACTCTCTTGTCGCCCCCTAACTACAGCTTTTTCGTAGCAGCTGAGCAATCAGCTGCAAATGGACATGACTTTATCCGACTCGAAGAGTAAATCTTGATTCGCTTGAGACGCAATCATCCGCAGAAATTCTAATCAAGGATGTAGATGAACTACCCACAAAGTGTATTTATTGTAGATCGAGAAAAGAAAGGGTCACATGGGATGTGGGTATTAGCTAGGGTTACGACAAAGTCTCTTCTTGACAAATCGCGGGAACAAGACAACACTTGGAATAAGGCAACATGGACAATTTCTTCCATTACTGGACAAAATGGTAATTTCAGACAAAAATAATCACAACCCAACAAAGAGTGGAAAAAAAAAACAGGAAACAACCAAACCCATAAAAAAGGGACAAATTATGGTTGGTTGCAGAGCAGGCGGTAAGAAAAAAATCCATAAAAATTACAGATGCTAAGTAAAAAAAAAGACTTATTTATTTCACACTGGGAAATTACTGTGTTCATTAGTTCAAATGTGATCCTTATTATTATATGATAGAATATATAATTAGAGACACATAAGCTACAAGGGTAAAAATAACTCAAACGGGGGAGAATCACCAACATTTTTAACCTTTTATTTATCTCCTCCCCCACGTCTAATTTTTTTTTTTTACCCTGGCCTCTGCCCTTTTCACCCCCGTTGCTGCTGTGCTGTGGCCATTTCCCCTAAATTTCTAGGCCCTAATGGTAAAAAAAAAAAAAGACACAAAAGAAGACCTGACTGACCGACGAACATCACAAAACACTGAACTATATAGTAAAAATGTAACCCAGAAGACCAAAATGTACTTCTCCTTCCTCCTCCCTTGCTTGATTCTTTACTGGAACCAGATCGACGACACGTCCTGCTGCCGAGGCAGCTGATGATTGTCCACTCCCAGACCTTGTAGATCGATGTCGAATGGCGAAGCAAACATCAGGTTGAAGTTGTTGTTGTTGTTGTTGTTATTGTTGTTGATGTTGTGGTTGTTGCTGCTGATGCCCATGTTGGTGGATTGGACTTGTTCGAAGCTGGCAAGGTTGGTGTCGAATGGAGAGCTGACTGGCTTGAACCGGTCGAGGAACTGACTGCTGGTCTCCGGTGTGAAGATGGATTGCTGATGGTTGTTGTTGTTATTGTTGCTGATGCTGTTGTTTGGTGTGAAGATGGATTGCTGATGGTTGTTGTTGCTGTTGCTGCTGATGCTGTTGTTTTGGAAGTTCGATTCGACGAACATGTTCTGGTGGAAGTAATTCTCAGCTGGCTGATGATGGATTTTCTGCTGCTGCTGCTGGTGCTGGAACAGACTGCTGATGGTCACGACGCTGTTCGCCGAGCTAGTTGTGGTGGTGGTTCTGCTGCAGTCGCTGGTGTCGTAGTTCGACATGAGGTCGCTGATCAGCTTGTGCCCATCTTCAGGAACCCCGGTCAGGTCGATTGGGGCTGTTGCAGTAGACACCGAGGTCACAGCAGGAGACATGATCGGTTTGGGCCGCGGCTGCTGCTGAGGGAAGATCACCGGTTTGACCTCGTCGACATGGAAGTTCGAGCTGGTGTAACCGAGCTTGTAAGGGCAAGCCAGCTGATGGTTGTCCCTTGAGATCCGATCACAGAATCCCAGCCTCACCTGGCTGTAAGGACACTGCACGAACTCGCAAGTGTACAGCTTCTGATCCATCATCATGTTACCCATCTCACCAATTCCAGGTTGCTTCCTCTTCAAGACATTGCTGCTGGTCACAACCTCGCCCTTGATCCCCGAGAAACCGCCAATTCCAAAGCCAGCCATCGCCGGAGGCTTGATCTCGCGAACTTCGAAGCTCGACTCATCGTCCCCGCCTTCCACATCATACTCATTGCAGTCATTGATCACCAGGGAGCCGCCACTCCCACCCTCCAACGGCGGGCAGAAGTTCGGGTAGAGCTCCCGAGCCAGCTTCTCCTCCTGGTTGATGATGGCCAGCCACGTCGCGCTCTCCTTCGCCGTCATCTTGTCCTGCAGGCACTTGGACTGTCGGACGAGCTTCCTGATCTTGTTGATGTCGGGGAACATGTGCTTGATCACGGCCGTGAGAACACCGACCTTCCACGCCTTCTTCAAATCGTGAGGCTTCTTGTACGGCGGAGACGACGACGAGCCTTGCTCCTTGGGAAGCCCCAATTGCGGCCACCATTCCTCACTTCCGTTCGGCCACCACGGCGGCGGGACGCCCTTCTCCAGCGGGAACCGCCGCTGAGGTGGATCGCAGTGCTGCATAAGGGCGGAGAGCAGAGAGCCCAGGGTGGTGTCCTGCAGCTCCTGCAGAGTGTGGGGAGTTGGGCCCATGGAATCCGGCCCGTCGTTCCTTCCGGTGATGGAGTTGTCGGCCTGGTATTTCGCAATAGCCGCCGGCCCATTTCGGTCGAATCGGACCTTATCTTTCCACCATTCCCTCAAATTGTCCGATGCGCCGGTGACCGGCTTGCCCTTTTCCGGGATGATTCCGTAGACGAACCCCTGAGCTTTGCAGACCTCCATCATCTTCAGCATGTACTTGAGGATCCCGTCTTGAGCTCGGGACATTTTTTTCCGGCGAGCTTGCTCCTGAGACTGCCTCTGCTTGGCCACGTCGATTCCTTCCTTAGTCTTGCTCTGTTCCCGCAGCTTTTTCAGGCGCATCTTGTCCCTCCACATGCGGCGCTCCAGCTCGTCCACGTCGATCTCGTCGTCGCTCAGGTCTTCGTCCGCGTTCGGATCTGGGTCGGCTTGTGGGGCGACCAGATCTTCCGCGGTGGAGGAGGCGGCGCCGCCGCCCATGTGAGGCGCGGAGGAGAAGAAATCGATGTCGCTGCAGAATCCCAAGTCTTCAAACATCATCATCTTCGTCTTCTTCTTCTTCTCAATCAATTGATTGATTCTTCACTTCTTCACAGAAACTGAAATTGACCAGAAACCCATCATCACCAACACATCAATTATTGACCTGATTATTGACAGATCGGTAAAAGGAACCAATAGAAAGATGGAGCCACAGATCGGAAGTGAACAGAGGTTTTACGGAAAGAAAAGAAAAAACAGAGGTTTCATGTCAAATTGATTGAAATCTCGATATGCACGACAGCAAGAAGGCCGAATTCCAGAACAAAGTAAGAAGATGGATGGATCTACAGAACCCAATTGAAATCACCCTCAGAAATCAACAAACTAATCCAACCAAATCAAAGTCAAAGTAACCAAAACAGAGAACAACAGCATAATAATTTACTAAAAGAAGAAGTAAAATTATTAAGAGAAACAAAGAAGAAGCAGAGGGATGGATAGACCAAAAAGGGATCATACCCGAGAGAGAGAGAAGAGGTAGGCTGGTCCACGACTATTCTTCCTCTTGGTAACTCAGTTTTTTCTTCAGCCGTCAACACAGAAAGGGGGGATGGATACGAAATTGAAGGAAGAAGAGAGGAAACAGGCGAAAAAGAAAAAGACAAATACAAAAACAAACCCAGTACTAATTATTAATTAAATACTCCGATGAAACTTTATCTGCTCTGTTCTTTCTATCTCCTCTCCGTTTATTGGCTGAAAGCGATGATTGTGATGGGTGTGGAAATGGAAGAGAAGAAGAAAGAAAGAGAGATGGATAGAAATGAAAGGGGTTTTTGAGTAGTGTTGATATGAAGAGTGGTGGTGGCGATGGCGGTGGTGGGATTTTGGGGAAAGGGGGAAAGAGAGAGAAAGGAAAGAGAAATTTTTGGGGAGGAAGAACCTTTGTAGTAGGGATGGTGGAGGTGGGGGAGAAGAAATATTAGTGCTGTAGCTGTTGCTGTTAATGGTGGCAAAATAAAACAAAACAAAAAAAAGCTTCAAACTTTCAAGCAATTAAATAATGGGCAAGCAAAAGCCAGCCTACCCAAAAGCAGGGGAAATCACCGCAACCCAAAAACTATTTCTTTTCTTTATAAAAACAGAGCATCCATGGAAGGAAAGAGGAAGGAGGAAGAAGAAAGGAGAGGTAGGGTAATAGTACTGAACTACCGATGAATAATCCAAACCAAACCCGATATGCAAAAATGAAATATGAAAAGAAAAGGTGAAAGCTTTTTGGATTTTGGAGGGGATGGGATAAGCTGTTTCTATCTCACTTCCATGGCGGCCCTCAGGGTTTTATATTGGTGATGGTGACGACAGAAATGGACAGTGAGAATGGAAGATGATAAGCTCCAAAACGAGTTTTGGTAAAAAAATGAAATTGAAAAAAAGGGGCTTATTATGGGGGTTTGTTAATGTTGTCATTAAGGCTAAAACGAGAAGGTAATGAATGAGGATGGGATATTGGCCGTGTGTGTAAGTTTCCTTTTTCTTTCATTTGGTGCAACATTAATTTTGTTCCCACTGTAATTTGGATAAACAAATCTTTGTGTGATATGATTTGGTTTTTCTCAATTTTCTTTGCCATGTTTATGGATTTGGTATGGGGATTGTTGTTAGTGTGTTACCTTTTTTTCCGGTGTGAAGTATCGTAAAAGTCGGGTATTTATACGTATTTGTGTGACTTTCGACTGATCGATATTTCACAAAACTATAAGAAGATCGATGAAAATAAAACTTAAAAGGTCTATGTCACCACCGTTTGACTTTTAGAATTAAGCATATATCAATTTAAGAAGAATTGATGTTTTAATATCGTATTCTTAGTTAATCAAATAATATCGAGATACCCATTATGTTTTTTTTTCTCTCTTTCTTTGTGTGTTAGATGTTTAGCAGGTGTTCGAGTGTAGTAGGGGATTGTTTGCGAGTTTATGTGACTTGAGTTGGCACTTCATGTCTTCAAAAAATTGAAATAAAGAGGTTGATCGAGGAAAATAAACAACATTATTGAGGGAATGTTTAGGGTTTATTCCTACTGTTATTCTGGTAAGCAATTACGTATCGATATACTTATTATGATTTAATTTCTGTTTGTGTTACATGTTTAGAAAATATTCAACTACAATATTGGAATGTTTCTGAGTTCACGTGGCTTGGAGCTTATCTTTCGAAATGAAAATAACGAGATGAACGATGAAAACAAAGAAAGTGGTCATCATTGCTGGAGAAAAGAAACTGATGTTTTGTTCCCATTTTGGTAAGCAATTACGTACATAGGAGCGTTAAAAATTATATAATGTTTATAAAGGATTGATATCACATCAAAATTCTTATTAGTATACAACTGTAAATTGTTATGAAAGTATTTGAAATACCAAGAAAGTCAGGTGTTTGTACGGGTTTGTGTGACTCTTAGTAGATCGATGTATCATAGCATATGAAGAATATTATTGAAAATAAAGCAGAACGATCGATGCCACTATTATTTAGGATAAATAATTGTGTATGTGTATTGGTTTTAGAAGGATTGGTGTTGTTATGATATATTAGTGAATTAAATAGTATCAAAATATTGTTATGTTTAGTTTTCTTTTTGTGTTAGATGTTAGAAGGTGTTCGAGTACAATATTGGAATATTTTTTAGTTTATGTGGCTTTGAGTTGAACTTCGTGTCTTCGGAAATCACAATAACAAAATAATAAATGAAAACAAAGAAAGCGGTTATTAGAAGAAGAAAAAAACTTAGGGTTTATTCCCATTACGATTTTGGTAAGCAATTATGTACCGAGATACTTGTTATATTTCATTTTCTATCTGTGTTAGATGTTTAGCAAGTCCTCAATTACAATAGTGGAATGTTTGTGAGTTACGTGGTTTGGGGTTGATAATTCGTATCTTCTGCCATGGAAATAATAAGATGATCGATGAAAACAAAGAAAAGCCGTTAATGTTACCGGAGAAAAGAAATTCGGGGTTTGTTCCCGCCATGTTTAGAAATGATTAATTTGGAATCGAAATTCTTATTCACATATTTCTTTTGGTGAGTATCGTTTCAGTGTCCGAGTAATAACTAACAAGTTTGCATGAGTTTATGTGACTTTGGTTAACACTTCTTAAAAAATGGTAATAGCAATACGATGGACGAAAACAAAGAAGGAGATTAGTTAGTAATAACTAACAAGTTTCTAATTTTGTTCTTGTAACTATAGTACATGAAGTTGAGTGCATATTGTTTATCCAAAAAAAAAGTTGAGTGCATATTGGTTTCATAATGACCTATAATGTGACCATCATATCAAATTAACTAGTCCGAGATATTGAACAAATGTTTTTCGTTGCGTTGTCTGTTTAGCGAGTTTTCAAGTAACTTAAAGGAAATATTTGTACGAGCTTATATGGTTTTGAGCTAATGCTTCAATAGCAAGATGATCGATGAAACAAAGAAAGCGGTCAAGATTAATGAACAAATATTAAGGGACTTAATTTTGGTCATGATATTATTTAAGTATATAATTTTGTAATATTAATTGGTTTGAAAATTATCCATATTGTCTACTATACTATAATAACAAATTAATTAGTATGAATATCCCTATCATTTCCTTTTTCTTTTGTATATGATGTTTATTGAGTATTCAAAAATATTAAAATAGAATATTTTGAAGAGTTGATGTGACTTCGAGTTAATACTCGAGACCATATAAAACGTTAATATCTTTTTGGTATATAACTTTTTGTGTATGATTTATTAAGTTTAAGCAGTTTCATATAACTTATGGTCCAAATTAAATGTGGAATATCAGCATGCAAATCCAGCATTGTAGTAACCTAAAAGGAGGTTGGAACTTGTAGCAACTCAAAATGGTAAACCTAACTTTGGGTAGTAAACTCATTGGTTGAACCGGTGGTTGAGATGGGTTTGTCTTTCGAGTTTGATAATTAATCTCCTTAATCAAGTTGATTTAAACTCCTGAATATTACTATAAAGAATAATCCTAACCTCTTTGTTAGCTTGTCCGACATGACTAGGGCAAGGTTGCAAGAGTATGATTTTCAGGTTGTCAGCGGATCGAGTTGGAATAGTCAGCATACAAATTCATGTTGCTGGTGCTATCAAGGGAAAGAGAAGTTCGCGTTGTACCCTCCTTGTTGAAAACCAGTGAAGGTACCACATACCGCGATACTCAAATCTTTGTTCACAAAGAAATTTTGTTAAAATTGCTATGTTTCGAACTCAAGACCCTCTAACTACGCTTTTGGTCCTCCCACTCAAGATTTGAACCGGGATCTTCTGGCTCGGGTCCTTCTGGGCTGAACTATAGGGGAGGCAGGCACCTGTCTTTCCTTCATCTTCATCCTCTTAACAGATTTAGAAACGGTAGATATCTCATTGGAAAAGAAACGAGAAATATCTAGCACACATAAGGAAATGACGTCCTGAATCGGGTCACCACACAGGCTATGGTCCATATTTCTACACAGATTATAAACAAGAGTGACGTTTTCCTACCCAGAAAATGGATCACACAACCTTCCAGCAAGACCCTTTAAAAATCCCAATTATCGTGGTTTCATTTGTCTCTTTTCCCCCCATCATTTAATGTTCTATTGTGTAGGCACAAACTCCCATCTGCATGGCGGAAAACAGGAAAAATTCATATCAGTGGGCCTGGTTTCCAACCTGTTCTTGAGTCGTAACCGGCCAACGACCGGGCCAAACCGAAAAACCCCCATCATGGTTCTGTCCGGTTCTTTTCGGTATCAGAGGACAGCAATGAATGTTCAGCAATGCAGTTTCCATATGACAAGGAAAGGTAGAAAGCTTCCTGAATTCTCATTTGAGGATCATCTCTAGCACAAGAAAACATCCCTTCCTGTTTTGAATCTCTAGTCTTAATATAGGGAAAGTAGCTCCTCTGGTTTCTAACAGAAGGAAAAGAAAAAGCTCATTCCTTCTGATGGGAGAGAGCTTGATAGGGAAGAAGGTAGAGTTTCCACCTCCTCCTCCTCCTCCCTCTTTAATCGAACATATTGGGAAGTGGTCTCACTGCCATGAAAGCATCCACCATCTGGAAACATAAATGTGATGTGGATCATTCAACTAGATATATCTGAAACCAAGTTAAAGGGACCTAGGGTGAGAGTTAGGGGGTGTGTGGAACTTACTTCTTCCGTGACAGCAGCCCGAGCTGCACGATGTCTATCTACCAGTTCTGTCAGAACATCGGCTAGTCTCTTCTTCACCTCCCCAGTCAACATCCGTCCAGCACCATATTCCTGGGCAGTAGATACGGTAAGGAAACATGATTTCGTATTAAAGTGAAAAATGGAGAAAGTGGTAGATTCTGCCTAAGAAGAAGGGAAAGAGGCCTCACTGTCTTAATGTGCTCCAGCTCGGCATCATCTTCCAAGAAGAAACTTAGGTACTTCACCGGTATGTCCACCTGGATGTTCCAGAACCAAACTATTAACAGTCATTGCTAAAGGGATTGTTGTTTAAGCAAGACTAGTGTGATGTTTTGAAATGGGTTTTAGAGAGATTTATATATGTTAGAACCAAGATCGAGTACCTCAAGATTGGCACCAAGTTCTCTGTGCTTCTCTATGGAGTCTTGCCCACCAGAGAATGCATACTTATTTATCTGTCACAGTTAACATATAATTATAGGCTACCATTACTTTTCATATCACATAAGGACTACAAATGTGAAACATGATCATAGGTACCATCGGGTTTGTATCAAACACAGCAGCAGCAAAGGTAAAGTATACTTTAGTAAGTTAATTATTCATTGTGCATAGGAATTAAGTTACTGTAAGAATCACAGGAAGGAAACCAGGCAACTGACTGAAAAACGGATCTTCTACCAAAAGAAGAAGAAACTCACAAAAACAGACTTAGCTGCATACGTAGGAAAAATAAAAGTAATAATCATATGCAGAATCCGGATCATACCTTGTTTTTAATGACCTTGGCCGAATCTGTCACATATATAGCAGAATTTGGATCACTGGCAGACATTTTTCCTGTTTCACCCTACAAATCATATTTACAATCAATGGTGCTGATTGTTAGTGATGCCACAAAAGACACCAAAACTTCTTAAAGCACACATAGAAATCTATAAAAGAACTATGTTCATCCCAACAAGAAACTGATTGAGCTGGCTGAAGTATATTATTCGAGGTCTGGTGGCAAATTTCTTGTAATGAAATGGAAAAAAAGGTCACAGCAGGAGGATATGAGTCACAACAACAACTTCCTGGTAACTCTCCTAATGAATTCAATTGCATTAAAATTTAAAGTGATGCAGCCATGGTATAGTTTCTTTTCCCCAGAATAGGAGGGCTACTATATGTTTGTACACCAGGTTACCTGCAGGGCTGGGAAAAAAGACGACTCAATCAGAGAAGGTTTATGATATCCTAGCCTCGGTGCAACATCTCGTGTCATTCTGAAATATGGATCCTGTAAAATTTAAAGAGTGAAAGAGTTAGAGAAGAGAGAAGGCTATAAAAAGATGATGTCACATGTTTTAGTTTCCTATCATTTCACCAGCTGCACTTTTCTATACCAAAAGTCAACAGAAAAATGTAACTAAATAGGGCCTGACCTGATCAATTGCGCAAGGAATCAAACAACGGAGGTCATCTTTCCCAGAGAACAAGTGTGGGAATGAACTAGGAAATGACGGTGCTGCCTGTACTACAGCAAAAGGGAATTCTGTTAAATCTCTTGCTCCCACATACTTCCCCAACTAACCAATAATGGACAGAAAGGAGACAACTGGAGAACATAGGTCCATAGAACAGAAATCTTAATTGCAATGCATGTCAAGTTTCTGACCTGAATAGGTGGAAAACTAACTTTTCCAATGTGATCTTCACCACTGAAACCAAATATGCCCACAACCTGCATATAAGTGGTAATATTGATATTAGTGCCAATGTAGGTATCCCACCAGAAGTAGAGAAAAGAGAAAAAGGAGCCCAAAGGAAACCAACCTTATTGTACGTGACACACTTTGCAATCCTCACCATGTTCTTGTAAAAGGATCTGCATGCATGAATCTCATGTCATATTAGTAAAGTTGTAAATATAACAGCACACTGATACATGCAACAGAATAAGAAGATATATGCCCATACATGTTCCGAATCACATCTTTGATAAAACAAAACCATATCATAGCCATTCGAATGGTTTCTTACCCGCCAACATAATCAAAATCTGAAAAGATGAATGTCTTTGTGACGTCAAAACCACATGCTATAATGTCTTTGGCATTTTCACGGGCAAGTCTCTGGCACTCTTCAACTGAGAGGTTTTTCCACATGCATTTCTCATCATCAGTAAGTTGAATAACTAGTGGCACCTTGAAGGCATCTTGCAAATACCTGCAAACGTGGTGATAACAGATTAACCGATAAATCTAGTTCACTTGATATCTCAATCTAAGGACTTCCAACATCATATCAGCAATGTTAGCAAATATAAGATTAACTCACTTGGTAAACATAAATGGTACAAGATGGCCAAGATGCAAAGCTTCAGAGGATGGGCCTCTTCCAGTATAAAGGTAGAACTTTTTCCCTTTCTCATATCCATTCAGAATCTCATCAAAATCCCTATGGGCAAAGAAAACTCCACGGCGGAGGAAGACATGAGCAGGTCTGCCGGTTAGTCGTTGGACACGGTCCACTAATGGCTCTTCAAGCCTTTGGCAACCAAATTTGTCTATAAGCTTATCATAGTCGATCTTTCCTCCATCTTTCGCTGTTACCTCCCATGGATTCACCACCTGCTCCTGCTCTTCTTCCTGCTTATCCTCTCTCTTCTCCATCTTCCCCTATGATCACTTCCCACTCTCTCCTAAACTCTGAAGGGGAAAACCACAAGAACTAGATTCAGTATCCAATTTGACATTGGCAAAATAATAATGCATACATGGGTTTTCAATTATACTGCACTCAATCGTAATTCGCAAGAGCGCTAATCAAGTATTAGCACCAAAGTTTAAAGCTTTCAGACAGAAGAGAACGAGAAGGCACCGGTGAAGCCACTATAGAGAGGCAGAAGCTAGCTACAAGGAATTCAACTGAGTGAAAAAAACAGAATCTCCAAATCACCACACTTGAATGCTTTGAAGTACATCGATTTCAATAGAACCCAACCAGTTAGATGGAGAAAAATCGTAGCTTTTGATTCGATTGAGACTTCAAACTATCGAGAATACTGTCTTTTCTAAGTGTGAATTACCTGGAACCAGGATTCCTTTGGCCGCCGGACAGTTGTTGCCGCCTTGTCGAATCCAACCCAACCGACGAGAAAGAGGGAGAGGAGAGATAGAGAGTCAGAGTGTCAGACAGAAGAGAGTCGTCGCCGCCGCCGATAAGATGCCCGCAATTTTGCCCTACGCTTCGGAGACGTGACTGAAAAACCAACGCGGAAAAAGGAAACGGAAAAACGGGAATTAGAAAGCTGAAACGTATTTCTCCTCAAACCATAATCGAAACGTGTGAAATTGTCAAGAACTGAAGAAAGTAAACTTCGAAATCCCAATAGAAAGACCTACGGCAGAGTAAGCTTATGTGGCATTGTATTGAACGAGATGCTGTAGTGTTCAACATGGAGTAGATTAGGGTAATTTATGTCTATTTCTTTATGTTAATTAGAGTTGCAGGAGTACATATTATGCTATTGTATTGAACTAACTTGGTCTGTAGCTTCATTTTCCTCATACCATGAACAGCCGGTACACAACAGAGAGAGACACAGAAAGGGTCGACCATACAACAGTTTCAAAGATCACACTACCACTGCCTATAACAATAACTTGACCAGAACGAGATGCCAGCGCCAGGTCAAAGTGTAATTACAGGAAGCTTCAACACTGTAAGAGTTCTGTAACAGTTACTAAAATAAACATGACTGTTCTATTTCAGCCCTATAGGAGAAACCCGACTGGTACCCAACTCGTAAAAGATGGCAACATCCAGCCTTCCCCAGACGGTGTGCGATCAAATGACTTGAAGAGCATTGTCATGTGTCCTGGAAGCTGAATCATTACCAAATAGGTGTTGAATAGGAAAAAACTTCAAGGTTCGCCCAGACAGCTAGTATGATATCACCAGAGCCACTTCCGCCTCTCGTCTTTTTTCGTTGGTCTCTTTCTACTCCTGCTTCTATTCACCTCCGAAGCATCAGCAGCGTTATTCCCCTGCACATTGTCCACAAAAACCAGCTTATAGCTCAGCAATCCAGAACATAAACATACACATCCTGAATTGCGGAGTAATCTAATGGAGTAACGGACTTGTTTTATTTCTACTAGTTTATAATGAAATGGTCACACCACAGAATGCACTCTAGCGTTCCTTGCAGTGTCGGAGGCTTGGAGAATATAGTGCAGTTGACAATAGAAGGATCTTAATTTCTAAATGCAAGATAGCAGTATCGATTAGTCATTCAAAAGCTAATCCGAAACTGGCTCTACTCTTGATTCTGAGAATGAAAAATCAGGAACTTCAATATAATACTAGAAGGAAACTTCAAAGTTACTCCCCAAAATAATGCATTGGTTACAGTACACAACTGCAATAGACTTCTACCCTATGATTGATTCAGACGTTCAAGAAAACTAGCAAATAGACAGCTCAATTCTTTAGAGACTTAAACTTATTCAACTTAGAATTATGTGGGACCGGTAGTTGTGAAAAGCGAGTTCAGATTAACAAGATAACAATTCTTACCTTGCTTACAGAAGCTGCTTGATTTGTGTTCTTCTTTTTCAGGCATGACAGTGGATTTGGCCCCTACAAAATTACATGAGAAACAGATGGACATCAAGATAATATTATTAGAAATAGAAAGCATATGTATCAATGATGTGGCATGTAGTAATCACAATCTGATGACGTTAAAATCAGGCGAATCCAGGGGGCACATAACAGAACTACGGTAAAAAAACATTAAGCAACCCAAGCCATTATTGCTACGAGTGTTATGCACGACACAGCTCTGCAGTTTTTTTCAGAATCGCAAAAGTGGAAAGCGTGAAGCATGATCAGTCGATCACACACAACAATCCAAGTCACTTGCCCTTGCAGGGTTGAACAAGTTATGACTAAACTAGTACAGCAAATATGATGTCTGCTAGACAGGCAGAAGAGAAAAAGAAAAATGACTAAATTCTCAACTTTCAAGCAAACAAATAATTAGCAAACACAATGGGCACAGCACCAACATCTTATATAGATAGCTGGACTGGACAATAGCAATCAACAATACACCGCAGTGATGAAGAAAGCACCCAGGTTTGAAGGAATGAAGAGAAGGTTGCCATCCAGCTTGAGGAAAGTAAAAGCAGAAGCAAAGAGAAGTGACACCAGACCTTGGCTCTCTTCCTCTTAAATTGAGGCCTATCTTTGACATTTAGTGCAGTATTGCGTACGTCATGCTTTGCACCTTCATGTTCATCTGCAGAAGCGCCTATTTCTGCAGTTTCCAAGATGTGACCAGTCTCCTTTATTAAAGCCTCACGCTCTTGCTCTGACAGCTTAGAGCGTCGTGCTTCAGAACTTTTGGCAAACTCATGCTGAAATGTTGATGGCTGCTCAAGGAAGAGTGCATTTCTCAGACCATAAACCAACGGGACACCTGGTACCTGGAGATTATAATTTTGTACTCTGTGAGCAATCTCCCCACTAAATTTCAAAACATTCAACAAAAAGTTCCATACTTTCTTAAGGAAACTATAACACACAGTTCCGGACCATTGACATGGGAGGAGGGTTGGCGCAAAATTCACTAAGGTTGAGTTTATGCATATAAAGAGCTTGCCTTTGCTATATAATCACACATGCCTTTCAAGTAATTCTCCAAGGTGTGTACCTAGAACAATCTGTTTGATGTTTCAATTGAAGTTCAAGTAAAAGTACCGCACTCTACCTCTTGGAACTTCTTCCGCAAATCAGCATCCTGGGTAGCAACAAAGAAATGCTCTGGATTATTTTCCCCAACTATGTCTATCAGGCAAGCTTCTGCACTCTTCTTCCCCTCGTGATCGCACCTGCCATCAAGATTGAACTCCAGTAAGCCCCTTTCGGACACCTCTAATCACAAAGAGGGAGGAGAATCACAATTCCCACAAAATCCAAATTATTCATTACCTTGCAGTCATGAGCTTATGAGCAGCCTCGAGGGATTCAGAAAATGAAGGGCCGAGCCGTTTAAGCTCCTCAACAACGCACCTGCAAATTCGAAGCTCCAAAATGAGTTCAAAAGAAAAGTATGTTCAAAATAGCATGAAAGGAAGAAATCCCAATTCAGGAGCTGAAGGAAAAAACCTGGAAGTGAAGAGCTTCACGGGGCCGCCGAGGACAGTGGAGATGGCCGTATCGGCAGGAACGACGCGATTCGCGATGAGGTGGTGGATGAACGTGCCGTCGCAGAAAACCTTGTACGGCTGCCGGAATCCGAAACAAGCCGTGAAGAAACGCACGGCTCGCCGGTGCCGCTTCTGCTTCTTCACCTTCATCACGCCAATAAACTTCTGATTGCTGCGAACGACGGGAAAACGGCGGCGAGTCCGGAGGACAGCTTGGGAATTCGCGGCGAGGTCAAGGGTTTAAGACGTCAGGAGGGTTTACACTTTACCGTCTTCGGTTTAAGCTTAGCGGGAGGAAGGAGAGGGAGAGAGAGCAGTATTGGGCCTGGGCCCAAATCCCCAATTCGGGCTGCCTAACATGGCCCAGAATTTACCTGCCTTTGTGAAAGCTCAAAGCTTGCCGCTCGGAGGAAAATCAGACAAAACTTCGCGCCGTAGCTTTGCTCCGATTTCTCTCCAATGGCCGCCGACGGAACCAGAAGGCCTCAACCTTCAATCCTTCCGCCTCGTAAGCTCAATGTCCAGAAATTTGCCGAATCGCGAGCTTCAGAGCTCGACGCTCTTCACTCCATAGTATCGAAACGACTGAAGGAGGATTTCCGCTCACAGAGGAACAAGCGGCGGAGGACGACCTCCTACGACAACCAAGCGGCCAAGTGGAGATACAGAAAGAGGCAGAAGTCTGGAGCTTCCGACATTACCGGTGCTTCCGCTCCGGAGAAAGAGAGAATCGGCGAGAAACGGGTGCCTCGCCGGGTTCGCCGGAGAGAGGAGCTCCGGAAGAATCCCGAGCATGGTTTCGTTACCTCCGGCGACGGGACCAAGAGGTTGAGGACGCATGTTTGGTTGGCTAAGAGGTTTACAATGACGAAGCTCTGGGGATTCCATCTTCCCCTTGGATTGCACGGCAGGTGAGAACTGACAAAATGAGAACTTTTACTTAAGTTCTGTTTTCAATTTTGTGCCTTTTTGTTTTGTTTTGTTGATAAGAGTTTGATTTCTTGGGTTCGGGTTTGCAGAGGAAAGGGCTCTAGAGCGGCATTGAGGTGGTTCAAGGAGGGAGCTGTTGTTCATGATGCAAGTTACCATTCAGCTGTTCAGCTGGAAGGTCCAGAGGTAGCAAGCTATTTCTAGCTTATGCTTATCTTACTGAACCAGAACCTTTGCTTCAGTTTATCAATGTTTAGTGTTGAATCTAAGTGATCTAAGTCAAGAAATGATCTTTCTGTGATTAGAATTTGAAAACACTAGACAACTTTAATGCTGAATCTGTCAATTGCAACTTCTAGGATTCTTTGTTGTCAGTTCTGGGAATGGTGCTGGTGCCTTCTTTGTCACCTCAATCGGTGGATGCTTTCAGCTCTATTATATCTGGAGTTAGTTATGGAACTGCAATGGTATGTCGTCTATTGACCTCCTTCATTTGACCTAGGAGATTTAAGGGTGTGGATCTTTGAATTCCGTTGCTCTTTGCAGCTTCATCATGTAGGACAGCCCACCTCTCAAGCAATAGCACCAGTGACTTACTTGTGGCGTCCCTCTACTGGTGTCAGTGGGGACAGAGGAGACAACAAGGATAGTGCTAGTGAAGGTGATGTGCCACAGAACTCAGAGCCTTGTTGCTCCTCTCGCCAGCTATGGATGTGGATTCATGCTTCAGCTTTTACTGAGGGATATGATGCCCTAAAATTTGCATGTCAGAAACAGGTTAGGTATCCCCTCGAAGATCGTAGATTTGAATTCTACTCTAGCTAACTCTTTAGGACTTTTTATCTGGTTATCTAGTAATGCTTTTACTAATTGATTCAAAGTTGCTGTTTTGCTTATCAATTGCTGGAAGTTGTGACTTGGCTCTCTCAGCTGCTTTTTTGTGTTATGTGTTCTTAGTTGTTTGCTCTTTTTATTCAGATGAATGATCGAAATGTGTCAATTAACTGTTGTTCACTTGAAGGTCAACTTGCTAAAATAGAAGTTATGGGAGCCAAAGCATCTCAGCTTCTTCAAAGGACGTTACATCCTATTTCTGGGTGAGTTGCATATTGATAATATCTATTTTGCGCAAGAAGAGAACAGGTACTAAATTTCTTAATGTCATGATGGTTTTGCAGCACAAATTCAGAAACTCCTTACTCCTTAAAGAATTGCTCTTTTCTAGAGGATCAACAGGACACTCATGTCCTTAAGTCGTCTACTCCTGAGCATGACATCCTCTCGGGTTCCTCTGTTTTATATCTTACTGTGAAGGACCCGCGTTGCCTCCACGACAACAGTACTGAAGATCCTTCAGAGTCATCTCCTCCCAGCAATGTGGCCGATATTGAAGCTAAAGAAAATGCTGAAGCACTACTTCTATCGCCCGAGTCAAAATCTGAGGGAACTTCCCATAGTTCAGAAAAGAATATATGGGATGTTAGAGCTGGAGATAATATTCCTATTGATGATCATTTACTGTGCTTGGAAAAACATCAAATGCGAAGGGATTTTATTTGCGTCAATGATCCAAAGTTGGGAAGGCCTAAAGCTTGCACAGAGGTGCAGGGTTCAAGATCATGTCCTATTTTGGTTCTGAAAAACCATGACAAAATGGACCAACCATTAGGGTAAATTCCTTGCCTGTTCATTCTTATGTTGTGATGGATTACTCACCGGTTCATCAGTTGATGCCCATCAATCTTCTATACGTGCTATATATCTCTCTTTTTTTTCCGACTTCATGTCAATGTAGGATTAAATGTTTCAGTATCTGAAAATATCCTTGTTGTTGTTTTCCCCCCAGATGGTCAATTATAGTTCCAGTAAACTGGGCCCGAATCTTCTGGAATCAGTTTGTATCCAAGGAAGCTCATGCAATAGGTCTGAGAGAGAAACAGTGGATAGCATGTGAAGTAAGTGAATCAATCAATAGCTCAAATTTTCAATTTCATTTTCCAAACAAATATTAATACTTTCCTGTCATTTGCAGGTCGGGTTGCCTCATTTTCCATCAGATTTTCCTGATTGTAATGCATACTGGTCTCATAAGATTGCCGAGGGTACTTGTATAAGTAAAAAGGACGAACTAAAACCTCTTGCTGTAAGGTCTTTCGAAGTTCCCATTCCACCACCATGGAATACTGTTAGTGTTAGCCTTGTGAAAGAACTTCACAGTGAGAAAGATACAGTTAGTGGCAAACTTAATGGATTTGTAGCAAGAGCTTCAAGTTTGATGATGGACATCTTGAAGGAAATCCAGGGTGATAAATTATTTCTGTTCCCCCAAGTTCTGAATTCAGACTCGAGGTTGTTGGCATCAATGAAGGATGGAATCAAAGTTGGCAATGGTGTGGATGCTTGTAGTAAGCCTATAAACTATAATCTTCATAAACCATGTTTCCTCAGAGTTCTCCTTGCTACATTCAAGGAAGGCGTCATTGAAGAAGGAGCTGTCGTGTGTGCCCCTCTTGCTAGTGACATTTCTCTATGGACTAAAAGGTATTTCTCGTTGCAGACTGAATAGTTTCTTCGATTTCAAACACCACCACCCAGCAGTACTCTTGATTATCTTCATGATCATCCTGAGTTGATTACAACTTGTTCTCTGAATAGTTTATGAACTTATGTGGTTGTTTCTTGCATCAAATCGTTCCCCACCCCTAATTGGGGTTACTATCATATGTGGAATGCATGGAATCTTCTTTCTTTATCATTGTTAGAGCTCAAATGTTTCATTGTGGTCTCCCTTGAAACTTCAGTTTTAATATCCTTTCTACTGTGCTTCGTATAGTACCACTGTCAGGTTAGATAACCTCGACACCAAGTTTCAAGTCCCTGACTCTTCTGTGAGGTCATACTTCCAAAAGCATTATTCAGGAGAGTGGAACCTGCAGATCCCACAAGATCCTGCCAGCATCGAATCTCATCGATGGCCTATCGGATTTGTGACAACTGGATTCGTCCGTGGAAGGTTAGTAGGTGTTCACTTCTATTGGTTCGTTGCCTATCACTAACAACAAATTTATATGAACATTTGTCCATCTTGATGCAGCAAGAAGCCAGCGGCACAAGCATTCTGCGAGGCGATTCTGTTATCCCGCCTGAGGGAAGAACAGTGGAAAGAAATGCCTGTGGAGCAGAGGAGGAAGGAAATATATGTCCTCGTCAGAAATCTGAGATCCTCGGCATACAGACTCGCTCTTGCCACTGTAGTCCTCGAACAACAAGAACACGACGTCGACTTCTTGTAAAGACAGATTGTACGAATTTCATGAACTGCAACATTCCCGCGAACATCAAACAACCTGTTAGTGTTTTCTTTTCCTCTTTGTTTTACAATCCAACTCAAATATCCCTTTTTGCATTCGTGTAAAGTTGCTACCCCCAAATGATCAACCAGACTTACATACAGAGAATCACATCCATTACTACAATGGCAGAGTGTTGTTATCAACCAAAACCTCACTCATCTCCCGCCGGTGCCGGCGAGCCTCTTGCCGGTCAACCCGCAAGCCAGCGCCTCACTAGGCACGTCCCCAACAAGATGCACACCCTCTGCAAACACAACACCCATCCCCATATGCAAATGCGGCTCAATGTGACAATGAAACGCCCAGACACCAGGATTATCTGCCACGAACCTCAACGCCGTCCACCCATAAGGGAAAATCACCGCCGTGTTCCTCAGCGGCGGGTTCTTCAAGTTGAACATCTTCTCATCACCTTCCTCAAACCTCCCTTCACCATACCCCAGCACCCAGAAATCATGCCCGTGCAGATGCCACGGGTGGATCTCGCTCGTGTTCGCTGCCAACGCGTTCGCGTTCTGCAGGATCACATCCACCGTCGTGTTGAACTCGATCTCGTACACCCCATTCCCCGTCGTCGTGTTGGGATTCACCGGAGGCACCATGATGTTGTACCCTGCCGCGAAGCTCTCTGGTGGCGGGGTCTGGTCGAATGCAGCCTTCAGGCCGTGCTTGATCGACCCCAGGTAAGGAGTGGGAGGCAGAGACAGTGAGACATTATTGATTGCCCACTTGATGTAGCCGTTGATCCTGTTCTGCGTGTTGAGCAGGACGATTCGACGGTGGGTGGTCGTCGGAGGCTGAGGGGTGCCCATGAGGGATGTCAGCTTGTTGGTGAACGACTTGCTGTGGGCGTAGTCGTTCCATTGGGGAGTTGGAGGTGGTGGCGAGAGAGGGAGCTTTGATGCAGAGTTTGGAAGATAGTTTAGCAGTGCTAGGGCTTGCGGGGTTCGAGGTTGCCGGCCACGGACTCCGATGGAGATCCAGTGATTGGTTGAAGGGTTTTGGTTTGTGTTGAAGATGACGGAGTAGCTCTCGCCGGAGTAGATGTCGATGTCGTTTGTCTCGAATGGCTGGATGTAGTTGCCGTCGGCTTCTACCACCACCATTTTGTGATTCTGCCAACACAAAAATGAAAGACTGAGACTATTAGATAGAGTTAGGGTGAATAGTCACTAGTGAGTAATCCTTGACCAACAAGGATTGCAGTAGAGTTGGACTAAGTTACACTTAATTCTGACTTATCAATATCAATATATTCACTCTTTAGCAACATAATCAACAATTGAATTCATGCATAAAATTAACGGGCAAAGGATTTATTAAGTACCTCGTGTTTGTGACAATCAAATTCTATGTATTGATGTGGTGAGATCGAGCGGTACGCACAACATGTTACACTCCACATTGAATTTTTCGATAATTCTAAATCTAAAACACTACGAATCAAAGTCTTTGATTCCACCACATGTCTCTAAGTAAAAGTAGAAAGTTGACTGCTCATGCAAAGACTATAATGAATGTGGATGACTGTATTTTGGGAGGATGGTAGACTTCATCCAACCAACTATGCAAACTATTTCTAGGCTGAAGAATAGTGACAAAGGATGGTCAACTTGTGGGGTTATACACCCATTTGGGTTCTCACATAGATGGCAATATGTGTGTGGCTCACATTCTTGTTAGTTCCTTTTGCATGTCAAAAGATTGAAGCATGGAAAGGATATAAGAGAGGACAAAGGGGGCTCCATTATGGATTGAGTGAAAGTGGTCATTTTATGTGGTGCTTTAGCTTTGCTATTGTGAATGCCAACCTCAAATGGCATCTTTATGCTTTTGGACAACACGGTTATGCTCAAGTAGAATGACATCTTGGCTGGGTATAGGATAGATTGGCTATTTTTTCTCTTTACGAGGGAGATGGAAAGATGCATCTTTCACTCATAAAAATTCAGGTGAAAGTTCATTTTGAAATTCGCATTTAGAATCGTCATGTTCAAAATCATTAGTGATATCGTTAGAACAAGTTCTCGTTCACTATATTTTTGGTTTCAGTTTACAAATTTAAGAGAACCTCGAACCAAAGAGATTTCATTGATTGACAATGGTAATGTTATAACTCTGAATCGTCCACTCTTATAAGTTTTGTTGGATATTAATAAGAATCGGGATATTACTGGTATGTATATGTTGGATGTCGTTATGAAAAAATGTTAGAAAGGCAAAAAGATATTAATAATTTTTGCAATAAACCCTTATGCTATTTCTTCTTACCATCTATCTATAGTCCTTTCTCAATTAGACAATTCAAACCCCCCTTTGTTTTCTTCTGCAATTAAGTTTCATATTCCTATTTCTTTGGTACTTATTCCAAAAGAACTAATTCTTCCAACACCTTTCCAACTTAGACTAGATGGAAAGATGAAGATGAACCACTCCCACTAGCTACCAACTTTTCAAGATTAGCTATGAGGTGTTACCAACCAATAAGCTATTTTTCTTGTAGTGGAAAAGACCCCCAAAAGAAGCAATTATTAATCATATTTGTCACTCCTCCATAACATCATCAACATGGATGAAAGATCAATAATTTTTCTAAGATAAAAAGGAGATCTCATAATTTTTTATGATCTATAAATGATAAGAAAAAAAGTATTCCCCACTTGTTTTAGGCACTTTGTTCCCTCCCACCCCATCCTTCCACCGCATGCTCCCTTCTCATTTCTGAAGAATGAGTAGTGGGGCACCATTGCTAATGCTTGGACTCCACTTTCTGGAAGGAAAAAAATTTGTGGTTCTCATCTAACTTTTTCAATAATTTCAAGTGAATTTTTTTAGAATATTCTAATATAAATAATTCATGTTTATTAAATATGTTAGTGATTATTTCACATTTATATGCGGTACATGTTATGTCTTTCAGTTCAATTTATTATGCATTATAAGAGATGTGAAATACTGAGATCTAATGACTGAATTGATAGGGTAAAACTTGAACTCTCAACATGATGCAAGTGAGTTATCTGGGATGTGTTTGATAACCCTAATGAGTCTCTCATCCATAAGTAATGCATATAAAATTTTCAATTACCTAAATGACTAGAAATGAATGAATGATATTGTACGTTAGTATATTTGTTAAAAGCATTATGTAAAGACTTATTTGCGAGCACGACATAATACCCCTCGACTCAGAAAAAGAACAACAATCTCAAAATTATAGTTACGAAAAGTTCTATTTTCTTTTTCTTTTTCAAGATTTGACCTAACCTTTAAAGCTAAGGCATTATTATGCTTTGCTAGTCAAAAGCTATAGGATTTGAAATTTGAACCATTGAAAATGGATGACAAATCAAAATGATGATCATTAAAGAGCAAAATGGGTACAAATGGAGATCATTGAACTTACTCCAATGGCCAAGTTGAGTGAAGCCAAGGCAGTGGTGCTTGCAACCCTCAGCCTGTAGGTCTTGTTTGGGAGCACTTTCAATACATTGGGTGCCCATTGCTCACCCCCTCTTAACGTGCACCGTGGCAATGCTGCTGACTTGTTATACTGCGCCGCCAGTGAGCAATTGTATTGGCCTCTTCCATTAATCAGCAAAGTCTGTCAACATTAAACAAACACGACTCAATTAGTTCCTATTCCTTCTTAATTTTGGTAGGTACTAGCAAACAAGTGATTCTGTGAAAGATAAACTTATTTATGATTTGGACCAACTTTTAACGTTTACCTTTCTCTTTCGTGTTGATACCAATCCATTTCAGATATGTTCTAACCGACCTTGATAACTTCACAGGAAATTTGTATAATCGTTTTCCTTTAATATAGCAATACAGTTATCTCTGTATCATTGTTTCAGAATATTTAGAAGAATGAGAAAAATGTTAATATATGTTCACTAAACTTAAGCCCTTAAATGTATATATATGATATAATTAGATATCTATAGGTTAGGTAGTAGCAAATCTTGAAAAGAGAGCAAAAACATGGGCACATGGGGTGAGTCTTTAATTCAACTTGTAGTTTTTTAACAATCTAGGAAATAATGGATGCTCAGATTCTGGCTAGGTTTTCAACCAAACATGGTATTTAATTAGCTCTAAACTTTTGACTTTGTTAATAGAACAACTAGCTCAACTTTTGAAATATCATGGTTAGATGGTTGCTTTTGGTTTCTTGCGTCAAAATAGCAATTCCCCATATCATAATAACATAGAGGGATATAGCCGTTGGCAAATTGGGTGAAGGAAAGGAGAGCACAAACTCTAAGCCCTATATGGAGGAAGGTGATGAACTAGTATGCAACCATCGATGTCGTTTGATCGTTCATTCATGTCACTGTTCAAATCTAATAATAAAAAGAATGTGTGAAAGAACATTTGTCATAATACCTTTTTCAGCATTCTATTAACGTTATTCCATATGAGCACGTAAAGAGATCAATAACGTAAAACTCGTTTTTTTTTTATACGATTTCGAACGATTTTCGGGTCATTTTACACGTACGAATGAGTTATCTTTGACACATCATCGTAACGAAATTGGTGATTGATTAATTATTTTACCTCGGGTTCATTGATCCATCGAAAGGGGAGGGAGGAGAGGCCAATTTCTTGTTCATGAACACTCTTGTGCCACCAGTCACTTAGCAATAGGTTGAACTCTCCATCGTAGTGGAATGGCTCTCTCTTCCCATCTTCCACATCAACAATCAACGAACCATACAACCCTGCTGACCTTTGCATCCCATAATGCCCGTGGTAAAAATATGTCCCTGCCTGCATGTCGATGAATAGGCGTCAGCACAGTTTGATATCGTTGTATGTTAATCGATCGAGATCATTATCCGTAACATGACATCCGCGCTAAATAATCATACGATACATCTAACTGCTGAAAATTGCAAAGATACAAGTAATTCGACGGTGTCACCATCGATTGATGTGATGAGATTAATTAGGGAGTGGTTAGTTAAATAATTAGTGATATCATATTAATTACCTTGTCAACTTGGAACCTGTAGAGGAAAGTTTCACCAGGGGCAATTGCACACTGTGAGATTGAAGCTGTCCCATCTGCCCACGGCGTCCCTAGCTGCATTCCAGCAAATTAAAAAAAAAATTAATATTTTATTTTTGTTGATATAATTAATTAATGAATAATGAGGATTAGAGGGGTAATTAATTGATTAAAATAAAAAAATTATATACCTGTCTGATGCCGTGCCAGTGAATAACAACTCCCTCGGTGTGGAGCTTGTTGGTGAGCTCCACGTGTACCGTGTCCCCGGCCCTGGCTCTGATCGTCGGCCCCGGGAACTGGCCGTTGATTCCCATCACCAGATTCTCCTCGCCGTCCGGCGACCGGAACATGTACTCCACCTCCCACTTGAAGTGCCTCGTCTTCCCGCCCCAGCAGCCCCCGGCCGCTGTCAACATTACCGCCACCAACACGTGGAGCCACGACCATAGAGGAGAGCAAGCTCTGGCCATCGGAATTGCTTGCTTCTCACCGTGTTCCGGCCACCGCCGCCGCCCTGGTGTGCGAAGAGAAAGAAAAGAGAGAGTGGAAAAGGAGGTGTGGTTTTTTTTTTTTTTTGGAGAGTGGAGTTGGTAGTGAAAGAAATATGGTGTTGTTTTCATATATATATATATAGCTATAGCTATTTGTATACAGCCTGGGATGATCAGTTTGTTTTAATTGTAAAAGCTGAGCTGGCCTATTATAACATGTCCAAAACAATAATTAGTGTCATTAAGTACTCGAGTAGGATGGCCGTAGTGTAAAGCACAAGATACTTCTCATAAGTCGTATTATTGTATAATTATAGTGATTAGTGAGTGTTGGAGGATCAAATGATGAATGTTCTATTATTATTTTGTTTATCTTCAAAATAAATGAAGTCGGATTATTGAGTTTGAAGTTTTAATAATTTATATAGAACTATCGTTTTTTTATACTTAAAACTAAAAATCGTATTAATTAAGAGTTATCAAGATTTAGGGTTGGCTATTTGGTCCGGGTTTTTTTGGTTTTACCCAAAACCGGACTGTATAACCCGGACCGAGACCGGACCCGGACCGGATAGTAAACAATCCAATCCAATATTTGGGTTTAGATTTGAGGTAAAAAATCGTTCGGGACCGGATCAAAAACTGGACAAAGACCGGATAAGAGAGCTCAACACCCAAAGCTTAAGGGTAATTTGCATAAACGGTCACAAACCTTTGCACTTAGTACAAAACTTAACCAACTCCTCACCCTTTCAGGCCTTAGGCCACTCAAATCCCCCACAAGCTCAATATAAAATCAAAACCGAACCGGATCAAGACCGGACCGTATCCAATCCAATCTTTGGTCCTTATATTTTCAAAAAGACTGGACTGGACCGGATCAATTTGGGTCAATTTAATCGGACCGGACCGTATAACCACCCCTATCAAGATTTATAATTTTATATATATGAATACCATTTTTAGTCGAAATTCTATACTTAAAGAATCTTACAGTTGTTATGAAGTAAGGACAGAGTTGTTGAGTAAAAAGATGTGTGTTATGAAAATTAATTAGAAAGAGAGGGAAAAAAAATTAAAGTATTTAATAAGCAAAAAAAGAAAGGAAGGAATATAATATTTTGTAGAGGTATAGATCCCCCAAGTGGAAACATTTACAGGTCATTTCGCACTCATCCGTTTTTCTACCTTTTGGGCAACACTTTGAGTGTTCGCAAAATTTCCTTTCTTTTGTTTAAGTTCGATATCATATCATGACAAAAAATACTCATTTTATTTCCCTTCTTTCTTCTTGCAATGGAGATTCCTATTTTAGCTTAGTAATAAAGCCATTTGAAAAACAACACATTTTTATCTTCACCAAAATAATAGCGAACCCTATTGAAATATAATATAACAGACAAAAGTTAGATTCCTATGAAATCGGAAAGATATAAGATTCATTATTTTTATTTCATTTTCTCGAGCTATTAGGAATTAATTGATTACTGACATCATATAAATATTAGAGCCTCTTTGTTGAAAATATCCGGTGTTCATATTGTCAATAACTTAATATTAAATATTGCTTCCAACACATGATATGAGGGTGCTATGTACAATATGAGAAATTAATATTCCTTTTACATAGAAGAGAATATATAGCATTTGTCTTTCACATACAACTTGAGTTATTGAAGACTTCTCGATGTCAAAGGTCACATGCATAGTCTAACTGGTAAAACTTTCGAAAGACCCTCGATCTAGAATTGTGGGCGTGTTCGACTTACCTCGAGACCAGTTGTGATGTTCTCGGAGGAACCAAAAGAATATCTTAGTGGAGGGTCCAAATGACTTAAGCAGTTAAACCCAAATTTGATCTCCTTCAGACCATCGCTCAAACGATATGTGCATGGAGATGTAGACTTCTCTCGACCTAGACTCCTTTCTCCATTATCACTCTCAAGAACTATTGTCTTTTTCTCTTCTTTTGCTCTCGTGACTGCTCTTGAATGTGGACGAAGAAATATGTGGACGGTAGTACTCCTTAAACACAAAAACAATTACACCTTCAAAGTCAAGCAAATTAAAACAAAACCCACATCTTTTCTAGAAGAAATTGGACTAACCTTTAAACCTTGACCAGAAAATTATGTATGATAACAACAGTGATATTTTCTCAAAAAAGCTATGATTCTCCGTGGCATGGTTCTAATTGGGATATTGTTATTATGAAGTTGAAAAATCGTCTTATTCTCTTGGAAGTTGTGAATGTTAAATCGTTGCATTGTAATGAATCACCTTAATATAAATGCATGTATTGATACAATGGATGCATTTTAACAATACATTGTTTGGTTGTTGAGATTCTACTTTATGCGTTGATTTACATAAAGTTACTTTATGGATAAATGTCACATTTATACTCAACTTTTAGAATAAGACAAAAACTATTGGGGGAAAGTTGACACAAATCTAAAACCAACAATCACAACTTTTAGTTGAGATTGTATAATGCATCATTTTTGTGATTGTTGGTGGGACCTACCTAAAACAATGCATGCATTGTTTAACATTTTGACACTTCCAAACATTGTATTGTGCACAATACATGTATTCAACAAACACAACTCTAACAATCACAACTTCCAAACGACCCCTAAATTATATTATTCACATTTTAACAGGTAGACTTAGTGATAATATGAGAACACGAACATCCAACATACCCTAAGTTCGCATTTTGAGACAAACAACGAACTTAGCAGAAAGTTAATTCTTTTTTTGTATAATGGAACTTTAACTTTGAAAATTTAAGATCTCTAAAATCTAGAGATATCAAATTTCTCATAATCAAAGAGATTTTATACATTGTTTTATGGAGAAAAAAATTTAATCTTATTTTCTTCTCTCCTCAATAAAGTATCAATATTTCTCGAGCCACTATGATTCTAACGCTTGTTTGTTTACATGTTATTTGATAAAAAAAAATTAGAATTTCTACTTTTTATTAAAGGTAAACAACCTCCACTTACCAAACAACAAAATTTAAAAAAAAATCAACAATTCAAAAATTTAAAACCTTTGAATTGTCAAGAAACTAGAGATTAAAACACTCATTCGCCATTATTGTGGTCAACTGGATACCTATGAAAAGTACCGTTATCTTCGTAAGTAGTTTATTCATAAAATTTCAAATCACTTATAATTAGTTTATTCATGAAACTTCAAATCACTTATAACTAGTAACTCGAATTATTGAAACATTACACATTCTTTTTTCTTAATTGTGCCCCTCCTTCTCCCCATTACCAGAAGAAAACATCATCCCGGTCAACCCACAGGAAAGTGTCTCCTTGGGGACATCCCCAAGAAGATCCACACCTTCGGCGATCACAACTCCCATCCCCATATGCAAATGCGGCTCGATGTGGCAGTGGAACGGCCAGGCCCCCGGGTTGTCGGCGACGAACCTCAGCGCCGTCCACCCGAACGGGAATATCACCGCCGTGTTCTTCAGCGGCGGCCTCCTCCCCGTCTTCTCGAACGCCTCCTCGTCCCCTCGCTGGAACTTGCCGTCACCGTACCCCAAAACCCAGAAGTTGTGGCCGTGCATGTGCCACGGGTGGATCTCGCTGTCGTTCGGCTGCAGCGTGTTCGCGTTTTGAAGGACGACGTCGACGGTGGAGTTGAAGTCCAGCGTGTAGATCGCGTTCCCGGTCGTCGCGTTGGGGTTCGCCGGCGGCGACATGATGTCGTACCTGTTTATAGATAAATAAATACACGACCTATAGTCAAAAGTGGTGATATAGAAGCGTAAAACTGTAAGTTTCTAAATTTTAAACCGCATTTTTAACTATATTAATTATAAAAATTGCGATTCTGGGTATAAGCGTTTTGGTGATCTAAAAGATTAAAAGCGTAAGTTTTAAAACTTTAAAGTACGATTTTGACTAAATTCACAGAACAACAACAACAATTTGATGCAGTGGTATCACCATTGGTCTTGGACCTAAAAGTTCGAGGTTCAAATTCATTAAGTCAAGTCAGAAATGGACCTAAGATTAAGGGAATGTATGTTAAGCGACACACATCCACCCAAAATTTCGGTGAATAGTTGATGTTTCTTCATTATTAAAACTTGAAACAAATACTCTGTCACATCTGTTGTAATTTCAAGCTCTGAAATAACCTTTTTAGTATGAATGTAAAAAAAAATTATTCTAAAACAAATTAATTTTAAGCACTGAAATGACCTCTTCTAATATAAAAAGAAAAAAAATTGTTTTTCATTGTGGAATATAATGAAAATGTAGATTCTATGACTTACAATTTTGTTTATTTCTTATTTTATATTTATCGACCGATATATCTCTAAAAATTTTTGAATCCACTTACAGTAGCAACTAACTATTAAAAAAAAAAAAACTCTTGACATATATACCAGTCGGGAAAAGTGTCCGGCGGAGGGGTCTGATCGAAGGCGGCCTTGATGCCGTACTTGAGCGCGCCGAGGTAAGGCGTCGGAGGAAACGACAAGGAGACGTTGTTGATGGCCCACACGGTGAGTCCGTCGATCGTGTTCTGAGTGTTCAGTAGCATGATCCGACGGTCGTAATCGGCCGGAGGCGGCGGGGTGGTCCCTTCCAGCCCTTGGATCTTGTTGCTGAACGCCTTGCTCCTGTTGTAATCGTCCCACTGCGGGGTCACCGGCGGCGGAGAGACGGGGAACTTCGACGCGTGGTTGGGGAGGTAATTTACCAAAGCCAACGCCTGTGGAGTCTGTGGGAGCCTTCCACGTACGCCTACAGAGATCCAGTAGTTTTCATAGGGGTTTTGGTTGGTCGTGAACAGGACGGAGTAGGTCTCGCCGGAGTAGATGTCGACGTCCGTCGTCGAGAATGGCTGGACGTAGTTCCCGTCGGCTTCCACCACCGTCACGTTATGATCCTGAAAAAAAAAAACTCGTTTAGTGTTGTAACAGATTGAGAAATCAACAAAAGCAAGAAAGTAAAACGTTATATGTTGGTTCACTAATACGATATATGTTAGCGCATTAATCCAATCGACGTGGTAATAACCAAGTTTACTCATCGTTTCATAATGTAACGTACTCCAATGGCTAGGTTTAGGGAAGCCAAGGAAGTGGTGCTTGCAATCCTGAGCCTGTAAGTCTTGTTTGGAAGAACTTTCAATACATTGGGAGCCCATTGCTCGCCACCGCCCAAACTGCACTCCGGTAATGCTGCTGATGAGTTATACCGCGATGCTAGGGAACAATTGTACTGTCCTCTTCCGTTAATGAGCAAACTCTGCAATTATCAGAAAACATTAAACAAAGTAAATCCCTATTCATTTCATTAACTATACAACCAGTCTAGTGATGACTTAGCTTCTTTGTTATAAAAAAAAATGAAAAAAGACGAAAAGTTGGTCATTGGCCGGTTTTGAGTTTTTGAAAAATGTTCAATAATATACATCTTATATCATGTTGTAAAACGTTTTCTCAAACTAGAGCTACTCATATATATGGACTTCAAGTTTACACCGTACTCATCGGGATTAAAAACAAAACCTCTCGATCACATAAGGATCTGAGGTTCGGTTATCGGTTGTCGGTTAACCGGCCGGTTAAACCAATAACTCAAAAATTATATGCTTCGGTCGGTGGTCGGAGCTCCTAATAGGTAATTCGGTTAACCGAGTAACCGAAAATCGGTTATCCGTTTAACTGACAATAACCGAAAAATAACCGACCGACCACCCCCCTCACCAAAACGACGTGAAAATACCCGGTTATGAAGTTTATAACTTTATGTTGTTGAATTTGAGACATTAATTTGGTGATTTAGATGTATTTTCTATGCAAAAGTGATTGAGACTTTACTTTGGGTGTGATTTAGATGTAGAAATGTAAGTTAGAACCTTTCATTTTAGGCGATTCTAATAATTTTACCCGGTTAAAACCGAACCACCATCATTTTTTCGGTTATCTCGGTTAACCGACCAACTAACCGACCTGTCGGTTATTGGTTAACCGAGGCATTGGCGTCGGTCGGTGTTCGGTAGCGGGGAGATGGTGGTTCGATTAACCGGTAACCGACCAATCGGTTATCGGTTATAACCGAACCGAATCCACCCCTAAGTACTACAGGTTGGCTCATTGATAATGAATCTTATATCAAGTAGTAAACAAAAAGTACGTACCTGTGGTTCATTGATCCATTGGAAGGGGTCGGAGGAGAGGCCAACTTCTTGCTGATAAACAGTTTGGTGCCACCAGTCACTGAGCAAGAGACTGAACTCTCCGTCGTATTGGAAAGGCTCCTTCTGCCCTTCGTCTCCCTCTTCCACAATCAACGACCCGTACAAACCAGCTTCTCTTTGCATCCCATAATGGCCGTGGTAAAAATACGTCCCTGCCTGCAGAAAACCAAGAGCTTCTGCTCATCAAGCAGCGATAGCTAGGAAGAAATTTATAGTTTTTAACTTTTAAGTAGGCAGCAGAGCTAGTACGAGAAATCACAAGAAACTAAGAATACACAGATTTACATGTTCATTAACATTAGTTGATCAAGTATGTACGTACCTTGTCCACTTTGAAGTTGTAGGGGAAAGTCTGGCCGGGGTTAATGACACACTGCGAGACCGAAGCGGTCCCATCGGACCACGGCGTCGCGAACTGCCGGATACCGTGCCAGTGGATGACGACTCCCTCGGTGTTGAGATTGTTACTGAGCTCCACCTCAATGGTGTCCCCAACTCTGGCGGTGATGTTGGGTCCGGGGAACCCGCCGTTGATCGCCATCACCATATTCTGCTGGCCGTCCGGCGACCAGAAGATGTTCTCCACTACCCACTTGTAGTGCAACGTGGTCGCCCCCGAGCAAGCTCGGGTGGCGAGACACGTTGCCATCACCGTCACGTGGAGCCGCCACCACCACCGTCTGCCGTCGCCGCCGATCGATGTTGCTGCAGGCATGGTCGTCGGTCGTTTCGTACGTGTTCTCAGGCGGCCACTGTTTAAACGCGATCGTATAGTTAGATCTTTTGTGTATATATGTAGGTTTGGTGAAGCATGAGTGATTGCACCGGTATATATAGGGTGTCAAGAACCAGTTGCTTCCAATAACTCGAGTTGTTGGGAGAAGGTTCTGCTGGATCTTATACCATACTCTTACACGTCCCCCTCAAATGAAAGCCAACTCATGAGCTTGAAGTTTGCACAGGCTCACCATATCTTGTACTTTAATAAACTGTTAATATTGGGGGTCGTGGAGATTCGAACACATGACCTTTCGGTTCTAGACTCTGATATCATGTCAAGAACCAGTTGCTCCCAATAACTTGAGTTATTGGGATCAACTGGTTCAGGACATAGGATAATGAGTGAGGTGGTCGTTTGTTGAAAACACCTTCGTAACTTCATGAAACACGAGGAATAAGACCGTTTGGACTGGTTGAGTATAGGAAAAATTGTATATATAAAAGAGTACTATCGATCGATCAAGCAAAAACGTTTGGAGACACTAACGTGATAAATGTTGTTCCTTTGTCCTATGTGTTTGCTGTACTAATTAACATTGATCATTTCAAAATTCTGTCATTTTCCTAGTTAAAAGCCTGCATCAGAATCTTGTCGTGATTAGGATACGATCGTCTTCACGATCTCTTCTTTTGTTCTCTCATTATGATTGGGAGAATAGACTAAATCGCTTGAAAATTATCGGATCGAACCGTTCGATTGCGCGGTCTGATTCAGATGGTAAAAAAATTTACTTGGTTTGATTCATGGTCTGCAATATTATTTATTTCGATATTCTTGGTATGGTTTTTGGTTCAAAGAGAGCGACTTACGTGCATGTCGGACTGGATTGATCGTGGACCCAACTCACTTGTTAATTTGTGTTAACATCACTCCTTCCTCCACATACCACGTACTCCAACCGGGAGCATAGACAACGATTGGATCTCGCAATATGACATTATATTAATGTTTATAGCGATTATGTTGAAAGCTAGGCTGCTTTGACTTAGTCAAATATAGTCTTCTCGACGACCGCTAATGCATGTAATTAAGTAATTAACTATACTTATATAACATAACTTCACGTGAATTCTGCCGCATGCGCCTAATAATAATAATAAATGGAAAATTGGTGACAATTGTAACGCGGATTCATTTGACTTCTAGCGACCGCGAAGAATCTGGTTGGCGTCAGAACGCCCACTCTCGACCTCTTCTCTAACCACCGGCGGTAAGGTCAGTGAAAAGTGCCCTTCGCCGGCGAAATACGAGAAGGACGACGTCGCTCGCCAGCTGAAACTCAAAATTCAACGATATCTTTTGTTTTATGGATTGCAGAAATGAAAGCTTCCGGGCTAGGTGGTATATGTATTTGATTTACAGATCGACGATGGTACTTGTGTTGTGACTGTTGATAGTCACGGTCTGATTCTTACGGCCGTGAGAATTTTTACCACCAAGCACATGGACCGCCGGCGGCCGGCGGAGCGGGAGTGTTGATGCTGCAGGAACCATAAGTACAAAGGAGTCTATTAAGCACATAAGTACAAAGGAGTTATGGCCTCTCCAAAATACCTTCACGTACCTAACATATATAACCATGTGTTCACCCTATAAGTATAAAGGACTTTGATAGATTCTCTTCAAAGCAAAAAAAACAACAAGAAAGATGGGGGGAAAAAATTCTAACCTACTAATTTCTTCTTCCACTATACGTCTATGCCTATATCTAATTATCTACTAATACTATTCTACTAGGTCTAGGGTTGCCGGTTTGGTAAATCGAACCATTAAGTAAGAAAGATCAAAAAAACCAAGTTCTCTAGAATCGAAACCCAAAACTGATAAGCGGTTACTCGGTTTTGATTAACTAAAAAAATCTACGAGATCCTTATTGGTTTCGGACCGAAGGAGGCGAAAACTAAGCAATCTCCCTCATAGCAGTTAACATATATTTTGGGCTTTCGATTTCTTATCGAATTTCCAGACTAATGAGTCAAAACTGAAACTATTTTAATTGCAAAGAGACCAGAAAATCAAAACTAATAAAAAAAAATTAATCATCGTTTGGATGAAACAAACCCAACAACTCCCATTACAAAATGGGCATGTCACCGTAACTTGTACTTTTCGGTCGATTTAATCCTGACAGAGGTCGACCTGACATATTATTAGGTCGACCTTAAAGATAATTTGTCTCTACCAGAACCATTTAGGTCAACATTTGCTCTTCCTAGGTCGACCTATCCAGCAGGAAAATACTAATTTACCAACAAAAGCAAGTATAATATTATCACGAACAACAGATAGGTCGACCATACATATTGACCGGCCGCCTTTTAAGCACAACATAGTCTTACAAACAAAGCCAAAGTCGACATTCAGGATGAACAACTAAAACAAACAGGAACGGTCGACCTTGAAAAACATTAGGTCGACCTATTGGTTTGATCTTCCTTACCTCGCAAGTACAAAAGTCTGAGTGTTGTGCCCTAAATTCCATTTCGAGCAATTGTCAAACAGAGGTCGACCTGATTGAGATAAAGGCCGACCGAATGGTATTCTGCACGCAACAATACATCAAATTAAACAGTGGAAATTACGCATTAGACAAGATGACGGCGAATGCTACATTAGGTCGACCTCACCTTTGACGTGGTGACCTCTTGCAACACGTACAACAGCAACCGCAAAGGATCTTCTTCACAAAGACTCTAACAGTAAAAAAAAACTAATTTAGAGTTTCGGTGGCGGTGAAGGTGACATATATTTGTATTTATATATATTTAAGTCGTGAATTGGTCGAATTAAGTGGTAGATAAGTTAGCGTTACCTTTTTGGTGTTGGAATCCTTATCCAATACAGATACGGTGTGCATGCGATCGACCTATTAAGTGCAACATGGTCGGCCTATGAAGTATTTGGGTTGACCTTTCATTCTGTTCGCTTCCCAAATAGGTCGACCATTTGCCATAGACGGTCAACCGCGCCGTTGAACTTCACAAAACTGAAACAGCAGATTAAGCCGACCTAATCCTATATGAGGTTGACCGAAAAATCCATGTTACGGTGACATACATATCACAGTAGCAAAGTCCTAAGTACAACTAATGTTATCTGCTGCATATTCTTCCTCTGCTATGGAAGAGCAGAAACCAAATCCTCATGGCACTGGTGGATGATATACAGATATATAGAGCTGTATCTGTATGGCACCCTGATCTAAAGTCTTAATTTTTTGTGGTGGTGTATTCAAGAACAGTTCCATCTTGAGAAGCTCTTTCCCCAACGTTTCCTTTGTTCTGCAGGACATCGATCCATGTATTCGCTGTCGATCGACAACCTTACGAACGCAGTGAGACTTCTGACTCAATCGGTATATGATTGTTTCGTTGCTTCCACAGTATCTGTTGTACATGTTTCTGCAGTACTTCACAACTTCTGAATACGCAATGACTATGAATAACTTTGAAAAGTTGCGGAAGCGCGAAACAGAGCCGGCAGGGTATGTGGTAGGGTCTCTCTCTTTTGATCATGATGCAAATGCATGATGATTGAGAGAGAGAGGACGGAAGCTGGTGGGACGTCAACAACACATCCAACCGACGACAGCAAAAACTCCTACCAATTGCATTATTGCATTCCCTTAATCGGAATGCTTTTTCATGGCAGCTTCTGAGCGATGCCTGCCAATTGACCTTACCTCACACCTCCAGTCCCTTCTTAATACAAGAGATTATGATACAAACACTAGTGCGATTATTGTAATCCGCGACAATTAGGACCGATCATATAGTCCCAATCAACATAGTAATCGGTCGTAGTATCGATCAATATGACAGTAGTATCCGCCCTAGGCTATAGTAGGACGGGGAATAGCAACACCAAACCAGACCCCTTTACAAGCTAAAGAATCATCTGAGAAATCAAACCGGGGAAGAAACCATCATTAATCAAGCTGCTGCAATCCAAATGCCACACACCAAAATGAAGAAAAAACCCAACACCAAGAGCTGAAACCAAGCCATATCCGTATGTATGAGTCTCACCACCATCTAGTTCATCATGCTGTTCAAATCATGTGCCTTTTTCTTGCTTGGTTTCGTCATAGGCAACGATATGTGGATGAATCCAAACTTCCTCCTCTGCGTGAAGAACTGCTGCTTCTGATCACCAGTTTCGTGTTTCTCAGGCCTCGGATGAAACGACAGATCATCCCTTAGTTCATGAAGCATTTGACTCAGTGCCACCTTTTGCCTCCCATTGCGCCGACCACCACCTTCAACTGGCTTCCCCCTTGTTGTTGCTGCTGCTGCTGCTGCTGCTGCATAATCTTCAGTTGTCACTTGCTGCTTCCTGCCTAGAAAGTCCCGCATTGACACTGTCGACCTTAGAACTGGCTTAGGTTCCTCAGCTTCCGCAATCGGGTCCTTCACTTGGCTCATTGGAGAATCTTGGCAGGGATCAGAATGGAAGAAGTGCATGTTGCTGAGCCTGGTGTTGTAATATGCTGCTGCAGCCTGTCCGAGTCCTTCGTGATCATCCTCCGGAATCCACTTCATAAAGGCCTCCTCTGCAGCAGATTGCTTCCTGTTTGCCATTTCGATTTTGTTCAGTGCATCTTCCAATGCCTGCTTGCTTCTTTTCACTTCCTCTGTTGCTTCCCTCATCTTCTTCAGAATCTGCATCTTAGTGTTGGAAGGTTCATATTTGGGGATCTTATTAACTGCCGGCTCTAGTCTCTTTTGTATCAGAGGAGAAGCTGGCTTGAACAAGGTTGTTTTCTCAGGCTCTGGAAGGCTGCTAAACCCAGAAGAAGGGCTTGTCTCGACGTTTGACATGCACTTGATTTCAGCCAAGGCCACAGCTTCAGCTGCCTTGGCAGCTTCCTCCATCTTTCTAGCTGCAACCAACCTCAATTCGGCGGTTCTAAGATCGACCTTAGGCTGCCCATTCATGGAAACCTCAGTCATCTGCTTTAACTGCTCTTGATCAAACCCATTCCCCACATTATGATCCGGCTTGCGCCTTGCCTGTTTCAGCTCCTCCTCTAACGACAGCACTCCTGCAAATTTCGAGGTTAGCCTCTTGCGGGTGTTTTGAAGAATGATTTTCTCGTGCCTCATGTTCTTATTCAGAGACTCAACAGAAGTTTGAATCACCCCAAGTTCGTTAATGGTTTTACCAAGGTTCAATTTCGCCTGCTTCAGCTCCATCAAGATAACTTCTGGAGACGACGGGCAACAAGGAGCCCCCATCAACCTCTGCTGCTCATGATAAAAATGATGACCATGATTGTTGTTGACATGAAAGGCATGGCTTTTTTCCCTGTCCATTTCTTTTACAGCAGCAGCTGGACTTGACATATAATGATGAACATCATCCGACACTGCCATGCATCTCAGTGCTTCTTTCTGCAGCTGCAGCTTCAAATCCTCAACAATCCTCTTCGTCGACCCGAGTTCTTCCAGAACATCCAGAGTCTCCAGCTCCTTGACTATCAAATCCTTCTCTAGCTCTGCAGCTTGTTCCTCCACTTTCTTCAAGTCTACCTCTCCCTGGAAAGGACATATGTCTATTTAGAAACCATAACAGCATGTTCTTAATTCGACATAAGAAGGGTTTTGATTATCTACTGTACTGTACCCAATTTAGCTATACAAACCACAATTCGAATGGAAATGTCAAAAGCAGTGAAGAAAGCTAGAAAAGGGAACTTACCAAGTCTTCCCCAATTCTATAACAGGGAACCCAGGGACCGCTGCCGCCAAAACGAGTGACGGCTTCCTTCACAGACCCAAACGGCGGCGACGTGTCGATCTCGGCTCTTGAACCGAATTTCCTCGTCCCAGCTCCGCCGCCGGGGCAGAGCCCAAGGCTCTGGTCGGACCTCATTTCCATGATCCCGGGGGTTCCTGGCACCGGCTCGGCGGCCGAGGCCGCCGGCGGAGGTACATCGGACATTTCAAATCCCAAAGAAGAAGAAAGGGTAAGAAGAAGAGTGGTGGAATGTGCAGTGAGAGTAAAGGAAGAGGAGGCGGGAGGAAGTTACTAATAGTAACCTTGCAATCAATTGCCAACCCTGCAATCAATTGATTTCCCTTTCCCTTTTTCCCTTCCATCTTTTTCTCTCTTTTGGAGGGGTTTTGGGTTGTGGGTGTGATGATTGTGCTTTCCCCTTTTTGCCTGATCCGAGTGACGAAGCGAGTCGCCCACTCGCCGTGGCTATTGGCTTAAACCTCTCCCAACTCGGTCCGGAAAAAGCCCCGACATCGGCGGGTCCACTCGCCGCCGTACTCAGTGAGACATGGGAGAGCTTTTTTGCTCTGATATTTCGCAGTCTGTGGCGGAGGTCACGGCGGTGGTGGTGGTCAGATACGGAATCAGGGAGAACCCTTTTGGGCCAGAGACCACCACCCACCAGCCTGTTCAATCTTCTTTCCCAAACGTCGCCTCTGTTTCCATGGATACAAAACAGAGGAAAACAGAGCGACCATACCAAAAAAAGAAAAAGCTGCCTTTTTTTACAGATCGAATTCTCCAAACAAAGATGGGAAATATTGGAAACAAGGCACAGACTTACCCATGGAGAATTCAGAGACCACGACGACGGTGAGAACAGTACAAATTGAATTGATAGGCAATTTACAGTTTGATACTTAAATTTAAATGATATTAAGATTTAGTACCTAAAATTATTTTTTTCATATAGATCCTAAGACTCTTCACAATATAGGTGGGTTTAGGGGAGAAAGTGGAAAAATAACCCATAATGTGGGTGGAAAAAGTGGAAAAAATGGAGAAAGGGGAAAAATTGGGTGGGACCCACGGGCAAACAAATGGTGGATGCAAGGGAGGGAGGAGGGGCCCACTGCCGGACCCGCATATAATTTGTTTTTTTTGTTCTAATTTATTTGTTTTAATGGTTTTCTTTTATTGTGAGGTAGTTTGATTGGTTTTATCGCAACTAACAAAATTAATGACATAATATTTAATTAGTGATGAAAAAATTATGTCCAAATTAAAAAAATTATATCGAAATGTTCGTATTAATTAATTATCACTAACTACGTAAAAATAATGATCATTATATAAAAATAAAGTGAGGAAATCAACTGTAGATTGATTTTAACAACAAAGTGTTAAACCAATTACCCACTTTTCCGACCCTTCACATTGTGACCAAAACATCCATTTTTCCCCATTTTCTCTATTTTCCCACTTTTCCCACTCACTCACATTGTGGATGGTCTAACCAAATTGATGGACAATTATATTTCAGTACCAAAAAATTTATGTCTTACATTTTGATATCTAAACTTTTAAACTTCGAATTCATCCAAGTTTATGAGTTTTCTACTATGCTTATAGAAACTTGCAATATGTTTTAATAAACTAGCGATCTGCTTTATGAGATTTTTGGAATATTTTAAGAAACTTGTGATTTGCTTTAAAAAAACTTGTTGTCTGCTAGGGGTGTGCAACGTTTCAGTTTGGTCCGGACCGGACCAAACTCATGAGAACCGCGGTCCATTAGTGAAAGACATGTTAGGACTAAGGACCGGACCATTCTTGCATTTGGTCCATTTGGTCCTGTTCGGTCCGGTCCAAATATGAGCTCGGTCCACCATTTCTTCAGTAATTATAAAATTCATGAGGACCAAGGACCGGATCGCATTTTACTCGGTCTGGTCTGGTCCAGTCTTAACAACAGTTTGGTCCGGTGTGATCCGGTACGGACCGGACCATTGCACACCCCTATTGTCTACTTTAAGAAATTTGTGGTATGCTTTAATGAGTTTGTAGTACTGGTATGCTTCTATGAACTTGTGGTATGCGTAATGACATTGTTGGTCTGTTTTAACAAACTTGTGATCTGCTTTAAGTAACTTGTAGTATATATGCTTTATTAGCGTTCTGATATTTGTTGTGCATTTTAGAAATTTTCTGCTGTGGTGAGACTATGTTATGCTTTATAAGTTTTTTTGTATGCTTTATGATTTCTATCACTATTTTTATGAATTTTATGGTGTTGTGAGGTTCTGATGTGCTTTATAAACTTTATAGTATTTGTGATGTAATTTGTTGTCTATTTCATTATACTTGTGGTGAGGGGGAATTAAAGCGCGTGTCCAGCCTCGGAATTTTAGTATTTTATAATCCGTTCGTGTAGTAACATTTTGTTTGGTATGTGCTGCTTAAGTGGTGTTTTGAATGGTAAAAGATTTATTAGTGAACTCATTTCGATAACTCGAGTAATTGGGACCAACTAGTTCTTGACATGGCATTAGAACCTTTAATTGGTGAGAGATCTTGTGTTCTAATACCGATGGCTCCCATCCGTGAACCTTTTATGGTCTAGTTCTTGGCTGACTTTCTTTTGAGAAAAGATGTTAGTTAGTGATATAAGATTCATTATTGATCTTTTTCCAATAACTTATATTATTTGAAATCAATTTGTTCTTGAAAGTCCATGCGCGCATAGTCTAATGTAACGATATATATAGCTTCATCAATTGGTAGATACAATTGAAACAACTGGAATTAACCCTGAAGGGAAAATGCTTAGATTTGGATACCATATACCATGGCACCATTAGCTTGACGATAAATACCATAAAATTTCATCATCATAGTTTGTCGTCTCGTTACTTTCACATTTTCACCATCCCAACCTTGCCAATCCTGAGGTAAACAGGAAACCTGACCACCTTGATCACCTTCTCCTCTCCACCACCATCTCCATTCTCATCATTACACCAAGCACGCCGGAACTTCTCCACCACGGCATCTCCCAACAGCTCCACCCCTCTCTCCTTCGCCGTCTGGTACGCCGACCACGACCTGACGTACGTGAAAAAACCTTCCAAATCCATCGCCTGCTCGGCCGTGAACCGAAACGGCCCCGTTTCACCCTCTCCAGCTCCCTCCACCGCCTCGAACGGGAAGTCAACGCCGCGGTAACCGTCCTCGACCAGCTTCCGCAGTGGGTCCCAGTACGGCGCCGAGTCCGCCGCGTAGAACGAGTCGAGGACCGAGTCGACCGCCGGGTCGATCTCCGGCTCGCAGTAGCACCACGCGGCGATCACGCCGTGGGGCTTTTTCAGGACCCATTGGGCCTGCTTGTAGAACGCCGGGAGGTCGAACCAGTGGAGGGCCTGCCCGACGGTGACGAGGTCGACGGTGGACTCGCCGGCGATGTGGAGCGGGAGGTCGGCGGGCGGGATGACCGGCGGAGTGAGGCGGTAGTGGACGTTCGGGAGCCTCGGGGCGTGGTCCAGCTGGGTGGCGCTGGTGTCGGTAGCAATGACGGTCTTGTAGATTCCGGAGAGCTGCGAGGCGAGCAATGTAGTGCTTTAAAACTTAAAAACTTACGGTTTCAGGTCACCAAAACGCTTCTACGTATAATCACAGTTTTTATAACTTTTGTAGTTAAAAACTGCGCTTTAAAATTTAAAAGTTTACGATTTTACGCTTCTAGATTACCAAAACGTTTCTATGTATCACATGCTTTTGACTACAGGGGAAAAAAGAGATTGTGGCGAATAAGTAAAATTCGCCTCCATGTATCTTCTTTAGCGACGGAAATATTATTCGTCGCAAAAACTTCGTCGCTAAAAATCAACTTTATTGTAATGTGTATTTTACTACGAGTAATGTCATGTAATATGATAGAGTTATTTTCTTTATCCGAGTTGTAGAAGTCTAATACTCATAGTATAATTAACACAAGGAGGAACTCACGGATACGGCGGCTTGGCCGCTACCGGTGCCGACGTCCCAAACGACGTCGTGGCAAGGAGTCTCGGAAGCTATGAACTCGAAGAGTTGTTTCGGGTAGCGCGGCCTCGTCTTTGCGTACTCCGCCGCTTGCTTGATGAACAACTCCGCCATTGATCGATTTCCTGCCTCTCGTCTTCTGTTCTCTGTTTTTCTCCTCCGATTGCAGAGTTAACGGATTTGGATGACAACAAAGGAACTACAAATGGCTGCCCTTTATAGTAATATCAAACGACGGAGAAAGTAGCCGGGGGGAAGGAGCTGGTGAGGAATACAAAAGCTTTATTGAAGGACCAAAACCAACAGATTAAATACAAGACTCGGCAAACAAAGACTATTGAAGGACCAAACAGATTGGGATACAAAAGCTTTATTGAAAGACTAACAACCCCCATTTCTCCTAAACTATAAGACTATTACTTGACTCATCGGCTAACTGGACAAGCACACAAATACATTCAACTTCAGTGGCAAAATGGATGATGAGGTTTTCGAGTTGGGCCTAGCTAGGAGGGATTGGCAATGTTACGTTCTTCTTTTGTTAAGGTTAGCAGGCTTAGTTGTTCAGCTTAATATTGTTATGAGTTTAGTGTTGGTGATTCAGATTGGGCCAAGTAATACGTAGGTTAGTATTCAGATTGGGCCAAGTAATACGATATGCAATGTCGAGTCGGGTAGGGTAGTGTTCGTGTTAGCTAGGGTTTCGTATTAGGTTTAAACGCCTATATTATCACTATGGCAGTAGTCTAATTCAATCAATCAATAAATAAAAAGTTTATCGACACCAACATCGTTCTCTCGTTTGTAAGTAACAAGTAAAACTTTGAAACTGAGAGATTCAATTCATCATTTGATATCAGAACCTGGTTCTAAGCAGCTCACCGTAATGACAGAGTTGTCATCCAAGTCTTGGACCAAAATGTAAATTTTGTAATCAATGACATTTTTTTGCAAAACAAAGAAAATTTAGGTACCAATCAAAACAGAGGTTCCATCCGATTAGTCGTAATTTGCAAGCCACATATTACATTACATTGTATTAAACCACACACATCATAATCAGCATACATAATTAGTGAAGCACTCTCCACCTCTCACCGCCACTATCAAATGCAACTTCACAATAAGATGGAACATAGGCAATCGCAGTTACTAAGGTTACAAGAAGAACATTAAGCAGCACGATAAGATATACAAATATTAGGGGTGACTGCATTTAGCAGCACTCTCCCCCACCCCCTCCCACTGAGATATTACAGTTGTACACGATCGAGCTTTATCTTCACGAGCAATTTGTGTCGTAACTGGCAAGTCCAAGCAATTCTGGACCTTCTAGTCGAGGGTTGTGCTCAAAGCTACACAGAGAAAAAGGAAACATCGTCGGTGAATAATAGCGAGCAAGGTCTCCGACAGCAAAGAACGATATCTGACAAGACAATTTACGCGGCAGCAAGGACCTTAAACCCCTTGCTAGGGGGAAAATGTGCCACAGTTGAATATCGAGATATCAAGGGATCAAGAGGCTTATGCAACTAGCTTCCAAACAAGAACATACAAGAGAGTCGGATAGTTAAGCTCGGCCAGGCTGAAAGATCTATGAGCAGGCTTCGGTAAGTAAGAATGACACCATGGAGTTTTCATCGAGACGGTTACAATCAGGTGGTATATAATCTGGAGATAAGATTACAGAGCTGGAAGGAGTAAGGAAATGAGAATGTGATGGTCAAGCTGGGTCAGGGCCACTGTCCTACATAGTTTTTCAAGCCAAATTGCCATCTCACCCCAGGGCTAGACATCTACCTCCAGCTAGACTGTCCAAGAGTAAACAGAAAATTATATCTTACTATGATCTAGAAGGAAGAGTACACTTCCAACTTCCTGAGTCTGAGAACCAAAACTTCCAAATCAAGAAGGAATTATACAACTGTTTTCTCTAGATTGTATGACTTAGTCCTACAACAAAAGATTAGAACCGAACTAGACCACTCCCCCTACAGAATTTGTGTAGTATGCTATAGTAAAAAACCTCTAAGCAGATTACATAATACACATCTTCACTGTGAATGAAGAAGTGAATATACTGAATTCACATTGTATGCAGATGAGATACATTAACTAAGAAGATTAATAAATCACAGAAGCTACCAAGACGAAGAGATAGCCAAATAGAGTGTATGACTTAAATGCACAACGCCAATTATATACATTATCACAAGAAAGACTGAAAGTGGAGCGAATTGAAAAACGCGCGTTAACCACAATTGAAATAGAAATGCATAGTATATAGCCAATAAACAGACAATTGAAGACACATCAACACAACCAAGAGGCAATAATACCAACTGCGGAGAAGAAATACACAACAAGCAAAAAGAAAGATACTCACTTGTTCAATGGAATATGCTCGAATGGTCCGTTTGTTGGAATAGTTCCACACAAGTCATTGTTTGAAACGTCACTGAAAAAGAAAAGCAGTTTGCCTAAGTAACCTTATAGGAATGCAGTATCATTAAACGAAATGTAAGATGTGCAATGTAAAAGATTTTAATTAACAATGTCAGATTAAGTAACATGCAGTTGAGGAAAAAGCACTTACACTACTTTAAGGCTAGAAACACCACCAAGCTCCCGTGGAATTGGTCCAGTTAATTGGTTGTCATTAATCCGTCTGCCAGAAGAAAAGAGTAGTATGATTAAGGAAGATGGTGCACCAAGGCTCAACAACCCCACAAAATAAAAAATTGGACAGGCAGTCAGGCAGACTCTACCAAATGATTGATCCAAATATACTACTAATTACCACTATTCATCATTATGATGAGAACTTAAACATCCGTGCTATGGGGAACATGTTTGAACTTACAAGAACACGAGACTCTTCAATTTTCCCAATTGAGAAGGAATTGTCCCTGTTATGTTGTTGTTGTACAGGTCCAAGCTTATCAGATTCTTCAAGTTACCCAGCTCAGCAGGGATAGTCCCATGCAAGTTGTTCTTGTACAGCTCCCTACATCAAAAGCAATCCATTAAGGCTGTAACCAATGCTAAAGTACCGAATCAGGGTCCCTGTAGGCCACTAAATGAAACATGAGCAGCTATCAATGACATATATACACTGTCAAGGTGAGATGAAAGTAACAGTAAACGTACAAGTACTGCAAATGCTCTAGCTTTCCAAGTTCGGGCACTAGATGTCCGGACAAGTTTGAATTGCCTAAATCCCTGCAAGAAACAACAGTTGAGAACATGTTAGAGCATGATTCCAATGAGTTCCACAAAGTTGCACTGGAGCTCACCAGTTAAACACTCAAAAGTCACAAATAAACATCCGCAAACCATCCACGATATTAAAACGAAATAAAGAGATCCCCTGGACATGAACCACACTTCTCAGGCAAAGACTATACTTCATACCAAAGTTACAGGTCAAAAAAATCACTAATGAGTAACTAAGTTGCTACATAGCCTTCCCCTCCCAGTTCATATGTCCAGCAGCTAAAATTCAACCAACCAGACTACAAATACAACGCGAACCCAACATTCGAACAAATTTCAAGCACTTCCCAGTCTGTTTCTCATTCATAATCGAACCAATCAGAGCACAAATACTTCCTAAAACGAGCTACCAATCAAACAGCCAGGGAAAACGAGACAGCGCCCAATTAAAACAGAACAAAACCTAGAATCAAAGCAATAAGAAACAAAAAAAGGAGATGATTAGTTGATTTACACTCGGGTGACGCGGTTGTCCTGGTTGCAGGTGATGTGGAACCAGGTGCAAGGGTTGACGAGGGTGGGATCCCAGCTCTGGAGGACGTTATCCGGATCGGACAAGCTCCTCCGCAGCGTGTACAGTGCATCCCCTTCCGAATTGCCGAACGCCGCGGGGAGAGCGAGCGCTGCGAAGAAGAGACTCCACAGCGAGAGGGCCGATGCCGCCATAACAGTGACGGATGAGCTGAGAGTTGCGAAGCAGCAGCGAATTTGAAGCGAGCTAGGGTTTCGGTTGTGCAGAGTAATGGAAATGGGAAATGGGAAAGAGTCAGTCAACCGAACCACCAGACTGGAAAATGTGAAATGGGAAAGGGGAAAAGAAAGAGTAGGATCGGTTTTGGGAACGGCAGAGTAAAACATGGGGCATTTATTTTTCCTTTTTCTCTTTTTCTTTTGGTACTGAGTTGACTCAGTGAGCAGTGAGTGGAGCATTTTTAATGTCCGAGTCAAATGCTGCGGCGGTCGCTCCACGCGTGTGCATTATTGGCACTTGGCAGGTTGGAAGACTAATTGTCGATTTCCTTGTTGCTGATGGGCCGGGCCTATTGGGCTGGGTACTTTTGTAAAAATTCAGAGGTTCCTCGTGTGTCTTTCTTTGGGCCTTTGGCCTTTGGCAGGATCCTGATACCAAAGATGAAAGCAGCACGGGCTTCCATGGTTTCTAATTTTGTGAAATTAGAAACTAACCACCAACCCAATTCCAATTTATGTTAATCAAATGACTGGTTCAAGTAACATCGTGATTTCAATAGTGTGTGTTTTCTAATAGTATAAAAGATATAGTTTTGACCTCATTAAAGGAACTTCAAAATTTTCACACTAAGAATGTGGTACACATATGTTTATCTCAAATTTGATTCTCTTATGGTAATGGATCTTTTTTATAAGATGAACGATCATTTTATCCTCTTCCAACTCCCTAATAATGTCTCAATCCTATATGTAACTCTATTGCATTTGTCAAGGATAACATGGTAGTTGATATTATGATTGGGCGGAGAAGGATATCTACAATGGAGATAACTTTTGGTCCATGCCCTTCAATAAGCGCTAAATTTTGTCCGAACGAACCAATTAGTCGATAGTTAGTGCGGGTTGTTTGGTTTTCTCTATACTTAGGCAACCGTGCATGTAGGATGTAGCTCGTATTCTCTAGTATGTACTATCAAGAAGTTCAATTGATTGTCCTCCACCTTCAATGATGCTTATCCAAACAATAGATGCATCGTTTATAACACATTGATACCACAACTATTAATTTCAAAATCAATTCATCCTAAACCATCGATCACATGTTAGACCTAAAATGGAATTTAACCAACCAAAAAAAAAATCCGACAATCACATCCCATACCAAACGATTTATTAGCGTGATTTTTCCTAAACATATATAGACATAAAATTAGTTACTGCTCGAACATCGATCTTCCGGAGGAGGAAAAGTACAAAACATATATGTTGTGGGCACTGGCAGATTTTGAATTACTTGTGAATATATAAATTGAGCAAGTTTATTATAGAACAATCGATATGTTACATAAACAGGACTTATCGACCTTGAATGGATCTATAATTTCTCGTATTACAAATATTTCACTGGCTAATATCCTATTTTTTAAAAAAAAAATTTAGGAAATTCATTAAATAAATAATCAAGCTTATGGATAAGCTTTCTCAAATTAAATTCCTTGTATCTCTTCTTTTGGAAAGTGAATCTTTATTTCTCGCCCTATATTACCCGTTCCCCTTCACTTGTATTTTCCCTCGAACTGCTGCCACCCACCTCGCTAGAAAAAATTAGGTCACCGGCGAATCCAAGCATTCACCGGAGCTGCTGACCAGTGTCGCTTGGTGAAGAAGAATAACTCCATCGCCGCCGTGCCCAGGCTGATCTAGAAGACCGGAGAGGTTCTTTCTACTTCGACAACACAACAACAGGTATAGCATTTACAATCCTGATCCAAAAAAACACATGCATCATTTACATATTTTTTTCTTCTTCTTATATTCGTTCCAAATCGATTCATTTTAAACCATCGATCAGCCACCTCCACGTGGAACGAAGACACGACCGCCATCAATAACAAAAGAATAAAAAACCGACAACCACATCCCAAACCAAACGATTCGTTACGATGATTTTGTCCTGTATTTACATAAAGCCACAATCATTCAAAGCTCAAAGATAAAATCTTAAGGGTAAAAAGTACAAAAACATATGTAACGGTTATAATGACGGAGTTTACAGTTACCCGCCAATATTCAAATAGGACAATCGACACGCTACCTAAACCAAATTCATCGAACCTATTTGAATGACTAACATTTATCATGTCATCGTAATTCCGATTTCAATTTGGTAATGCTAATTTTCAGACAAGATCAAAAAATTTCCGTGAGGTGAAACAGTAAAAAATAAAAATTGGGCCGTTGAGGTAACGAAGTTAATGCCACCCCTTCTGTTGCCTAATTACAAGACAGCCCAACCGCACGCCCATACCCAGTCCACTCACAAACGCCATGCAGCCCATCAAATTAATATAATATAATTATATAATATAATATAAAGGAACCAAAAAGTAAATTGACCGGATAAAAAGAAAATTCACCCAGCCAGGTTCCCTATCTTACCCTCATTACCTATGCAGTTATTACAACCCGCAGCACCCCGTTCCTTTCAGTATGTCCTTTTCAGTTTTCACCCATCACCGAACACAGGGCACCCCCGTCATTTTCCACCGTCACCGAGGCTAAAAACGTAAATAACACTTTCGAGAAACCCGATATCTCGCCCCCATGAGATAAACTGATGGGTCCGTCGGTGCCATAATCCCCTGCTCACCCACCACACCCCACGACCGCCTAGCTATCCGGGATTTGCTGACGCAAGCCGCTTCCTGGACCGCTGGATTGAAAATCAACGGTGGAGATGATCGTCCACCAGGTAATCGTTGTAACACGGGATTGTGGGCACTCACCTGACGCAAAAAGGAATGAAAAAGTGGGGCCCGCATCAGTTCAGCTCACACTACTACTCTTTTATAAGCTGAGCGAGCGAGTGGGACTGAGTGGAGTTTCCTGTTTTCTCTCTGGTTTTTTGAGCGAGTTGTGGGAGGGCGAAGGAAGGCGAAGGAGCTTTTTTTTTTTTTTCTTTCCGTTTCTTCTTTCTCCGTAGCTTGTATTTAAGGTGACATTCCCTCTCCCTCTCAACCCTCCGTCTTGCTCTTGTTCGTCGTAGCTAGGGTTTTTCCGCTCTCGCTCGCCGTTCTTTTACTGAGGTGAGTGAAGGGGAAGACTGGTAGACGAAGACTGTGTCTCTCCGTCTCGTTTTCTTGTAATGCAGCTGGTTTTCCTGGTTTGGCTGGGCTGTGGTTTATGATTTTCGAACGATGAGACGATCGATTGTGGTCCGGGTTGTGGAAATTTTTTGTTTATCTTTCGGTGGTTGTTTTTAGTAATATGGCCATTGTTTGTGTGTCGGTTTGATTTTGCGAGGTTTGGAGGCTGATGGTGTACTGGTTTCTTGTGCTGTGAACAGGTTTCTAGCTCTGAAGGTCTGGTTCGGGAAGACAACACTGATTCATACTCTGTAGGTATTATGATTTCCCCATTTTCCCTGTTTGAGTGATGTGTTGGATGTGGTATAGCTTTCTTCCGGGTTCGTAACAAGGCTGCATGTCATTGTATCATTCTGCGATGGGTTCGTTTGTGTTTTATATTTGTTCATTTGATGGGTTGCATCTTGCATGCAAGGAAAATTATTGTTAGTTTTACTTCCGCTCTACCATTTTAAGTGGATTTGGTTGTGGAAGGGACGGGCTCTATATCTCTTCCAGTTCTGTTGTTTTACAATTCTGGTTTTACCCTGTACGTCCATTTGTCTGCTTTTTTTTTTGGTTTCGAGAGCTAGTTCTGGCTCTGGGCATCTGTTCAGCAAAATTTCTTGCTACTATGGCATATTGTTCTTATTTACGTTGCTTTTAGCGATGTGCCTTGTTGTTGTTCTTTTTGGTCGGTTCAGAACAGTGTTGCATGTTGGTTTTCTTCGGCTACAGGTTCCTTCGGTTGTATTTGTATTGTATGGTTTCCTTGACGGGCTTGGTTCTGTGATTTTACAAATTGGGGGTTTCCTTTGCTTGCATATGTCTGTTTTTTTTTCTTGTGAGCTAGTTTTGGGCATTGGTTAAGCAAAAATATCTTGCTACATTGGGGATTTGGATTGCTGCTTGTGCATGAGCTCTGAGATGGACCATTTAACCGTGATGTGTCTTTTTTTTAAGACAATGGACTCGGTGGATCCTGATGGAAGTGGTCTTCAGGAGGCATTGCCACCTCCCCCACCTGTTCTTCCTCCGGATGTGGTGCCTGTTAAACTTGAAGAACCTGTTAAGAAGAAGCCTGCTCGTCTTCCCATGGCTAGGCGTGGCACTGGAACTAAAGGACAGAAGATCCCCTTGCTGACCAATCACTTCAAAGTGAATGTGACCAATATGGAGGGCCAATTCTACCACTATAGTGTAAGTTTTGTATTTAACTGTTAAGTGGTGTTGCTCGCGGTTCATTGCAACATATTTTAGTGGTTGCATTTGTTTTTCTTTCAGGTTGCTCTCTTGTATGAAGATGGCCGTCCTGTGGAGGCTAAAGGTGTTGGAAGGAAGGTTCTTGACAAAGTGCAGCAAACTTACAGCAGTGAATTGTCTGGAAAGGAATTTGCATATGATGGTGAGAAGAGTTTGTTCACCATTGGGCAACTGCCACTGAACAAGCATGAGTTCACTGTCGTTCTGGAAGAGGTCACGTCTGCCAGGTTATTAGCTTAATAATCCTGAGACTGTTTATCTTCTAGTCCTATCTGTTTGTTGATTTTGAGAATTTTGGTCTGCAGGAACAACGGAAATGCAAGCCCAGATGCCCAAGGAAGTCCCAATGATACTGATAGGAAGAGGATGAGGCGTCCTTACAATTCCAAGACGTTTATTGTGCAGATCAATTTTGCTGCCAAGATTCCCATGCAAGCCATTGCTAGCGCCCTGAAGGGGGTAGAAACTGAAAGCTCCCAAGAAGCATTGAGAGTGTTGGATATCATACTACGCCAACATGCTGCAAAACAGTAAGTATTAATGAATACAATCCTTACTTTGCAAGATTGAATTTAGTTTACTTTGTCTCATTATGCGTGTTTTCATGTTCAGGGGCTGCCTTCTGGTACGACAGTCTTTCTTTCACAATGATCCAAAGAATTTTGTGGATCTGGGAGGTGGTGTTCTGGGTTGCAGAGGCTTCCACTCCAGCTTTAGAACCACCCAAGGAGGATTGTCTCTGAACATTGGTTAGTGTACTTGAATCAGTCTTCTGTAAGTTTGTATAATTTCTCTCTTGTTGGTATTCTTACTGCATTTTGCTTTCAGATGTATCAACTACCATGATCATCCAGCCTGGACCTGTTGTAGATTTTCTGATTAACAACCAGAATGCCAGAGATCCATTCTCTTTGGATTGGGTTAAGGTAGATATATGTGTGAGCATCTCTTTACCTATTCTATTTCATCCTTTGACTAATCTGTTTTTTCTTTCCTATTACTAGGCAAAAAGAGTGTTGAAAAATCTAAGGATTAAAGTAAGCCCCACAAATCAGGAGTACAAGATCACTGGTTTGAGTGAGCGAAACTGCAAAGATCAGCTGTATGCTCTTCACATAGTCTATTGTCCTCTATTATGTTCCATTGTCTATCCTTCCCTGTTTTGTGATTGATCCATTAGGCACCTGTTGTTATAAGTTACTGCAAACTGAGGTTTTATAGCTTTTCTGGCTTTAAATCTTCCTTTTGTATTTGTAGGTTTCAATTGAAACAGAAAGGTGATGCTGAACCGCTGGAGATCACCGTGTATGACTACTTTGTTAATCACAGAAACATTGAGCTGCGGTATTCGGGAGATCTGCCTTGCATCAACGTTGGGAAGCCCAAGCGGCCAACATATATCCCTTTGGAGGTGTGATGATAAGCATAATACATGCTACACTTGTCTTGTGATAATCTGTCCTTTTGCTGTACTCACTACTTTGATCTTTTTTGTAGCTGTGCTCCTTGGTTTCCCTTCAACGTTACACCAAAGCGCTGACTAATCTTCAGCGTGCTTCACTAGTGGAGAAATCAAGGCAGAAGCCACAAGAGAGGATGGGTGTTCTGTCGCATGTGTGTATCTTATATTTGCTAAACTTGCTAAATCCATTTTTGAGTAGTCGAAGTTGGTTAACCCTTTCACTGAATCATCTTGCAGTCTCTGAAAACCAGCCGCTATGACGAGGAACCCCTGTTGCGCTCATGTGGTCTGTCAATTAGCAATAGTTTCACTCAAGTTGATGGTCGTGTGCTGCAAGCTCCTAAGGTACTAGTGTGTATTTACTTATCAAAGATAAAGTATGACAGATCTAGCAAAGATTTGTTCGCTCTGTCAGCATGAATGTATAGTGTCTGTGCTATAATTTTATCGCTAGTATGGCTACTTTAGTAACCTGTTCCTTTTTTTTTTTGGTAACAGCTGAAAGTGGGCAATGGGGATGATCTATTTGCCAGAAATGGCCGTTGGAATTTTAATAATAAGGTGCTTGTATCATTTTTACTCTTCATGTCATTTCCTCTAATTCATCATTAACCCTTGTATCATTTTTACTCTTCATTCCAGAAACTGGTGCAGCCTTCCAAAATTGAGAGATGGGCTGTTGTCAACTTCTCTGCAAGGTGTGATGTACGCAGGCTTGTAAATGATTTGTTGAGATGTGCAGAAGCAAAAGGCATTGTAAGTTTATCTGTTGTAATTGTTATATGAGTGTCAATCCATGTTGTATAATACAAATTATTTGTTCCATTTACATTTATTGCTACTTGTAGCCCATTGAAGATCCTCATGCAGTTATTGAGGAAAACCGACAGATGTCTCGTGCTCCTGCTATAGTGAGAGTGGAGAAGATGTTTGATGAAATCCAGTCTAAGCTTCCTGGTGCTCCAAAGTTTCTGTTGTGTGTGCTTCCTGAGAGGAAGAACTGTGATGTATACGGTATGGTTGTGAAGGCTTGTCTTTTTTAATTTTCACTGTTTCATTTTGCCATCCTAACATCTATGTTTGATCTCTGCTGAAGGGCCTTGGAAGAGGAAGAATCTTGCTGAGTTTGGAATAGTTACACAGTGTATGGCTCCACAAAAGCTGAACGATCAGTATCTTACAAATCTTCTTCTGAAGATCAATGCCAAGGTTGGTTGCAAGACTTATCGCTAGTGTATGTTAATAGCAGTTATAAAAAGTACCATGTTTTTATCTCACTTCTTCATATTCTCTCTACTGGCAGCTTGGTGGTCTGAACTCTTTGCTCTCTATCGAGCACTCTCCTTCCATACCTATGGTATCTAAGGCTCCTACCATGATCCTTGGGATGGATGTCTCACATGGATCTCCTGGACAGTCCGACATCCCTTCAATTGCTGCGGTATCTCTCTTTTTAACCTTGTAACTATACGTCAGTGCTACTGTTTATAATTTTTTTTTATCTTCCAGTTCACCAAGTTCTGAGGTGCTTTGTTTCATGTAATATTTTAGGTGGTCAGCTCTCGTCACTGGCCTTTGATTTCTCGATACAGAGCTTCTGTACGAACTCAGTCCCCTAAAGTTGAAATGATTGATTCCTTGTACAAGCGAGTGTCTGACACTGAAGATGATGGAATCATGAGGTTAGTATTAAGATATGTGTTATCACATCATCAGTTTTTAGGATGATTACTGACTTTGCACCCCCTATTATCAATCCAGGGAAGCACTTCTGGACTTCTATGTGAGCTCTGGGAAAAGGAAGCCTGATCAGATCATCATATTCAGGTATGCCTAATTCTACCATGAACTGTTTTCTTACTTGAATACTTGCTACCCTGAATGTTTGTTCACTGTTATCTTTCTATGATCTTCATCATTTTGTTGACTTCCTGGAAAGAGTGCTAATCCTTTGGTATTTTGTATTTCCAGGGATGGTGTTAGTGAGTCGCAGTTCAATCAAGTACTCAACATTGAGCTGGATCAAATCATTGAGGTTTCGATTCGATGCTCTTTCTTGGATTGTCTACATGTTTGATTGGCTTTTAAAACTGCATGCTTAGTAGTATTTTGACGATATGTCAGGCCTGTAAGTTCCTGGATGAGAAATGGAACCCAAAGTTTGTGGTCATTGTAGCTCAAAAGAACCACCATACCAAGTTCTTCCAGCCTAACGGTCCTGAGAATGTCCCACCTGGTAAGTCCTGTCCTTGAATAATTTTATCAGCAGTCTTGAATAGGTGCCGAGATTGAGTACTATTGTGGTTGTGCAGGAACGATCATTGACAACAAAGTTGGTCACCCAAAGAACTACGATTTCTATCTGTGTGCACATGCTGGGATGATAGTGAGTGTCACTGATTGAATCCCCCTCTCTATGAATTATTTTGATTGCTACTCTTGCTATTGCCACAAGATGTTGACTTTGAGATCACTTGCCTCCTTTCTCAGGGAACTACAAGGCCCACCCACTACCATGTTCTGCTGGATCAGGTGGGTTTCCAAGCAGATGATCTTCAGGAGCTTGTCCACTCTTTATCCTATGTGTAAGTTGTTTTCCTTCTCTTTTCTTAGCTACTGCACCAATTCAAATTCTAGTTTGTTTGTAGCTTAACTTCATGTGTGGGAAATATCTTATGCAGGTACCAGAGAAGCACCACTGCCATTTCTGTTGGTAAGACTGTTTGCTGATTGCTGTCGCACTTTTGTCTAATCAGTTGGAAATTTTTGATTAATACAGATTGCTAATAGTGGTGGTTGTCTGACTTCGGGTTATGTTTTCTCTTTCCTCCTCGACCACAGTTGCTCCTGTGTGCTATGCTCACTTGGCAGCCACCCAGATGAGCTCTTTTATGAAGTTCGAGGACACCTCCGAGACTTCATCCAGCCGAGGAGGGATGACGGCTGCAGGGCCTGCGCCAGTTCCTGCCCTGCCAAGGCTTGAAGAGAAGGTGGCCAACTCCATGTTCTTCTGCTGAGAAGGTGGTGATGTTGCTCATGTGCTGGCAGTAAATGTGAAGTGGTAGTGGAGTGGTGGTTTTACCCCTTTTGTTTGTGTACATAAAGGGGGGAAATCTGGAAGGTTTGTTCGGATTTAGCCTTGGTAGTATGAAAAGTTTGAACAATGGTAGTAGTGAACTATGAGAAAGATGAACAATGGTAGTTTTGCACTAGTGGTAGTAGTAGTAGTAACTAGTGTCTTATGTCTGGGCTATTTTGCGGTTGGATCCTTTTTTGATTGTTAAGTTTGCTTCTATGCAAGCTATAACATAGTAAGCAGTAAAGCCCCAGAATCTATTTCAGAAGATAGCATCTTCTTTTGCCTTATTTCCTCTCTATATTCCTTTGCCCCTTGGTCTTTGACAGATCAGCCGTGTTCTGGGGGTTGAAGTCCGCAATGTGCAAAGCTTCTGCTGCCCCTTAGTTCTCGGCCTTGATCTCTGTTTCTCCTTATCAATGAGTTGATTCCTTACTGAAGTGGCAAGCTATACTGCTTACCATTTCATTCATTGTTAAGGATGATCATTAGCTCGAAGTTCTTGGTGGCTCTTCTTCTAACTTCTTATTATCGTGATGGTCTATGACGACTTGTAAGCCCTTCGTCGTCTCTAGCTGCTGCTACGAACTGTGATCACTTTCCGAAATGATCATTAGTTTGGAGTTCCTGGTGGCTCTGCTTCTTGGTTTCGTAGTATCATTATCTCCTTCGAGGATTCACATTGCGATTCCACTACTTTGAGCAGCAAAAAAACCAAAATTCTGATTTCAATCACTAGCTGAAGAACATCGTTTGAACTACAAATGCTTCACATAATCACATCCCAGCAAACAGAGCACCACTACTCGACAGAACACCAAGAACCAAAAACAGGACAGCAGAGGTAAATCCACACCGAGGAAAAAGAGGAGATCCGCTGCTGCTCTCAACCGGGCGAGGCTGCTGCGGCGGAGGGGGCTCGGTAGTCACATTCACCTCCATCTTCATCCCCTGCATCGCACAGTAGCTTCCCCTGCTGCAGATGAAGTAGTAAGGCCTCGCCTGCGTCAGGTTGAACACGTCCCTCCCACCTCTCGTTATGTTGGTGATGAACCCTTCCCCGCTGCAACGGTCGTATCCAGTCCTGTTCACCTCCAGGACGTCGTACAGAGTCTTGTTGAACCCGAAATCTGCATGTTTTGCAAACGGCAGACAATCAAACTATTAGCAAAACGTGGATTGTAGTTTGTTAAAGTGAAAGAAGCTGGGACCTTACAGAGCCAATCGCCAACGTATATTTCTTTCTGAGACGCCCAGAGAGTGAGGTTGGCGTTGGGTTCCCAGGTGGACCTCCCGCCGCCGACCCTGTAGAGGATCGGCCACCTGGCCTCGGCTGCCATGAAGAGGAGGAAGAAGGTGGTTGCTGTGACAGCGAGGAGGAACGACGACGGCGGGAGTCTGCTGGTTGGTAGCATCTTGGAAAGCTCCATTGACGGCGGTGTGGGAATTTGCAGCAGAGGATCAGTTAATAAGAGAGGAGAGGTTAAAAGCTTCAAACGGCATACGAGATGCATGAAGAGAGTTGGGGGAAGGCGTCGGGTTTGGCATGAGTTACTTGTTAACTCTGTTATGGGATTCTGCGTGATTTTTGGGGACTTTCTTGCTTGTCATACAAACTCCTTGTACGGCAACTACGTAGAAGTAGTTGCATTTGGGTGGAAGACTTGGTTGTAAAATCGGTTTAAGATATCGAGTCGGTTAAGCAGGTGATTTGAAGTTTCACCAGGGCCGTCCCATGATATTTGGAGGCCCTGTTCGAAAATTTAAATTGTGGCCCTAATTTTTTCCCCATAAATTTATCAAAATTAAAAATTAGTAAATAATTGTAAAAAAATACTTAAGTTCAGAAAAAGATTACATCAGGAATAAACGATCTCGTTTCCAGTTTGACCAAGAAACCAAGACCGAATTCCCAGCCCTAGTAGGGAGGAAAGTAAATCTGGAAGGAAGAGAAAATGGATATAACGCAAAAATTGAATTGAGAAATGAAAATAGTCTAAATTGATCGAGAGGTGGGTGCAGGGTTGTCTACTAGATCGTGGAGGCCCTATTTCAAAATCTAGACGTGGTCCAAATCAACCTTTAACTATAATAAAACTAAAATGATTATAATAACATTATTCAAAATGTAATATCTTTAACTTTTATTCATAAAAAAAATGTAATATCTTTCTATATTATTTAAATTAAAATTATCTATTATTTTTTAGATTTTCGTATTCTCCATGAGATCCTTTTCAATTGTTATTATAGCTAAAATTATCTATTAAACACATCATCATACTCATAATCAATCAATCATACACTAAAATACAACCTACAATATACGATCGGTAACTAACGAATCTAAGTAGAGGCCCCTAATATTCTGAGGCCCTGTGCCGGAGGGCGGGCCAGCACACCCTCATGGCCGGCCCTGAGTTTCACGAGTTGATCGGGGTTCAACCTATTTGAGACGTTTTATACATTTTCTAACTATATGTACAAATGAGGTAGTAGTTTAAGAAATTTATGCCAAATGAAATTTATCTTATATGTATCATTTATTAGTTTTACATTTAAGTATATATATATATAATCCATTAAAATGTTAGGCTCTTCTCATTTTGTCATTCCAATCCAAAACGATAGCATTTTATCCTCGATTTGGAAATCATTAAAAAGTGGTCCTACCACCAATTTTCTCGGTTTTGATCGGCTAACACTCAAAAATCAGAATGATTTGCTGGAGATCGGTTTCGATCGTGTCTGATAGTGGTTTCACAACTTTGTTTGTTACAAATAACTTGAGTTACAATGTGCTTAAAAATTGGAGATCGACGAGATATAAACACAAGATCTCACGATTATCAAAAGTTTTGATCCCATATCACTAGTTAGTTGGTACAAACTCGAATTGGTGCATGTGTTTCCATAATGCATCTTATATCAATAATGAGAAATGAGAATGAAAGGTTTAGGTATAACTTTTCTGTCGGAGCAAAATATTCTCATAGTGTTAATATTAACCTTTTTGAAGCTTAACTTGATTTTCTTTTATACGCAAGATTAACATGTTCTTTTTTACCTTCCTGTTATTAGTGTAGAACTTTGAAGCTTCAAATTGGGGAATAGATCAATTTGTAACCCTCCACAATGAAAGATTGAGTGATATTTATAAACCGGTGCCGGAGAAGTTAAACGTGGCACACGATGCTTGTCCTATCGTGTGACCACCTGCAATGGAAGTAGTGTTTACGTAACATTATAACCTCATATCTCCCTCTCCGAACTAAATCGAGCCACGAGAGCATTCGATGTATGCTCTGAGCATTTTTCATCGCGGTAGAATGGTATCTAATGATTTAACTCATCAAAGTAGACGAAGATACACGTGTGATTATGCGAGAGTACAATCCAACAACGTCAGCACGTGCTGATCGCCGCGTCTCAATAATAATATAACGTGGCTTATGTTATCCATTTAAGTATTGATCATTTTAGGCACCTTCTTAAGCAAATCAATCGATTTAAATTAACTTGTGTGTTGAAAGTTAGATTGAATTTACCTGACAAGGAGCCGACATCAATGAGACTATCAAGGCCAACTGCAGCAAACTGGGCCGACGATCAAGGTGAGGTTGTCGAATGGGCCTGAAAGATAACCTGCTCCGGCCTGATTAGCCACCAGCCCATCTCTTCTCCCAAGCGGGACTTTCCACGGCGGCCCACCACTCTGTTTCATACACGAGATCCCAAACAATTGAAGTTGTTGCGACGAAATAACTTCGTCGCCATCAGTCCCATCCAGCAGCACAGACCCATCAGCCATCACATTCCTTTTTTTTTTACAAAGATTATCGACTTTTATTCCACCAAACAAATGAGAGACGAGAAACTTGGTTACAATCTTTAAAGCAGATCAGAAATGAGATCAAGAATATTAATCCAATCATCAGGAAGCGATGCTCGAGCTTTAGATCGTGCAACCCAATCTGCTCTAACATTTAGTGTTCTGGGCACTCCTTTGACTTTGATGAGAGGGTTTGTACGGAGAATAGAAACAATCGATCCGATCCATGCTGCACACCTCCATGGCCATCGAGAGCGATCATTTTCCAAAGCTTTCACCAGCACCTGACAGTCGGAATGAACCGTACACTCGGATCCATATTCTTGAGCTAATTTCACTCCTTCAAGAAGGGCCTTAGTTTCTGCTTCAATCGGGGTGGAACAAAGAAGATTCTCAGCTCTTCCATCACACACTTGTCCATGGTGGTTAACAACCACAACACCATATGCCGCCGACTGGGGGTCGCTAACAAACGACCCATCACAGTGAATCACCAAAGACTGATTGCTTGGCGGTGGATTCGTATGAGACTGGGTTCCCCTAAGCTGAGAGGGAAGGGAGGGCAGGGGAGGAGGGGTCCTCGGGCACGAATTCCATTCAGTAAGCTCTTTATACGTAAGTTGGCACACCTTCGGAGGCCACGGAATTCTACTCTTGAAGGCGCATTCGTTTCTCGCCTTCCAGATGTTCCAACAAAGGAAAACAATATGGATCAAGGAGCTGTGCTGGACAACATCTTTAAGGGAGCAGAACCAGTCAAAGAACACGGTTCCCTGAGGGGGTAAAGGGAGAGACGGAAACAGGGCATTCCATGCCTCCTTGGCATGGGGGCATTGGAACAAGCAGTGGTTGATGGATTCGACTGGGTTCAGGCACACCTGACAAGAAGAATTGGGAGCACACTTCCTCTGGTGCAGTCTCTCTTTCGTTGCTAACCCATTCTTGGAGCATCTCCAAACAAAGAATTTCAACTTCGGGGGGATGTGAAGGCTCCAAATCCACTTCCATTTTTCCGTGTTCCCGCTTGGTTGCATATTGGTGTTGGCTCTGTGGATCTTATGGTACGCAGATTTAACCGTAAACTTTCCCTCTTCATTGTAGTTCCATGCCCAATAGTCCTCAGCTCCATCCTCCCCGATTGGAATCCTGAGGATAGCTTCGAGCTCTGAGTTGGACACATGCCCCTGGATTACATCTGATTGCCACTTTCTTTCTCCAGGATCAATCCACTCATTGACCTTTTGATGATTCTGCGGGCCCGTCCTGAGCGCATAATTGTCCAAAGTGGGGATCCAAGGGTCCCTATCGACCCACGTGTCATTACCTGATCCAATCACTCGGACTGCTCCCAAACCAATCACCTTTTTTGCCTCCCAAAGACTAGCCCATATCCATGAAGCTTTGCTCCCCTTTTTTGCATTAAGAAAATCACCTCTAGGGAAGTACAAACCTTTCAGGAGACGACTCCACAGTGCCTCAGGGGTCGTGAGGAGGCGCCAGGCCTGCTTAGCAAGTAGGGCAAGGTTAAAATCATTGAAACTCCTAAAGCCCAAACCTCCCTCATGCTTGGGCAGACAGAGAATTTCCTTCCTACACCAATGGAGACTATTCTTCTGCATCGACCCTGACCAAAAGAAGTTACTTAGAAGAGAGTCCATTCTCTTTGTGAGACCCTTTGGGAGATAGAACAGACACATGATATACGATGGAATAGCTTGAATGACTGCTTTCAGTAGGATCTCTTTTCCCCCATGAGAGAGTAGGAGACTTTTCCAAGCCTCCCCCATCTTTTCCATTCTCTGAATGAGGAAGTTAAAAGTTTCTTTCTTTGAGTTTCCCCATTCCGTCGGGACCCCCAGATACTTAGAATGGCAGTTCGAGGAGGCGAAGCCAATGCTCACAATTATCTGTTCTTTCACATCGCTGGGGACATTGGCACTGAAGAACACTGACGATTTGTTAATATTAACCTCTTGACCAGTAATAGCTCCATACTCCCCAATGAGATCGATAATTTTCTGCGCTTCCTGGTAATCTGCCTTGCCGAAAATGACTGTATCGTCAGCAAACAGGCAGTGGGTGAGCACTGGGCATCGAGCATTCAGCTTAATCCCCTTTAGACTATCGTTCGCCACAGCTTTATCAATCAAGAAGGTGAGGGCATTTGACATGAGGATGAATAAGAAAGGTGAGAGTGGGTCTCCCTGCCGAATTCCTCGGGAAGGCTTGAAAGAGTCCGTTGCTTCCCCATTGAACAGAATAGAGAAGCTAACTGTTCTAATGCATGAACTGACCCACCCACACCACTTACTGTCAAACCCATACTTCTTGAGAAGAGCCTCCAGACAGTCCCAATCCACCATATCATAAGCCTTCTTCATATCCAATTTCAACATCATATCTCTCCTCCTACCCAATTTATGGTTTTTGAAATGATGCAGGGCCTCGTGGACTATGATGATATTATCTTGAATAAGTCTACCCCCGGTGAAAGCTGTTTGGAGCTCAGATACCAATTCAGGAGTCCATTTCTTAAGGCGCGTTGCCATAATCTTAGATATGATTTTATATCTAAAATTACAGCAGCTAATAGGACGGAATTGGCTTATCAGTTCAGGGTTATCAACCTTGGGGATCATTGCGATATGAGTTTCATTCCATCCAGCTGGCATATTAGCCGCCTCGAAAAATCCTCTAACTTCTCGGCACACTGTTTCTCCTAGGATTTCCCAGTATCTCCTATAAAATCTTCCCGAGAAACCATCAGGTCCAGGAGCTTTTCGAGCTCCCAGTGAGAAAACCGCTTTCCTAATTTCTCCATCAGTCACCTCAATACAGAGATCCTCATTCATCTCCCTAGTTACTTTTTCAGGGAAGCCTTCCAACAGATGGTTAAATGGGATCGGACTCCTAGCCTTAAACAGATCCATGTAAAACTCTTCAGCTAGTCTTTTGAGACTATTCTCATCTTCAATCCAATTTCCTTCTCCGTCTTTGAGTTTCAGGATTTTGTTTCTATGCTTTCTATATATAGTGCTAGAATGAAAGAAGGAAGTGTTCTGATCACCTTTTTGGAGCCAGTTAACTCTCGAGCATTGGCTCCAGAATGCTTCTTCATCCCTCCAAATGTTCGTCAGTTCCATAGTAAGCATTCTCTCCTCTTCCACATTCTCCACTGTTCTTGGCGGCTGTTGAAGGATTTCGAGTCTAGAAAGAATTTCTTGCTCCCTCTGTATACTGTTCTTGTGGAAGTCTTTTGCCCATTCCTTGAGATCTCTTTCACATTTGTTCAGTTGTTCCGTTGATTGGCCTCCAGGGTCCCATGCGCGGGCAATAATCTCCTTGCATTCTTCTTTCTCAAGCCATCTTTCATCAATCCTAAAGGGTGTCTTCTTCCTCCTGTTTCCCCGATAATGGAGTTCCAGTCTGATCGGGCAGTGATCAGACTCCACCATTTTCTCATGGAAGACCACTGCTTCGCCAAATTGGGCACGCCATGACGTCGAGCATAGCACACGATCCAGTCTCACTCTCGTCAAGTTTTGGCCCGTTCTCTTGTTGGTCCAAGTGAAGGGCTCCCCTTTGTAACCCAGGTCAATAAGAGCATTCTGGAATATGAACCTCTTAAAGGGTTCCACATTCTCGTATCTAAGAGGGCATCTCCCTTCCTTCTCATTTTCATAGATCGCAGCATTAAAATCCCCTACAACCACCCAGTTATCATCCCTACTACTCCGCAGAGAGCTCAATTGCTCCCAAAAATCCCTTCTACTAACAGCTGTAGAGGGTGCATGAACAAAAGTACAGAAAAATTTCCTACCCATATCAATACTAACATCCATGTAGTAGCTATCACTACTTAAAACCGTAATATTAATACCGGATTTCCACCATAAAGCAAAACCCCTAGAAGAGTTGACCGGTTCAACATACTCTCTATTGGGGAAAATTTTGAGACTTCTTCTTTGTTCTTCCATGAAAACCTCATTTTTGCTAGTTTCCATAAGAAAAACAATAGACGGGCCTAAACGCCTACATAGACGCTTCGCATAACTTCTTGTAAGGGGAGGGCCAAACCCCCTACAATTCCAACTTACTATACTCATTCTGGATGAGGTGGCTTCTGGCGAACCACCGCTGCCCTTGAGTCATCTTCCTGACAATCCGCCACCTCTTCCGATCTCGTCACTCTTTGAGCACCCTTTTTTCCTCTAATACCTTTCTTCTTTCTATTCTTTCCTTCTTGCCCTCCCATAAAAACTGCACCCTCATAAATAATGGGCCCAACCAACTCCAGCCTGTTAGTCCCCTTCCTTTTCTTTCTGGCCCGGCCCATTTCTTCCTCCAGTTCTTCCTCTACATGCTGATATAGGCCCGATCCGCCACTTATTTCTTTACCCTGGGCCTTCTCAAGACCGCCCTTGTTCAGCTGACCGTGGGCCTTCCCACCTGTTTCCTGGATCACCGGCCCAAGCCCAAGGGAGAGTGCTGTTTGCACTTCCCCCTCCCCACTTCCCTGGCCCAACCCCACTCCCCTTCTCTGGTTTCCAGCTTCCCACCCTCCGCCGCCCTCTCCCAATCTCAGACCCCATTCTAGCTCTTCCGCCGCCTTTTCAAGGTCGACGGAGATATCCCTTCCTCCCATCCCTTCCCTGTACCTTCCCCTCTGCCTACCCAATAGCCCCAGATCCTCCGTTTTGATTTGCCCTTCCTCCACGCGTTGAATCCTGAAACCCGGTGGGATTAACTGCATCCCCCCTGCTGTACTACCCCTCTCCGTCGCAGAATTGCTTTCCCCTGCTTCATTCCCCCGATAGCTTCCTCTTCCTTCTCCCCTGTTCCTGACCTGAGCCGCGGAGCTTCTTCGTGGCGAATCGATCCCCGCCTTCAGCGAGGCAGTGTAGATTTCGGACAGGTAAGCCACTCCCTTCTGCCTCCTTTCCTCATTCATAGCTCTACATGTTGGCCAGTTATGGCCAACTTTGCCACAGAAGTAACAAAGCTCCACCAATCTCTCATATTTGAATTCAATCTCGTCGCAGTGCTCAACTCCTGTGAATTCATCTAGAAAGGGGAAATCGAAACCTACTGGGACGGGTTCCCTGATATCGACTTCCACAAGAATGCGAAGGAATCTCCTGTACCCGATAAATTCCAGGCTTGCTCTGTCAATATCCAACAGCTCCAGGAAGTAACTTGATCCGATTGCCACCATGTTCTCCTCACTCCTTTGATTTTGATGCAGGCCATGGATCTGAACCCACATCGCCATCTTTTCAATCGGAACATCCTCGGGCTTCCCTCTTCCGCTGTACTTCTCGATCGCCGTCATAGTGTTCGACAAGCTCCAGGGCCTCTCCTCCCAAATTTTATCTCTAATCTCCCTGCTCTTGAAGGTGAACAGGAACAGGTTTTGGGTTTCTGTTGGTTGAATGTTCACCTCCCCGTAACAGCCCCACGCGTAACGAGCCGCTCCAGCCGCTTTTGCCACTGCAACCTTGCTCTCTGTCAGCATCTTCCCCAGCAGCATGGACATCCCTCTCCCTCCAGTTGAGGACAGGACAAGGCGTCCCCCTCTGCCCCTGGTTTGCGACTGGACGAGGCTTCCTCTCCCCTGGTTGGTGATTGCTTCATTGTTGATGGGCTCCATCTTAGTGCACAGCAGCAAGTTTTGAAGTTTGGTTTGCGGTAGATTGATTTTTCCTCTGCTATAGGTGGGTATTGAGACTAGCCAAAGCCAGGGGGAATAAGCAGTGCTACTAGAAAAACAAGTTTTCACCATTTATCTGCTGCGATTATAGTAGGATCGAACCTTGTTAAACTGCAAAATCGAAACATATGTTGTGTAACATGCAGATCGGTTGGCCTAGCGATAATGAGAACGACAAATACTTCGACATGCTACAACTTGGGTTAGTTAGTTAGTTATACGTGAAGGGCTGAAGGCGCAGCAAGGAGGCAGCCATCTGCATCTCAGCCTATGCATGCGCACGATTTGGGCAAGCTTAGGGCACGTCGATGCATAGAAATCGACACTCAGCTGAGATTTCACATCAATCACACACAGCAGCATCAAACAGTTATAGGAGATTGTGGGAGTTGGGTCGTCGTGATAGTGTAGTTTAATTTAGCCTTATTCTTCCACTAATCACATTAAGTTGTAGTTAGTTAGCATAATCTCTGTCCATATTGTAAATTCTGGTTCTACATTCATATAGAATTATTTCTTATTCCATATGACTTGACTTGTGAGTGCTGCAGAAGTGCAATCAGAGTAAACTTGAGTGCAGTCGACTGAAAAGAACCCGAAATTGAGAACCAAAAACTTCAGGAGACACCGTTAAAATTAATCAATTAGAGTACAGGAATGCCACAATATGTATCGTTTCTGAGAACAAGAGATTTGTGTGATACAAAATGCAGGATTGGTTTACCTAACAGTTGCTGGAAGTTACATGGTGCGAGGAGGGACTGTACTAGATGATGAACAGATACTTGTTAGTAAAGCGTATTAGCTATTTCCCTGTCCCGGCCAGCTTTTCCTCTAAGCCGAAAGCGACTGCAAACTGGGTAGAAGAATAGCAGGGGATCCGTCATTTACTTCGTGGGGCGGAAGATCTGACGATTTGTAGAAGAATGACTCGATGTAACTTTACAAAAGAGCCTGAACAAAATGGCAGCCGGTGAAGGGGGTGGGCAGAGTGTGCAGAGGAAACCAAAGCCATAGTTGATGGGAGGCATTTCTGCAGAGAAGTGGAATGAAGAATCAAATGATAGAAGTACAGAAAAGCTCTGCAAGCTCCCTTTAATAAGGGCAGAGGAACATAACCATATTGAAACATGCATTCATCTCATATGAGAAATTTTGATCCTTCAGCAGTGTAAGAGCAATATTGAAACACGTCACGCCTTACCTCTTTCACTCTCCCGTCCAGTCTATCAATTCACTGCTAGGCGCAGAAAGCTTTGCCATGTGCTCCTCAGCTTCAATGTCGTTAACCACACCACGGCATCGTGGGAAACCACAGTAGCATGGTAGTTGTTCGTCGATTGACAAAAACCTGATGATAAGTGACAGTCAGCTGCTAGCAAGTACTATTTAGAGGAAGAGTGAGAAGTTGAAAAAAGAAATAGTTTAAGAGGCTTGAGGAGAACCTATAATCATAGGTAAGTTCTTCCCATCTTTTAATATCTCGCTTTGCATAGATAATGATATGCTCGTCACCATTCACGCTTATAACTCTAGAATAGCAATTGGGCTGTTGAAAACAGAAAAGTGAAAATAAGTATCCTGCATTTTGATGGATTTCAACATCCAAATATCACTAAACAAAATTAGCACTAAACTCAACCACCTTACACGAACTTAGAAACTGTCCAAATCTTAGGTCTTATATTCTCCTTCATCTAAACAAAAGAATAAGGTGGGAAAGTAAGATGCATACCTCGCACGAGTGATTAATCAGATGAGCAATGCTTCCTGCCCGTGTAGCATCAATAACTCGTTCATTATCGATCCGAAACATGTAAGTACCAGCACCCTGCATAAGTAACCTAATCAGCATCTCATAAAAGTTGCAGAATTAAGGGGAAATCAATAGTCAAAGAAAACTTACCACCAATGAATTGTATATTAGATGTTCTCTCCTATCAGCTATAGGAGGTCGAACAAGTTCACCACTGTACTCAATCATCTAACAAATAAATAGAAAACTTCATTAGTACCCTTTTGATGAAATATATACCCTTCAACATTAGAAAACCCATAAGGTTACCATGTCGCCCGCCCTGTGTGGATGCTTTGCAAAGATGCCAAATCCGTGAATTGCTGATTTGCCTAGAATAGAAATATTGGCAACCATCAGACACAAAAATGTAAAATATCACCTTTGCCTCAATGTGAAAGCTCATCAACAGAGGAAACAAAGTCAGCTAGTATAGAAATACGTAAGATGACCGCTAGTAAAAGTCAGCATGTAAGTTCAAAGGACGTACCAAATGCCAGTCTCTTTCGAAAGGTCTGCCTCATGTTATTATATTTCTCAGCCATAGAAAGAATATTGTTTGGAACAGAAAGGTGAGAGGCTCTTAGCCTTTGTAGGGTAGAAGAAAATCGAGTGCCAGCACCACCACTTGAAGAAAGTGGAACCCCTGATGACTCATTTGGGCAATAACCTCCAACAAGGTAAGGCTGGTTCTCCACAAACATACGCTTCAAGGATACAGCAGCAAGGGCATCAGGTTCCTTGCGTCCTCTTCGTCCAGAATGATTGTAAGGCTCTTTCAGGGGAGGGAAAACAAAACAAAATAACACTTGTCAGAAGCCTGCCAAAACTTGCAACAAGAAACAAGCAAATCATGCGAAATCGACTTGGAATATGGGTTAGGGTTTGTGGGTTTACAGGTTGGTTTATATGGATGCATTGGTTTAATGGCCCGTGGGTTTGGTGCAATCACATTCTCAGTAGTTTGGAGGTAATTTGGCAAATTTGTCAGGTCAAGGGGCTGTTGGATAGGTTCTTACAAGTTTGCTACTAAATCTAGGTACTAAATGACAATTTTACAGGAACCCGGAAAAAAAAAGGATACAATTCACGAGAATGTGGAAGAGTGCATAGCAGCCGGATTAATAGCAAGAGTGTAGACAAACACACACCTGTACGAGCGCAGCCAGATTGATTACATGGTGGAACGTAGTCAGAGCAACGACGAGAAACTCGACTAATACGTTCATCCGCAATTTGTCGGTCGTTAGATGGCTGCTTATGCCTTTTGCAGAAGGAAATTAAACGAATGCATTGGTCTTCTTCATCATCATCCATAGAAAGCAGATATAGTCTTTCCTCATCTTCTAGCTGTGCAATAAAAGAGAGAATTCAAAAGAGCCTCGTAATTTACCAGCAAAACCAACCACAACATACAAATGATTCCTCTTGAGAAAGATCTTCATTGTTGATTTATAATGTCAATGTTTCAAAGCCGTGTAAACAGAAACTCACCTCAACACAAAGGCCAGCAGCACGAGCACAAAGTGGATGATATGATGCGCAGCAATTATGGTTTGAACACTGTAATGAAACATTGATTCAGAGTGAGCCAACTAACAGCTGAGGACTGAGAAAACTAAAGAATAAAAAAGGAACCTGTACACTCAGATATTGGTACGCAACCAACTCTGCAATAGAAACTGGAAAGGCCATTTAGATTACAAGCTTACCTGAATACAAGCACCATAAGCTACACCACAGATACTGCATTGAAGTTTCCATCGATCCTGTTTAAGTACAAAAAGGCTGGTTAGGGCACGAGCAACATATAGTGCCATGATAAGACAATGCGTTGTTAAAAATCAGCAGATAGCTACCATTTCACAAAGTCAGTAATATCTGACAGGTATAATAGAACAATAGAACGAGTGATACAGAAAACCAGCAAAATTAGCAGCTGAAATATACCTTGTTTATTCTATTTAGACCATCAATGGGCTCCATTCTCTTTACATCTGACAAGCAAGTTTCTGTCCATACAAAGCTATGTCATCATGTCTGATATTAACATAATGCTAAACCACCAAAATGAAGGTTAAAGAACGCAGAGACAGACCAGGTATCCAAATGGCACAAGCAAGATGAGCCCATCGCCCGTCTGTTGTAGGCTTCATAGCACCACCTGGAAGAAAATTTAACTTCCCACAGTTACAGCATAATTATGTTATTGAGGTAGAACATATTAATTGAAAAATCAGGCAGTATCAGACCTATAACAGGACAAAGGCAACAAGGGGGTGGGAACTCAGGAGCTCCAGGACGGCACAAGTTACATAACCACAGGACACCATCAACAGGTTCTAGTTCCCCATAGCACCTAGCATGGACCTGAAGAAGCAGCAATTGTATTTCAAGACTCATTCTAATAGAAGGCAAAAATAGCCCAAAAATAAGACTCCCGAGTAAGCATTTTGACGGGACACTACCAAAATAACTGCACTAGGAGATACTAAATGAAAATAGTAATAGCAATAATTATATGATTCAAGGTGTCTGATAACGGCATCATGAATGAAAAGCTTACCATCATTCTACATTTATCGCACTGCAGGAAGAGATTGTTTTCATATTCCTGTAACCAAATAGAGAAAAATGAAGTTTAAATCACGATATATTGAACCAACACCAAATAGATGAACTGGAGAAAATGAGCAGAATATCATTCATGTCCAGCTCTTCTGCATTTTCATCTTTGATGTGTTGGTGAACTAACTTAGGTTTCATCTCCAGAAGTTATCATTATATTCACAGAAATAGGATTCACCTCATCCATATGGCAGACATTGCACTTATCAAGGTCCTTCCAGTCAACTCGAACTGGTCTGTAGCCAGCAGGCAAATCTTGATATCTGTCAGATAGTGACTTGCTTGTTGACATTCCAGATATAAATCTGGATTTCGATATTCCCTGTCCGTACCAAAAATAATTGTGTGAGCAACATATACGCTAGCAAGATAGAAGTATAAACTAGACCAAGCCCAAGGCCTCTATCGCTTTCAATATGGGCGGATTGAACTCTTCTGATAGAGAAACTGTAGTAAAATCAAGACAGTAAAAGTTGGTCTACGAAATTCAAACATGAAACCTAATTTATTGTGTATGTGTAAAGCCAATTGATAAGGAAATTTTAGTATCTAGTTCTGTGGCATAACAACTACAACTTCAAATGCTACGGAAGATTTTATTTATGGTTCTCAAATCGACAATCAGGGCTTGAAGTTAGTCTCTTTTGCTTGTTGAGTTGGATTTAATTTACTCAATCTTTGAATTGATTAATGTGTTTTCCTGGTCTGTGTCATATGCTGGTCTTGCTCTATTTAGAGTGTGTTATAACACCTTAATACCCTTGAATCCTGGAAACCCAGCCTTTTGGAGGATAATCTCCTTTTTTCCTGCTGGACTTCATTCTCGGGGATGTTTTGAGGCAATATTGTTGGTGGGAATTTTCCAGAGGAATCAAGTGCAACACACTCCGAGTTACTCATGTCCTTAGTTGCAACTTGAGTAAGCACAATCAATAGATTAACTAAAGATAGTCTATTCATAAGAGAGCCCCAAAGGAAAGAAGAGGACATTCAGCCCCACCCAAGATGAATATTTGAGGCCGACTCATAAAAAACTAAAGTGAAATGGAAGATCCAGAAAGATGCATACTTTCCAGCACATAGAAGTGAAATGTACAGAGTGGCATACCTTTATGAGTTTGCTGACTTCAGGGTAAGAGAAACCAAACATGTGAGAACCAGACTGGCGGGTCCTTTCTACTTGACATCCACCATTTAAATCACCAGATGTATCTTCCAGTTTCTTAATTCTTTCATAGATTTTATTCCAGCAAGCTGATGGAGTTGATCCTTCAATCTACAAAGGACAATCAAGTCAATTAACATGCATAACAATTGATAGTTATATTACCTTAACAATAATCAGAAATTTCCAGGCTGCCATTGGAGGAAAAGGTGAAAAGTGCATATTACAAAACCAGAAGCTATGATAACCTTTACTAACAAGAAATAATATACAGTTGTTGACGAAAAGTTATTTCCAGAATGGAAAGCATGGATAGCTAACAATAGTAATTGTATCAATAGAACCCTAATTAGCTACTTAAATGCACACAGCTGCTGACCTGTATTCTACAGCTCCATGTCAAATGTGCAAAAAGAAGGGTGGGACACTGCCCTTTCTTTCACTGTCAAATGAGTTAACCAGGAGGAATTGAATAATTGGGCAGGATAATGGTTATCTCGGACCAGATCAAGACTCGAAGAACAGTATATATTTCCTCTTTATCGAGAATAAGTTCTAATTAAAAGCGTAAGCCATTTCTTGCCCTAACAGCAACTTCAAAAACTGGATAAGTCAACTGAAGTTATTGGTAGAACAAACACAACAAGTGACACAATATCCACACATAAGATTATCCCCTTACTTTTCTAGTTCTCTGATAAAACTATCACATACCAAAAATGCAAGTGAAAGGAAAATCAATAGCAGAAGAGGGATGGACCATATTTCCGAAAACTGCTTGAACATTAATGATGTGCTTACTGCAACTCACCTGCTCTCCATAGTCAAGTGTCACTCTAAACAGGGGCCTAATCTTTGACTCGGAATCTCTCAGCACTTCCATCTTATAAACGGTACACGCACCTGGGTCTACAACCAAGAAAATATTGAAGTAGCCAAAAATTATTCCATCTGATGCTAAGCTATAATAGTGAAATTAGCGGTATGACGGATTTAACAAGCACAGAAGTTGACCTGATACCGAACTGAACTTCCGCAAGGCAGTATATCCCTCAGGCCAGATGGATTTTTCATCCTGGAAATATTCTGAATCCTTCACAATCTTTCCTGGGATAGAGAAAAAGGGTTTATATAAGAAGATGAGCTTCCTTTGATACCCAGCAACCAATCAAAGCTCTAAGAAAAGCTTGCAGTTTGGTTCATCAAGGAAAGTAGGAGGTTTCAAAGTTAAATGCTCTAAACATGTTCCCCTTTCATGCATGGGTTTGCTACTAAAATCCGGAGCAACTGACAATCAAAAGCGTGATAATATACCACCTTCAAGACATTCAAATTTTCTGCATACTTTCAGTGGCAAATTACAAAATTAAAGATGACAAATATGGATCAGCGAAATGCGATTTGGGTTCATGAGATCCGAAATAATTACCAAGGTTTATGATTTGCAGATTTCCAATAACATACGGAGAAGTTTGGAGGCCCCTCAATATCCTTTGTATCCCTTCATCTGCGATACAATCGTCACCTGAATCTGCACTCCGTTCATTGTCACTATTTGCATGTCCACAACTATCTGTATTCGCGCTATTTCGCAACTGTAACATTCTTGTAGGAAGCTTTTGTTCACTCAAATACCTGTCAAAATAAAATTACAAGCGAATTTTTTAACTCAAAAGTAAAGACTGAAGTTGCTGCCGCGACATTGGCAAAGTTTCATACAGTTGGTCATTCTATCATTATGCAACTATTAGTATTAAGTATATCTGGTGAAATTTAAGGCAACCATAGGTGCTACATATTTATGCCTCTAGAAGTTAATTTCAGAAAGCAACCCAAGTGAATAATGATTATTGTATCCACTCTTTATGTAAATAAGGCAAATCCCCATTGAAGGAGAACAACCATGAAAAGTAAATGTGAACACTACAAGTCAATTCCAGAGGCCTAAAAACTGTTCTCGAATTGGGAAAGCTCACGGTACCTTAGGTTCAACCAAAAGGAGTTGCCAATCTACCGAATGTCGTTTAAAGTAACCCACATACAAGAATGATGCCCAAATCCATTCAAAAAACGGTATGAACAGTGCATATTGGCCTTTGATAAATTACAGTTACTCACACAAACTACTGTCACCATAATGGATCTAGTATACATGTTGAAGTTACACCACTTACATCTTTGCTTCTTCCAAGCTGCGAGCAAAACGGGGTTGCTTGCACTTCAGGTGGAAAGAGGAAAGAAGTCCTTTCAGAAATGAGATAACCTGTTTTGATTTAATTCTGCAGGGCAACCACAGTTAAATGCACAGCAGTACCCCAAATTTTTTATTTTTTTTTTACCAACAACAAACATGATCCCCGGCAGTCATTTACCTAGCAAAATCATGAGTACCGAAGAATTGCACAGGGACAAATCTACCTCCTGAATTCGTCTTTGAACCTCTACTGCTGCCAATAACTGATTCTTCAACAACAATAGCTGGCCAAATAGCATGACCTGCACTACAACAATCAAAAGATATAGTCGGTGCAAAACCAGAGATAAAAAGTACAGAAATAAACTGCCTTTGAAAACGAGACATGTCTTTTTCCCCATAAATTGATACTTATTTACCAATGCAAAAAAAAAAAAAAAAAAAAACTCCACTGCAATAATAGATAAAGGCTCATAACAACAAATTCATTAACACTAGTTTCTTTCTTATAGACATAAACATATGTACTTTCACAAGCAAGAAATGCATTAGACAACCTAATCTGTTGCGCAATAGTTCAGTAATGTTCAAAGTTGCGCAATAGTTTATTAAAAACTATTTTTCTATACTTCAGTTTCTGTTGTTTTCTCAATCCTCCAAGCAAGAACATTTTTTCATATTGGATAAAGAGACGACAGCAGGAAGAAGATTGAATTCCGAAACCATGAGATCATGGGGAATTTCATTTATGACTTCAAGTATTCTGCCCAGGCATTAAGAACACACCCTGGTTAGTTTCCTTACATAATTACGAACTTCATTAGAAAAAAGAGGAAGAAGAAATCCTGGTTAGTTAAAAGTAAAAAAAGACAACAGCACAAGGATATGCAATGAAACAAATAGTAAATGATGGATGAGATTAATTTAGTGCACACCAGTTAGTTTTGCCCATATGACATCTCCAGGTTCAAGTTCTTGGCAGTCATCCAAACTGGCAGCCAACACAACCATCTCCTCATATTCCTGGCTGCCATCATTGCTGCTTCTTGTACTGTAACTCAAGCTCAGTTCTTCCATCTCTTCACGGGAAATAAAAAATTTAACCTTCTCTTTTGAAAGCATTACATTCTCATCATCTCCATCCTCATAGTGTATCTGTAATTATTCATTCCAAACAACAAAAGGAACTCAGCAGCTGCTACATAATGTTCCAGGAGCACAATTAATCGAGCGAAAACATACTAAAAACATACTTGATGCTGATTAGTCCCAGAATTGTATCCAATAACACGACCTGAATACCAGTCAACATCCAAAGGCCAATACACCTGTAGAGAACCATGTTAATTACACAATCAAAGAGGCTGAGGAACTGATTCTTCAGAACAATTGAAGAATGTGAAACTTGCCTTGCATTGAAGCCCGATGAAAGTTTTTGGTTCAACGCTATCAATGCTCAACCTGTTATATCCAAGCATTTGCAGGCAACAAAATGCATTAAGTTCAGCAAGAAATGCAAACTGAGAAGATTGTTTATCCAGTCCACTTTGGTGTAGAACATTCAATTAATAAATTTCCAGCATTTATCATCCTCGGCAGTAGGAAACAAGTACACAATTCTCGTAAGAACAGTAGAAACCAAGTGGAAAGAAAAAAACACACCTAACCCATCTTCTAGTACTTGGTGGGATTGACGAAACTTTATCAGAAATCTGCACGAGATCACTCTTCTTCTTCTTCCGCACCTTATTGGTCCCATTCACTTGATGATTCCGGCAGTCCCTCAATCGCGGGCGATCAAACCCTTGCAAAGCACTGGAATCAACCCCCAATCTAACCAACTCACCGCTCCCAATCCTCCTCTTCTTCGCCTTCCTCCCCAAATCATCCTCGACCATATCCCCGAACTCTATCATTTCCTCCTTCACTTTAACTTCCAGGACCGGCCCCTCATCGGTCCTCGCGAGCAACGATTCTACAGATGACAGTTTCTTCTCGACAACGCGAGCCTTTTTATACTTGCGAGTATACACATTTATAATAGGAGGCCGATTGGGAACCCGATCTTCCTCGTCGGAGCTAACTTTCCGCGCTTTCACCTTCTTGGACATGACATTCGAGCCCCCGGAGCTGACACACAGCGACGCCGCAGTGTAGACCTGGTCCAGCGACACGTAACGTACTGGTGCGTCGGTCTGGTTATCCAAGTTGATGTCCCCGTCGTCTTCGAGGATCGGCTTAAATACCTTCTCGTCGCTGGGTTCTTCGACTAATGCCATGGACGGAAAATGCATGCTGCGATGAGGGAGATGGAAGAGAGAGAGTTACGAAATTGGCCGGAGCGAGCTTCTGCTCTCTCGCTCAACTTCGAGCAGTCGAATTGCGACTACGTCCGTTCCGGCGATCGGGAACCCCTGGAATCGGGGTGAATTGTGGGGGAGTATAGGATGCAGAAAGGGAGCAAGAGAGGATTAGGGTTTAAGGTGGGTGTAGAAAAGTGAGGAAGAAAAGGGGAACTTGGACAAATTGGATCGTTTTTGGAGGGAGGGATTTTTCCCCCAAATTATCAGTTTCCCGCCGGGTGTTAACCATGGCGGATATACGCACAAGTGGAGTTCCGCCACGTGTACGTGCCCAAAAAACCCCAGGTGTGCCGATAACCAGATTTCTAAGCAAAACTTACCATTTTATCGATAAAATTCGGTTATTGATCGACTATCGTGCTCGGCTACTTATTTTTTTTTTAACTTTCTCTATATGTAACGCAATTTATGAGGGTGAAATCAGGCTTGTTGAGTCCAAAGTTATGGAGTTGCATAAATTCTATGTGTAACAAATTACGCACGTTATAATCAAAACTATCATTCTAATTTGAAGAAGAAGAAAATTGAATTTGTTCATACAAAAACTTATTCTAATAAGATAAATTCAGGGATGAATCCTATAGGTCCACATACATTCATTATATATTCGTAGTGATTTGATAATTGAGGACTATTGAGATAAAATCGAGCTTGTAAACAGGTATCCATGTATATGAGTATACCACTAAATAACCACTTTTCACCTAGTTTTTTTTCTCAAGTAATGACACAAGAAAGAAAGGAATCTATACAGTCTACCGAGGAACACTCCCGAAGCACCACCTCAATCACCACCTCAATGAAGTCATCCTACAAAGTCAAAGAAATCGAACTCAAGAGAAGAAAGTAACAACGCTTTTAGAAAAATGATGAAAGATTAAATATGTCCTGATATGTCGATGGATGTTCGAGGTGGAGGAAAATAAGACTTGGAATGGAAGGGGTTGCATTGTTGTAATTGTGAAGACTATGATGGGAAGTCGTAGCTATTACTTATATTTGGAGTACTTACCATCAACTTGAAGTCACGGGGTATTAGTTATAACCTTTTATTTTTTTAGATTGAATTAGGATTAGACTATCTGGAGAATGTGTTATATATACCTTATAAATCACTTTGTAATATGTATAACCTGAAGTATAGTAAAACTGGTCTCTCGTGTATATGGATTAACTAGCACATCTTGTGTGAATCACGTAAATTTGTGTGTTGTAACCTTTCTTGCATTGTCGATTTTCCATTCCGTTTTGACAGAGGGGGTGGGAAAAGCGATAAATTATTAGATGTAAGGGTTGAAAGATGGGTTATAATCATGAATAATTGAAGCTTGCGATGATATACTTCAAGGAGGGTATGAGGCAAAGTTCGGTTCGGGGACTACCCAACCATGTACAAGTAAGTCGCACCCTTACGAACATTTTCAAAATATAGTATTTGTAATAGATTCTAAACCGTTTGACTTATATTGACTGACAGATCAAGTAGAACAAGTGTTGAATAAGGTTTAGACGCAAGGCATGTGCATGACCATTGCCTATCGTCTAGGTGCTTGAAGCGAAATAACAAAATTTTAACTATTAATCACCTGGATTCAAATGATTAATGACTTGTTTAACCCTTTATAACAAGCAAAATATCTCGAATTTTCATAGAATTAAAAGTTCATTGAAAGTAGAACACACTCAACGATAACTTCATTAATCATTTAAGGAATAGGTTAATCCAACCACCATCCCAGCTTCATTGTCCTCGAAAGCAATATCTTCCCCATCGTCTTCTCTTCCTCTTGAAACTCGAGTTATTCGTCATGAAAATCTCCCACCATTGCACTCCTATGAATGTCAAGTTGTTCAATGGCCTCTTGTTGTATTCAAAACACTCATGATACACCATGTCATTCATCAATCTAATCCAAAACATGGTTATTTTTGTTTCGTCACGTTGTTTCTAACGTAACGTGAACAATTAGAGAGAGAGTATAAGATAGATTGAATCTTTATGTTACCGTGTCTTTTTTCCCCCATTTTGCGTGAGTTTTAATTTTGATTTACTCACAATCTGACCATCTTCGCTTTAGTATCATCTCATTATGCCTAAATATGGGCTTGCACGTCTAGACATGACCTTACACCTATAAAGAGCTTTGAACACCGTTTTGCACATCTTAGACATGGGTTTTCAGCCTTGCCTTGTGCGTAGGCAAGTGCCTAATATCGCATTCCCAAACAAGAGTAAAATATCTCGAGAGTTCGGGTTTCATTGCCATCCCTGCATTCACGGTATATCATTGCACGCCTTTTATTTTTGTACAAATTGATAAAAAAGTTCATATAATCGTACCTAGCTTTTATTCTTTAAAAGATCAATATTTTGTTATCATAACATAATTTAACGAAATATCCTCGATTCGAAATTATATATAAAAAATTCACACCATGATACAATGATACTTTACTGTTAAAACCACATCTCCAAAATTGTACTAAAACCATATGACATGTGACGCTCTGTTAGATAAACCAATGTGAGATGAGGCTTGTCAGCACGGTACGGTTTAACTTTTAACAACGTAATTCTAATAGCTCCAAAATAATACGACACCGTTGTACTGTGGCCTGACCTCACCTGGACCCAACCCAACCCATGGAGATTCGAACCCACTGTAGAGAACTCTTCCTCAAGGCCTTTTACGGCTCGAGTCAACCAGGGTAAAAAACCAGTTGGAGTTCGTTAAATACTTAATACTACTAATTATTATTAATTATGTTATCCTCTGTTTTTTTTGGGCGTGTAATTGAGTGTTTTGATTGCCAAAAAAAATATTATTCATACCTTTTTAGTTCAACAACCGTAAACCCTAGTAATTTAAATACATTCTTCTCCGCTAGCTGTTTCTGTCCGCCTCCATCTCTCTCACTGTCGCCAGCCTTGCTTTGCTCCCGCCTCCGTCGCCACCTCCAGCTAGGGTTTAGGATTTTGGGATCAGCTGCTGGAATTCCGATTGCTCCAGCGTCGGAATTCAGTTCCCTCCGACCATGGATCTCCCGACACTCGCCGCCGTCCTCCAAGCTGCTCTCAGTCCCAACCAGGAACAGCGGAAGGCTGCTGAGCAGAGTCTTGATCAGGTTACCCTCCTCTCATCAGTTTCCTTTTTGTTCAATTAGCGCTGCTGGTTTGTTCGCGGAGTTTCACTGCTAGCTAGCTAGTGGTGTGGTTGTGACGAGTAGGCGACTGTTGCATTCAATTCAAGCTGGATTGGCAAATTCTCGTGTTGTCGGTGCAACTGCTTGGTTGATTGAATTTGTTTGTGCTCGGATGGTTGAATTCGTGAACGATAAGTATTTTGTTTGTTGACGTATGAGTTAGTGAGCAAGTGATTGTTTGCTTACGGTTGTACGAATGCCAACTTGTTGTTGCAGATACAGTTCACTCCTCAGCATCTGGTCAGGGTGTTGCAGATAATCGTGGATAATAATTGTGACACGGCGGTGCGGCAGTTCGCGAGTATCCATTTCAAGAACTTCATTGCAAAGAACTGGTCTCCTCATGACACTGGTACTTATCTTCATTTTGTGGTATTCTGCTTGTCTGAGTGAGTGGGAGTATCTGGTGTCATATGCTTACGATGTTTTGTTGTTTTATTGTTTGATGTAGACGAGCCTTCGAAGATTGCGCATAGTGATAAAGAGGTAGTCAGGGATCACATCCTCGTTTTTATTGCGCAAGTCCCCCCGATTTTGAGGTATAGCAACTTGTAGATCAATGGATCTACTGATTTTTTCCATTGCTACTTAGTAGTATCTGCTCCTTTTTGGGATCGTTCGTCATTTTTTATCTGTTCCTGAAGTTGGTGGATTATCTTTATCAAGTGTTATTTTTTATGAGCAATAAACTAATTGCTAATATTATTGTTGCTCTAATATAAGATGCTTATAATTTGCAGAGTACAGCTAGGTGAATGCCTGAAGACAATCATCCATGCTGATTACCCGGAGCAGTGGCCACGTTTGCTGGAATGGATAAAGCATAATCTGCAGGATCAGCAAGTCTATGGGGCTTTGTTTGTTTTAAGGATTCTATCGAGAAAATATGAGTAAGTGATTGTTGGTGGTTCTTTTACAGACTAAGTGAGATTGCACGGAGATTCAGTTTTTACCTGCTGATACTTCTGTGCTATAGGCTTCTTATGATTCTGAATATGGCAATGAGCTCTTTGTCTGACTATGGCTATCTTGTTTCGATTATTGATGAACATGCATACGGTGTTCATTTCAGTGCCCTTAAAGAAACCGGGTTAGGATTTATTCTTGTATACAATCCAAAGAGATCAGGTCTAAGTAAATATTATACTTTTCGCTATTAAATTTCTGTTCTGTTTTCGTGTGAGGAGGATTTCAGTTAAGCTACTTACATGTAGCTGTCAGTTATTGATGGCATTTCGCAATTTGTTGGGTAATGTGTTATGCATATTTTGGGAAGTTTGCCGTTTCTTGTTGTCGAACTTTGCTGTAACTTAGGTCCGGACGTCCGGTGGCTCTCTGTTGCTTTTGTTAACTTCTAATTAGTTTTCCATTCGAATGCTTTCAAGAATGTGCTAGTCTTGAGTGGCAAGTTATTTTTCTTGGCATAGTTAGCTGATTCTAATTCCTCCTGGTTACACTTACCCTGATCGCTTTCTGCTTAGGTTCAAGTCCGACGAGGAAAGGATTCCTGTTAATCGAATAGTTGACGAGACATTTCAACACCTTCTCAACATTTTTACTAGGCTTGTGCAGATTGCAAATCCATCCCTAGAAGTGGCGGAGCTAATCAAGCTTATCTGTAAAATATTCTGGTCATCCATATATGTGAGTTTTTTTTTTGAAATACTGGCAGGCGTGTTTTATGTCCATTGTTGTTTGAGGAGGTGCTTTAACACAAATGTTTTTAT